ATGTTGGGCAATCGTCGATTGCTGGCGAGATCGCCGGCGAGGTCCACATTACAGGAACACACCTTTTAAAAATCTTGGCGCGAACTTCGTGTCTCTCATAGGGCCAACTTATCGTTTGACAGCCAGGGTCCCGGCCACGCATACATGGCATACGCTACATACATAGGTACTACCTGACTACCTACCTATGTATGTAGGCATGTATGTACATACGTTATGTTCCCCTGGATGGATTCGTTAATTGTCCGTCGCGGGCCTCGAAATTCTCAAAGCTTCTGGCGGTCTAATAATACTACATCTTCATTAACTAAGCCCTGTCAGCCTACGAAGCAGAGCCGACTCACGCATTGTACATATGTACAATACATACATCTGCCTGTGGTACGATGGTGGTCCCTGGAATTCTGAATGCGGTTTGTTTTAATACCCTGTCCATGCGCGCCAACCAGAGTACAAGCCTTCTTGGTATATAGACGGAAACGGACTTTATGGGGTCTAGTGTATCTCATGGGATTCCCAGATCTTTGGACTATTCTCATCCAACGAGTTTTGCAATGAGGATAGACGAATATTTGTGGAATATTATCTGTGTGTTATCTATATGATCTATATGTACGTCCTCGAGTGTCGCCGAGACACAAGAGCGACATCGTCTAAAAGCGGCACATTACACTATAGATCATCTATAAGCTTATCAGGCGATGGCGCCGATAGTAGATTATCGCAATCTTTTTTGTTATATGTATGGCATTATGGCATTTTAAGTCATTCGAAATTTCTATTTCCGGTAAACTTCACTTAACTTCTGTACATCCAAAACTACTATTCCGTATTTATGTTTACAAGAACATTGCATTTTTCTTTTCTTTTCCTTTTTGCATGCTATCGATGACGGGTCTATTACTTACTTACTTGGCTCTACCAATTCGATACATCCGTTCGCATCCAGATACATGATAAAAGAAATATGGACACGGCAATTGTCACGATGACGCAAGTGAAGCTTTGACTTTTCAGTTTTGAAGTTTCACACGGGCTGACGGGGCGCGTGTTTCGGAGCTTTAGGTCCAGCTAGCAAGGCGATTCGGCCGTGCTTCCGAGGGGGGGCTTCGCTTCCACCTTCGATACCTTCGATACCTTCGATATACTTCCACGTCCGTGGATGCCTTGTTTCCGGCTCGACAGCTCGACATCTTGGCCGCTAACTGTCCCAAGGAACTTCGCGGGGCTTCGTAAGGCTCCGTAAGGCTTGGAAAAGGCTTGGAAGTTCGGAATTTGCTCGTGTTTATTCGGTTTATGGTTTATACAAGTTTTATCCATCTGCATCTATTTACACATCTGCTACGGATTACTTTATTTGTTCTAAAAAGGCCTGGACCTTGTCCCGGGATGAGATGTCATCTGTTTCGGGAATGCAAAATTCAGTTGAGCCATTGGCCATTGGATGGATCATGGATGGGATGGGATGCCCGGATGGAACCCCGTACCCAGTAGCGCAAGCCCAGGACCTTAACCCCTGCTGAGATAATGTGCAAAACTACTACGTTTACATGTGTGTAGTATTTGTGTGGTATGTGTGTTTAGGTCTATAGGTCTAGATGGCATAAGAATGGCCCACACAAGCAAATGCGCAATGGCCAACATTCGAGCATCAGTCCATGAGCTGATAAAGAGTCGTCGAAAAAGCCATGGCATGTTATAATGGCCTTTCGATTGCCTATTTAGCATTCACAATGCTTACCATGCATATACATAGGCCGACCGAGTCGCATCGCCCAAGAGCTTTGCCATACTTTCCATAGACCCGACTTTACGTGCCGCATGCGAATTTCGCCATGAGATCAATGCAAGCTATATCTAAGGATCTGGCCAGATCCCATTCTACCTACACTCGATACTACTTACATACGTACTTTACACGTAGTTATATGTTATACCTACATAAACAAAACAAAAAAGAATAAACATGCTGAAATATCGCCAACAAGGTGCACATTAAAGTATATAGCTGTAGGTAGAGAACGTGGTAGACTACACCAGCTACACTAAACTCTTTGCAGTAAATAAATATACGTACCTCCACACCGAGGATAATGTAAGGATCACGACGAGAATTATAGCAGCAAGCAAAGAGACCAATAGGAATTGTGCCATACCTACAGTAGTACAGTAGATGATACATAGCTACTCTGTAAGGTAGGGTGTAAGCACTTGCCACGAGCCACAGGCATGTCTACGGTAACATGCTATACATGCGGGAGAAACCAATTTGTTATCTAATACATATGCTAAATATCGACCCAGACCGTACCGTATAGAGCGGTATGCTGTTCCGGGACACGCCGTTAAAAGTTGTCGCTCGACCCGGGGCTCCGCGACCACGACAACCCGAGACGACCGCCGGCCGTTCGGTATAATGCAACAAACAGGCCTTACCGAGCTTGCGCACGATCGTGGGCCCTTGGGGTTCTTGGGGTCCTTTTTATATACAATACACTATGTAGGTACTGACCCGGCCCACAGGATACGCCCCGTGCTCGCTAACGACGGTGCAGCCTTACGGTGGACGATCTTTTCAGCAATATTCCGTATATATTCTGGTTTTCTGATAGTCGCTATTACGTGCGTCGTAAAACCGCACTATTCTAGTGTATGTATGTAGATATGTATGTAGCTCATTCACAAGCTTCTTCCCATGGATCGTCTGGAACCGAGATTCCGTAGCTTCCCCTAGTTAGTCGGTTTCTTTAATACATACAGACGCACACTTACGTGGTGCTACTTTCTAGATACCTACTTCCCCACTATCTACATAGAAGCCGGGCATTTCTATATCGATATTAGCCAAAGCCAACGCCAACTGCACGACTCTGACTCGCGACCTCCATGGCGTATATACATACATATATACACGCATACATACATACCTCATACATATACATAGAACATATATACATGGATATAGAAGACGTAGTTATACGTAGATACATACAACTGGTACCGAACGCAGATCCCCTCCAGTACAATATATATACCCAAGTACATAGGTAGGTATATATGTAATACATGTGCACGGCAGGACAGACAAGGATGGGATTTTCCCTCGTCCTCCTCTCCCTCCTCACGTCTCCTCACTCACATGTGCGTCCGTGTGGTGCTCTGCTAAACTAAGGTACCAGTTTTTTACCCCGCGCTGTGGGCTGTAAGCTGTTAACTCGCATGGCGGTGCAGACCTTGTCTATAACACACAGCACATACAATAGAGATATGTCACCGTGATCAGTCATGACGAAATCCGGTTTTCAGCGTTGCCATCTTCAACTGATCGGCGCTCAGCAGTTCAGTTCGACCCGTCCTGTGGGACTCGGACGAAGGATATACATACATACATACATACATTATACATACATATATACTGAATAGTCACCCCTTATTCTGCTATGTATGCATTTTATATATGTGCATATCAGATACATCATGTACTCTCCCGGCCGAGTCCCTGCAGATTTCAAGTAGGCAAACAAGTTCTATAGAGACGAAGAAAAAAAGAGAAGAGCCAGAAAAAAAAGAAGAAGAAAATTAACCCTAGAATATCGTCGAAAATGTAACTATTCGGAACTGTCTCTTCTGCCCCCAACCCCCATCTCACCTCACCCAATTGCACCGCAGCTACGACATAATCAGCTACATAGTAAAGTATGATTATGATGGATGGTGCGGTGCGCAGTGTCTATATACATAGTACCTTAGGTATGTATATAGATACGCGTAGTGTACGTAAATGTGTAAGTGTGTGTGTGTGTACGAAGTAAACAAGAAATATGGTATTATTCTAAGGCATACCGCGCGGGATGCGAATGTTGGGAAATCGCCCATGCAGCCAGAATCCAGAAATTGGAAAATCTAGATCAGAATCAGAAAAAGAAAAAAAACCAAAAAATCCCATGTCCGGGACCTGCGAGTTTCACCAGAATCCCATCTTTCCTTTTCGCATTTTCCCCTTTTCCCGCTTCTCGCGTTCCCCAACACACACAAATACAACACCACACACCACACCAACACTGCGAACCCGGCCCTGCCCTGCCTCTCATCTCGCCCCTCGCCTTCACGTGCGACAACGGTCCGTACGCCTGTGAGTGAGGTCTTATATGCCATGCCCATGCCCATGCCATACCTGACCTGACCTGACCTACCGGCAGTAGTAGTACCGAGCTCGCTCTGCGTACGGTACGCGCGAATACCAAATACCATACCTACCTACCTAACCTACCTACCCATCTACGTAAGAGGCTGCAACGCTGCAGCGGACATCGAATCTGGGGGACCACGTATCGTGTAACCCACGCGCGCCGCGCTATCATATCTACCTACCTTACCTACCTACCTACCAGCATATCATACCATACCACGGCAGCTCCCTCGCTCCATCCAGTCCGGCCCAGCCCAAGGACCTTTTTTCCCGCCCGACGATCGAGATCTGTGCGAGCCTCCTGTTCGAAACGTACGTCGTGACACTTCTTTTCCTTCCTTCTTTCTTTCCTTCCCTTCCCTTCCCTCCCTGAACCGTAGCCGTTATCCGCGCCCGCGTCAAAGCGTAGAGCACCTACCTACTTACTTACCTAACCTAGGTACTTAACCCTAAAGGCAAAAAAAAAAAAAAAAAGAAAGACAGAAAAGCCTCATCTCTTCCCTACCTACGCACATACATATATACATAGGTACATACATGCCATATGCAGGTAGGGACCAGGTCGGATAGATACTTTATAAAAGAAAAGAAATATCTCGTAACGCCGCAGCGGCAAACACTAATATCCCTTAGCCAAAGTCAATGTACGGGGCGGCGACGGCGACGGAGCCGGAGCCGGCTCCATACGTATCTAGGCATAGCTGGCATAGGCGAACAGATACGTAAAGATAAAGTTGGACAAGACAAGCGAGGCGGGGAAGGATCCATTCAAAACAGATTTCAGACGGCGCGCGGCCTTTGGAGAATTGAGTTTGTAGAAAAAGCGAGTGCTGTACGTAAGAAACGCACACATTGCATGATAAGAATTAACTACTGGAACTAAGCCGATTTAGCCTCTTCTTCCGTAGTCTAACATAACATCCGATAACCCCCGCCTTCCAAGAACGCCGTAACCATGCGACCGACCCCATGCTGCGAAAAAAAGGCCAAAAAACCAGCGAGTGGCCCCACCGTCCCTTTAGACGCCATGCCTTACTTACATTTGTCTGTCTGCGTACATATAACGTTGTACAAAAACCCCTTACTTCGCGCGATCCTATAGCGGCGCAGCACCTCGCCCGCCCTATTTCTTAGCGGGTAGTGCCGGTGGTCCCATCTTGCCAGCACCGGTATCGACCTTCTTATTGGGGTGTTCAGGGACCTTGAAGCCACCGTTGGCACTACTAGCTGTCCCGCCTCCGGCTACCTGGGTAAAGGTACCGCCCTTGAACCAGCGGTCCTCCTCCGCCTTTCGCTTACGATTAAGCTCAGCTTGAACCTTGGGGTCTACAAGCTCTAGTCCCTGAACTGGTGTGAATGCTAGAGACGAGGCTGTCCCTGCACCTCCTCCGATAGTGGACCCTACCCCTGAAGTTCGTAGACCCTTACCACGAAGGTCGATGTTGCCTGATTGGCCAAAGCCGCGCAATGACGAAGCTGAGCCGCCAATAGGCGTAGCTCCTCCCCAGCCTTTATGCTTTTGACTAAGCTTCGCTCGTGTCCGGTTGTCAATCTGCACTCCACGGATTCGTCCATCGTTTGTCTGCCCGATCATCCCCATGCCCGTAGTAGAGTCTCCAATTCCGTAGTCTGTTTCCTTCTCCTCCTTGCCGAACACCATGCGGTTCTGAGCCTTGCGAAGGTCAGTCATCGCAGTTGCCTCCTTGGCCTTGCGAGCCCGTCGGCCACCCCGCTTTCGTGAGGGTTTGTCATCCGGGGCCGGTAGCGCTCGTTGACCCTTGTTTGGTGGCGGTTCCGTCAGTTTGTCTAACCTCTCTAGACATTGACCCCTGAGTTCTTCGCCATATGACCCATCAGGGTTTGAGTGGCCGGTATCCGCACGTGCAGCTAGGACGAGCTTCGCCGCCACCGCCTTCATAGCCTTCTTCTTTAGATCGGTTGGGATGCCACGGATGATTGGAGAATGGTATAAGTAACCTTGCTGTTTCACGCCCACATTGGTGGCGAATGCCGTATTGCCTGATCTTTTCGAGCCCCAAGCTGCAAGATTGCAGGCGGGCGCCCGGGAAAGATTAGTTAAGCCTCCAGCAGTATTAATCAATTGCGCAGCAGTTAACGATCCAACTAGGGCTGTAAGGTTAGGGGCAAATATGTTCATTCGAGACTGTACGTAGTCTGTAAGTGTTTTCTTAGCCTTGTCCATCTTGATCATCATATGGCAGGCTTTCAGAATGCGTTCAAGCTCCTCCTGGCTTATTTCACGGCCTTTCGTTGTGGTAGCTTCGACGGTGACAATCATCAGCGACGGTCCATCCAGAACCGACTTGAGCGATTCGCCTAGAGGATTGTCGGCTGAGCCTTGAAGCGCTCTGATGCTATCCGAATCCATAGGTCCATTTCCCAGGATGGCCACAACTTTAGCATACTCGATCGGGTTCTGAACAAGCGTTTCAAGTTCGGGGAATCGAGCGGAGTAATGGTCTCTGATGAACTTGTGGACCTTCATGATCTCGCCGTCGATCTGAGTGGAGAGCGTGTTGGATTCAGTGAGGATCTTGTACTCGGGGTTGTCCTCAATATTACCTATATTTGTTGTGTGTGGCGTGAGAGGTTTTGATTGATAGTGGGCGATGTCCTATAAGGTCGTAACCAGTCGGTCAGGTCTAGCTCAAGACAGGAGATGTAAACATTTCATCACTGTTCGTAGTGTGAAGTGAGGGAGTAGAGGGTAAACTAACCTTAAGCAGAGGGTCCAGTCTGTCCATAACGGTAGTAACCTTACGGATATCTTTAACTCCGCCTAGCTGCATCTTCTCGACCTTAGCCTTGGTGGCTTCTTCGTCTTCCACGGGTTCGGCGGCGCCCATGCTCACGCCACCCATTTCTTCGTCTTCATCGGGCTCTTCTTCATCGCCGTCTAGTACCATATCGTTATCATCGCGGCTTGCTGGAGGGCCAATAGCCGGCCCATCGAGGTCAAGTCCGGTGTCATTTTGCTCCTCCCCATTTTCGGACCCTGAGTCCTCGAAGTCCTGCAGCAACTCCTCCGCTAGAGTCGACATGGCGTCGAAAGGTAATATATGGTCGGATGATCGCGTAATTCGACGAGATAAATTATCAACTTAAAAGTAAACGGATACGTAGTTTACTATGTTTATACGACAGGTGAGGAAAAATCCGGCAAGCGTCGATGGTTCTTTGTGTATGAAGGTGGGCAAATTCCAATTGCGACAAAAATATGTACTATGTAGAAGTTTGGTCGCAGCCTTCCTGCCTTCTTAGTCGCGACTATAATTTAATATGGAACCCTAAGCTTTACATCGAATCACAGCTCTTCTCATTAGATTCAACGGTCGGTAAAACAATTCTTCCGTGAACTTGCCGGGATTAAGCCCACTTTAATAATTGAACTGATCTCGTCGCGTTTTGTTATCTCTAATCAGCCTCGCCAACCTCTTATAACATACAATTCTGCCCTTGGCTCAAGACCAAACGCTCTGGTTGGCACAGCCATACCACACCATAACTTTCCAATCATCCTCTATTTATACTCTGCATCTCGTCTTCTACACATATATCACCCTACATTTACCATTCATTCACCGAAGTCAAGATGGAGTCCTCACGCGGCCCTCCAAGGGTTAAGAACAAGGCCGCCGCGCCTATTCAGATCTCTGCCGAGCAGCTGCTCCGAGAAGCAGTAGACCGACAGGAGACGTCCCTACAAGCACCGACTCAGCGCTTTGGTGACCTAGAAGAGCTCCATGAATTCCAGGGTCGGAAGCGAAGGGAGTTCGAGAGCTTCGTTCGCCGAAATACGATTAATATGAATAATTGGATGCGTTATGCTGCATGGGAACTTGAGCAGAAAGAGTTCAAGCGCGCGCGATCCATCTTCGAGCGAGCCCTCGATGTTGATCCAACGTCTGTCGTTTTATGGATTCGCTATATCGAGGCCGAGATGAAAAACAGGAATATCAATCATGCGAGAAACTTACTTGACCGTGCCGTCACTATCCTACCTAGGATCGACAAGCTATGGTACAAATATGTCTACATGGAAGAGATGTTGGGTAATATTCCTGGTACGAGACAGGTATTTGAGAGATGGATGGCCTGGGAGCCGGACGAGGCAGCGTGGAGCGCGTACATTAAGCTTGAGAAACGTTACGGCGAATTCCAACGTGCCCGGGATATCTTCGAGCGCTTCACGATAGTACACCCGGAACCGCGTAATTGGATTAAGTGGGCCAAGTTCGAAGAAGAGTTTGGGACAAGTGATTTAGTTAGGGAAGTTTTCGGCGCTGCAGTTGAGGCCTTGGGCGACGAATTTGTTGACGAGAGGCTTTTCATTGCTTACGCTAGATTCGAGACGAAGCTCAAGGAGTACGAGCGAGCTAGGGCCATTTACAAGTACGCTCTGGACCGCCTCCCTCGCTCAAAGTCTATGGGTTTACACAAGGCGTACACGACCTTTGAAAAGCAGTATGGTGATAGGGACGGGGTAGAGGACGTGATATTATCAAAGAGACGGAGACACTACGAAGACCAACTCAAGGAGAATCCGAAGAACTACGATATATGGTTCGACTATGCTCGATTAGAGGAGACGTCGGGTGACCTGGATCGGGTGAGAGATGTATACGAGCGAGCTGTAGCTCAAATCCCGCCGACGCAAGAAAAGAGGCATTGGCGCCGATACATTTACCTGTGGATCTTTTATGCTATCTGGGAGGAGATGGAAGCCAAGGATGTTGACCGAGCGCGCCAAATATATAAGCTATGCCTCGACCTGATACCCCACAAGAAATTCACATTTGCTAAGGTCTGGTTGTTGAGGGCGCAGTTTGAAATTCGGCAAGGTGAGCTCACAACCGCACGAAAAACGCTAGGGCAAGCAATCGGCATGTGTCCGAAGGACAAGCTGTTTAAGGGTTATATCGAGTTGGAATTAAAGCTATTTGAGTTTGTGCGGTGTCGAACCCTTTACGAAAAGCACATCGAGTGGAATCCAGCCAACTGCCAGACGTGGATCAAGTTTGCCGAGCTCGAGAGAGGATTGGACGACCTCGACAGGACAAGAGCCATCTTCGAGCTCGCTATTAACCAGCCCGTGCTCGATATGCCGGAGTTGTTATGGAAAGCATACATCGATTTCGAGGAAGAGGAGGGCGAGTACGACAAGACGCGCGAGTTGTACGAGAGACTTCTGGAGAAGACAGATCATGTCAAGGTCTGGATCAGCTATGCGCACTTCGAGATCAACATCCCAGAAGAAGACGAGGAAGAAACAGGCGAAGAAGAGGAGCGGCCTGTTAGCGAGGAGGCTAAGACTAGAGCCCGCAATGTGTTCGAGCGTGCTCACAAGCGCATGAAGGAGAAGGAGCTCAAGGAAGAAAGAGTTTCTCTACTCAACGCTTGGTTGTCGTTCGAGCGTACCCATGGATCGGCGGAGGACATCGAGAAAGTCCAGAAACAGATGCCGCGGAGGACGAAGCGCAGGCGCAGACTGGAAGACGACACGTTCGAAGAATATATCGATTACGTATTCCCGGCGGACGACGAACAGAAGCAAGATCTATCCAAGATGCTTGCCATGGCTCAGGCCTGGAAGCAAGGAGGCGGTGCCGTCAGTTAATCGAGATGGATACGCGCATTCTGTCCTTAGTGTGTTAGATGGAAATACCATACGAATCGACCATTCGATACTGTACATAATAGGCTGTTTTACATATTTAGAGCAAAGAAGCCGGTCTAATAGAGCCTCTGCGAACTGGTCGAATATGAAATTACCAGTACGAAACCGAACCTCATCACCTTGAGAAACCTTGCTCATATCCATATTTCTCCCTCCAGGTTCTATAGGACCATAAATTGCATTACCGTAAGAGATATCAAAGTAGTCACAATTCTGTTCCCAGTGGACTATGCCAAGAAGGCTGGTGGGGAGGGCAGCCATGCGGCTCGGCTGCCTCCATATCGCCAAGTCATCGACAGAGCTTGAAGGAACTACCGACTACCTCCATACTACACCACCTGCCTGATAAGCTACTTGTACACGTGCGGAACAAAAAATGTGATCGTTAGCTGCCAGAGGCGCATGGCAGGATCCCGTCCACAACCCAGAATTGGGGAATCCGACTCCCAGTCTCCAAGGTACGTACCCCTTTCCCCAAGGAGCAGTCCTCCGCGCGCCCACGTTTTTTTCTTTCTTCTTCAATCCAACCACGGAGAGAAAGTTCCAGGAATCAAATCACATCGTGGGGGTGCCAGGTGCGAGGCGGGAGGCGGTCAGCACGATGATGTCATGAGTTTTGCTGGCAAGGACGGCACGGGAGGCACCTAATGTATTGTACCGCCGTATACATACTTGCATTAGTACATACCTAGGTAGGTAGAGGCTCGGGGGTAAGAGAGATAGATAGATAGGTAGATAGATAGATAGATCTATTGGGTATTGGTAGAGGTTAGAAACGGGGAGGTATTTTACTTTAGTCAAGACTATCTCCGATCCGTACTGCTTCTCCCGATCTCAAGTTAGTAGGTTAGGTAGGTACGTTAGTATTTCTCCCCTGGAATGGCTGGCTGAATGGTAGAATAAACCGGTATGTACAATACGAATATAGCATGAAATAAAAGTATGTATGTATGTATTTCAGCGCGGAGCATATGTCCCTAGATGTACCCATTCCCACCGGCATACATACTCGGCCCTGCACTACATATACCTACCTATCCCAACGTATGCAAACGAGGGAGCATGTAGGTATCATGTATGTGCGTATGTACGCCGATGCAAACAGGGGACTTCACTGCAGTCAGATATGGCCAAACGCAGTCCTCGTGACGAGTTGTATTCCCGGTTGCTTGATAGGCTTATACTTGCGCCCAACCATATCATATCTCGTCAGGTATCAGGTATCAGTACTACATATGCAAATCACATGGTCATTAAACATGTAAACGGACTATATGAGGATACAGATAGTTATAGCAGCGTCAAAAAAAGCATAAAGGCTCTTAATTTAGGTTGCAATAGACTCTATAAAAGAAAGAATATATATAAAATATTTGTTTTTAAAGAAAAGGGAAAAGACTTTCATAATATCGTCCAATCGGAAATAATCTCAACGTCGTCATCGTCATCATCAAACAGGTGGTGATATGTAGTATAGCACCCCCGGAAATACCCAAACATCTAGAAAACCTGCAGCATCCCTCCATCCCCAATTTCCCCTCTCCTCTCTCCATTTATACACACCGCCCCCCCGGGTACGTGTACCTATAATAGTATCCTTAGATCCCGTTCGCGATTCCCAACCGAATCTTCTATCAAATCCCCATCCCAACTTGCCACGCGTGCGTTAATCTGTGCCACTTTTCCCCCTTCTGTCCTTCCCACTTGTCGGAACCGTTGTAATCTCGATCCTACCGAGTCCCAATAAAAAAAATACCCTGTAGATCCTGTTATCACCCCCGTGCGCATCCTCATTACGGCCGCTGACTGGTTCCGAAGTCCCAAATCGAATTTCGTGATAGCAGAGATGCAAATCCGTGGCATCCGGTTAGCGAGAGAACGTCCACTGGTAGACGTCCCTGTTCCGCGCTTGTGCTGCAAGAGGGCCGGTGCTCCAAACGCCTGGACCCGTTTTCGGTGACGCAGGTAAGAATCAGGTAGCACAAGAAACCCCTTGCTGCATTACAGCGGGATATATAGGTACATTAGTCGTCGCGATGGTGGTGGTGGCGGCGATGACGCCCATCTGTCACACATTAATCAGGATCAGCGAGATGCTCAGTTATATATCAATAGTAAATTTTCGCGTATCTCAAGAGATTCAGAAGAGATGAAAAGAAATCATTGCGACGAGCGAGATTTTGTTTTTATTTCAAAACAGCCGGGGTTAGTTCAGCAATGACGCGAGAGGCAAGCAGTTTTCATCTTATTCCAAACGCCCTCTACACACCAATCTTGTATATTTCCCCAAAATCATCAATAGCAGTAAATCGTTAAGTCGTCAAGGGGTACAGTGCAGGTGTTATGCTCTGCAAGCCGTTATATGTATATGTAGTTGGCGCAGAAAGGAGTAGGGCCTATGCAGGTCAATGCATAGTGGTGGATAACTCTACCCTATCACCTCCTGTCGTATCCCTCCGGAGGTGGAGGTAAGGCAGAATAAGGGTTCCCGTCAGTGTAATGGGGCCCATCGTCATACCGATTCTCCCGCGGAGGAGCTGAAGAACGCCAATTGTCAGTCCTTGACCTGCCACTAGAGCTGGAATTTGCCTGCCTAAGTCGCTCCAACCGCTTCTCATGACGCCTTTGTCTTTCTTCTTTCCATTCTGTAATTGCTTTGGCCTGTTCTCGTGCCTCCTTGAGCTCCGAGATAGCGCCCTTGACGCCCAGTGCCGCGATGCCAACCGAGGCCGCATCTTGCAAGAGTGCCTTGGTTTTCAACTTCCGAGCCTCCTCCGGGCTCAGTTTACCTTCTTTAACTGCTCTGTGCCTCGCGTTGCGCTGCCCCATGCTACCATACACATTATTAGCAGCATGGATAGTGGCAACAGCTGCTAACCCCGTCGTAATGAGTTGTTTACGTCGCATCTTCGACGTCATCTTCTTATCTTCGTCTGAATCTCCAAGATCGCTACTAGAAGCAGAACTTGACCTACCTCCTCGTGAACGGGACGAACTACGCGGTCGCCCACTACCAATAGAACGCTCCTCCTCATCATAATCATCATAACCGTCGTTAGCAGGGCCTCGGCCTCCTCTCATATAGGCACGAGACTTGTGATCATCATCATAGCGGTCGTCTGATGGGCTTCTATGACGACTCCGGCGAGAAGACCGGTCGTCATAATAGTCATCGTCCTTATCATCAGGGTCATTGCCTAGGCCAATTTTAGCTAGGCTGCGTCGTGTCTTATCAACGATACTGCGGCTGCGGCTACGGCGCCTTGGGGGCGAGGGGCTTCGGCTATCGTATGAGTCGACACTATCCCGGCGAGGACGGGATCGAGACCGACTCCGGCCGCTGATAAGCTTTTTGGCACCCAAAGCACCCAAGCCTGCCGTAGCTAGCGCCGCAAGACCGGGTCCTCCGCCACCCTCGGAGCGTGCACGAGAGCGGGCACGAGAGCGGGACCTGCTCCGACCTGTACTTCGATCCTCCTCGATGTCCTTTCTGGAGCCATTGAGCATGCGGTTGCCAAGAAGGCCACCGATAACGGATTCCACAAGGTGGCGTTTGCCATCCTTGGAAGGATCATGAGCAGCATCGATGGTTGCAGCACCAGCAGCCGCGGTAAGAACTCGCTTCATCTTCTCTCCCTTCCATCCGCCAGGCTCCTTCGCAACACGGAAAGCCTCTGCGGCGCCTGCGACGAGCGACGCCTTGGCGGCCTTTTGCATTCTAGCCGCAGGAGTATCCTTCGAGCTCTTTGTGCTACCTCGCGAACGGTACGAATCTGGACTACCGCGGCGACTTCTTGAATCCCTCTCAGAACCGCCACCGGTCAAGGCCTTGATAGCTCCTCCCAGACCAGCAGCGGCCAGGGCGTTTTCAAGAAAAGACTTGTTGCCTTTTTGGTGTCTGGAGTCGTCATCGTCCTCGTCGGAATAGTACTCGACAACTTTACCGTCTCGTCCTTTGTGAACAATGTAGGTTGACTTTTTGTCATCTTTATTGGCATGCTTGCTGTAATAGTCTACTCCTTGGTAGCCGGCAAGCGCGCCGGCAGCGCCAAGAGCAGCGGAGGCGGCTATGTTGCGTTGAACTTCGACGCCATCCTTCTCTGCTTCATGGCGATCCCATAGCTCTTTGGCGCCAGCAGCGAGGAGACCACCGGCGACAGCGGCGATGATCTTTTCTTGCTTAGATAGTACGCGCTTGCGGGCTCTCTCCTCCTCCTCGTAATAAACACTAGCGGGCTTCTTACGAGGACGGTGATCCCGTGCACCGTCGTGGCGGCGGGAGTCGTAGTAGTAATCATCGTAACCAGGGTCGGCGGATTTGGCCCTACGGATATCTCGGGAGTAACCAGGAGGGGGAAAGTCTCTATTAACTTCCTCGACGGAAAGCTGGTCACTATCTTCCCTCGTTCGAGGCACAAGTGCGGTGCGGCTCGTTGGATTTACCCTGTAGTATGTTTCCTGAGTCTCGGCGTACCGGGGACTTGCCCTCTCACGGCGATCTTCATGGTAAACCCGACGGGAATACTCGCGCGGGGGAGGGTCATAAGGGTCGTACGCGGACATTGTTGGCGCGTGTTAGTGGGTAGTAACTTACTACTAGTAAGTGTGATAAGTGTGTGATAAGTGTGAGAGTGTAAATTGATAAGTTTGTGTAGTTGGGAAACGGATCAAACTCTAAACTGATTCAAGAAGTGTCGAAGTTGGGAAGCTATGAGTAATGAACGGCAGAACGGCAGAACAGTAGCACAATAATTCACGGCGGTTGGGGGGAAGGGGGGGAAGGGGAGGGGCAAGGGCGAGTATTAGGCGCATTATGTACACCATGTACACTATGATGCAGTGCCAATGATGGTGGTGTTGTTAGTGCGTCGCAATTGGAGCGGGGCAATTTATTATCTGCTGCTCCGGGCGAAAACAAGCTTGAAGCCCTGTGTAACCTGACGTCAACCCCTGTAAGTACATACATAGGCTATTACCGAGACTGGGCAGATTCTTCAAAAGGAATCAATCCTAAGCTGCGCCTCGCGGTGAGAGCGATGATGCACTTAAGTGGCTCCTTCACGTATGTGCTAACTGAATTTGCATACATATAAACTAACGTCATCAGGTTTTGCTGAAGCAGCTCGGTTTTACGAGGCATACATACACTTACCTAACATATATACTCAGTACCTAGGTAATCCTGGTATTTAGCAGGGTAGCCCCTACGACGTCTTCATAATATTGCAACCGCAACTTAATACATACCTCATACTCAAGATTGAAGATGGAATCTGGTGGAATAGCTGAATAGCTACGTACGCCGTATCACAACAGATATCGTATCTGGCTACCCAATTTTGAACAAATTAAGTTGCTGTTGGGCGTTGTGTTCATTACACAATCAGAACCCAGACGATATCCATGCCTTCTTAGTGTCTTGTCTATGTCTCAGTATAACGTCACTTATTCGAACTGTGGCCTATGAGCAGCTTGTGGTGTATATACGTGTATATAAGAGAGTTGTCTTTTAATAAATATCAGATTCACCTTCAACATATATAGTTCGCCATCGCTGCAAGGCATATCTACCCAACCGTAGATCATATTTTCCGCGAGTAGCACATGAACAAACCCCCCTTAGTTATAGGAAAGTCTAGAACCTAGCGGCTTTCACTGCCCGAGTTGCCATGTATGTAAGGGTACTTGCACTAGGCATATGCTAGTTCGACTATCTTCGTTCGTAAAAGCGAACGTGACAGCTCAGCCTTCGCCCGGAATTAATGGTTGATTACATCCCTGTGAATACATGGCGACTACTAATGTATTAATGTAAGACGGAACATCCAAAGTCCTATGCGCCGAACAGTTCACCGCGCAGGAATGCGGCTTAAAGGTCAGGTGGGAGCTGCTTCTGCCTTAGAGATATATCTGTATATATATATATATATATGTATTGCTCCTATAAAGAATGTACGACAACTAGCAGTAAACAAAACTTCTATGCACACTTTTCCAGGTCCACCTGCCCACCCACCCCTGGCTTAATGTATGTATGCGCTGAATATGACCATGACCATGCAATATGTACGACCTACTATGTAGGTACCTAACCTAACAAAGTCTGGCTCCCCAAAACGGGGATGATCTAGACCACTCACTCGAACTCCGATCCTATGTTACCCCTTTTTGAAGTGCTCGGGATCAGCTCCGTCCTGCAAAGGGGAAGGTAGGAAAAAAATTGGGAGATAAAAAATGTAAAAAGAAGAAGAAGAACAAGCCTGAGCGGGTTGTCCGGTCCTGTTGCGCATGGTAGGCATGATATGGTATATACCGTATATACTCCTCGAATCCGGTAACAACCCCTCGTATTTATGCGCGTATATAAGTACCCAATATGTATGCAGAAGCGTATGTAGCGACGACGACGATGATGATATATCCCATTATTATATTACGATCCGAATTGCTCTCTATAGGGTTGACGGCTATTAAGAAACAGGTCCAAGGTCTCGATATAGAGCTCCTTCTGGCTAGTTGTAGCCTGGACATGTGGATTCTGCTCGAGGGCCTCAGTCCACTGTTGCCAACGCGTTCCCGGCACGGGATCGCCCCAGTTACGGAGCTCTCGGAGTATGCGGGACATCCGAAGGACGAAGGGAGCAAAATGGATGTCTACAAGGCATAAGTCTTCTCCCAGGAAGTATGGCCCCTGGGTTGCGGATTAGAGATGTTTTGAAGGGTAAAGTAAGGGGTGGAGAACCTACCCTATCATTAGCAGCTTGAACAAGGGCTGTTATCTCACTCCGGAGCCTCTCTGCGTATTCTGATTGCTTTGTGAAATCGGTAGCCTTCGCGAGAGCGAAGAAAGCCGGAACTATCCTTGCGTTGATCTAAACCAGCCAGTCAAACTCTGTGTCCTCTATGTGGTGGAAGTTCGCCAGGGGAGCTCACATGGTCGATCCATAGTCTACAGTTTGCCTTTAACCTAGGGTCCGTGGGAGAAAGGGGCACCGTTTGGTTATGGTCCTCAAGCTAGCAAGTTGGACGGTCAGCGATGGAGGGGACCATCTATAATCATCTCATAATTCTAACGACTTACGTATTCCAATATGACGGCACTCTCACCGCTGGCCCAGTCGCCTTCACGAATAGCTGGAACTAGGCCTCGCGGGTTTGCTTCTAGCAATTGGGTAGGGCGCTTAAATGGGTCTGTCTCGCAATATTGATATTGCATACCCTTCGCTTCCAGAGCAATCCACACTCTCTGTGAAAAGGGGCTGACAAGGAGGCTCGTTAGCTTGAGCTACATTATGTTCTAGGAGGTTAGCTTACCAAAAGCAAGCAGCATAGAGTTTTAATTCGTGCTCCTTCGAGTGCTTTTTCGCGGTTGCAAGTGCGGCTCCTGACATCCTCCTAGGTAGAGGCTTCTATAGGAGTAAGTTAGTGTGAGGAGTTTTGGCTAGATTTTAGAACTACCAAATATGAATGGGAGATAATAGGAGCTGAGTAGAACTGTTTGCCCCCCTATTATAATAAACAATTGCTTTCCTCCGCTGTGCTAAAGGGAGATGTTACCGTTCTAGATCACTTGTATCTTGACAGAAGTTTTCCATATATAAAACCGGGTATAAAGGTAATCGCAACTATGGTACAAGGAATAACCCACCTGAATCTTCTTTGCTTCTTTCTCTTGCGCGGCAACATACCTCTGTACGGTTGACTTCTTGATCTCATCGCTCTTCTCTAGGCTATGCTTGTGAGGACCAGCGACGCCGTCGCCCTTACCGTTCCCGCCATTTCCATTGACTCTTTGTATTGTCCAGAATTTCTCTCCGTTGAGATGAGCATCTATGGGCCGTGGTGGTAGGCCGTCGTTAAACATGGGCTGTTGTGGAGATTGGTAAACACTCGGCGGAGCTAAATTGAGGTTCGAGTCCCCGTCACCGGGTAACATCGTCGCTCCCGGAAAGTATTCGGTAATCTTGATTTTGACATCGCATAGATCTCTCTCGCGCGCACTCCGCTTGCGCTTCTTCTTGGAAGGGTCATCCGATTTGGGCGTCCCCGGTGGCCGTCCCTTCATTCGACAATCCCAGTAATGCGATATAAAAGGTTTGCGCTTGTACTTTTGCGTGGAACGATGCGAGTAAACATTATCGATATGGGGGAAATACGTCTCGAATCTAGTTGGTAATTAGTACAAGGGCTCAGTTCCAAAAGGAATCCTGTTCCCTACTGGTCATTGGTCAAGATAATTGTATCGTCGACATTGAATAGCTTCTCGCGCCAAGCTTGAAGATCGGGTGGGTCGACGACTATCCTATTGACCAATTGGCCATGGGGTCTCGGTTCAGAGGCTTCAGCAGCTGAGGAATTGACTTGCGCCGCTTGGATAAAGATATCCTCGTCTTGTTGAAGCTGGAGAATAGCATTTGGAGACATGCCATTGTGTGTTAGGATGCCGAATTGACCCGAGGCAGGCGGTGCCGAGTGCGACGATGGAGGGAGAGAGGCATGGTGTTGATGTGGAGTTCGGCGGATGTCGGAGGTTGTTTCTTTATGGGAGCGCTGGAGCATGTGAACCGCATTTGGCTCGCTATCGAAACTATCTTGGACGTGCGAAGTATAGTCGCTCGGGATGACGGGTATAGCGGGTATAGCAGGTACGGCTTGTAGGCGTTGGAGGTGTTGTTGGAAAACAGTATCGGTAGGATCGAGAGCGGATAGATCGATGCTCGTATGCGACGAGAAGGTTGAGACACGGAAGTGATGCGACTGTTGAGGGTGATGATTATGATGACGACGAAGTTCGTGCGACAGCGGAGCCTCGGTTCCTGGAGGAGGTGGTTGAGACGTTTGCTGTTGGTGCTGCTGCTGATGCTGCTGTGGTGGTGGTGGCGGCGGCGGCGGCGGCGGCGGCGGCGGTTGTGGAAAAGATACGGAGGCGGGGTCCATCATGATTATGCCTTTCGTATATAGTCTGTCTGCTGCTGCTTGGTGACGATGCTGCTATAATGCCTTTGAACAAACTCGGCGCAGCCCACCAAGCATGTTTTACCCCATTCTCAAGTCGGATGTCGTAGGCGAAGCGTCTTCGCCGTCATGATTTGACTTCTGCTAGTTCGAGGAATTGGTTTGTCCAAGGTACTCCAAGGTACCTAAGGCCAATGTAAAGAGGTAGCGGAAAGGCAACGAATTGGGTTAATGGAATCGGAATCGGACAATACCGGCAAGGCGGGAAAGAGTCTAGAAATTACCTAGAACGTACAAAGGTAAAATATTAATAGTAATAATATAATAAAAGTACGATCAGATGTGAAAATGCTAAAATGCCAAAAATGCCAAAAGCGCCGATAGAAGCTGAAAAGCGCAGCTCACGAAATTGCCCCGCCTTATGGGGTCCTTTGCCCCAGGGCGGCCAGACCTACTTCCCTGAAAAGCTTAGTCTAATCCTAAAGTGGCAATGGACCACCTGTCTATACCTTATCGTCCCATCAATTTCTATATACCTAGGTAGTATAGGCCCCACATCCCGACGAACGGCCTAACTTACCTAACGCTAACCCTTAAGTTGCACTAGTATAATCCGTAAAGAGTACATATAAAGATACCGGCGGCATAATACAAGCGGCATAATACAAGGACGATAAAGTCCGTAATGTAGGAGCTGTACATATGTAAGTGTAATGGTAATACCTACATGTAATATGTAATATACTTTTGGGCCAATAATCGTCGCCAATAGCAGGAATTGGACCCTGACGATCTAATAAGATCTCATCCATTATCTATAACTCGCACACTTCGTCGTATTGCCCCTCACCCCTCATTCCCGAGACACCTACCAAGAAGCTGAAAAAATAAAATAAAATGCACCAAGTCTGGTTCGCTTTCTACGAATCAACCTCTCATCACGAGCCACGTTGAGAGTTATCCCTCGTGAGAAGGACCCTCCCCTTTCTGGTAATTACGGCGTCGTGGTACGAAGGGAGCTTACGTGCCCGCATCTGCAGCTTTCTAAACCTGGCAGTCTGGGTACGTGATAGGCATCGAGTCGCCAATCCTAGGCTGTTGCCGCGATATTTGACAGATAAGGGGCTATTAGATACCTAATAGAAAACATATTTTCCACTCATCATGTTTATAGATTGCATAATGCAATACTATATCCAGCTTTCAACTCCAACTGGATATCTTTGTAAAATACGCATTTCTTTGGGTATCTGCCTAGGTACATAGGTAGGTAGTAGGATTTCGTCATTTATTCGTCTATGTGAATTTGAATGGAGTATATGGATAAGTGAGGTAAGGGTTCCTTCGCCTTCCGTTACCGACATATTAGAAAAATCCAACCCCCGTGCGTCACGTCATGACAGTCTACTATACAGTTCCAAAATGAACGTAACCTCCGTGTCGATATCGGACGCGCAGCACCTAGAACGCCCCAATATGTATGTCCCAAGTCGTAATAAAGCGCCTGGCCCGATGGTCAACCCTGTACATATCCAATCCTGCCTTGCTCCTATTCAGCTTATATCGAGAGAACGGACATGCTTCGATTAGTTAATGGCCCGGCCCTCGTGACAGCGTTATGTGTTAGGTTCCCATCCCAAGTCCATTCGCACATCTAATAGGTGTTGAAGAACCCCCTCGGCTACGGGCGTCATATCACTTTGCCCAGCCCAATTATCTGGAAGTGTGAAACCTTGGTCTGGAGTCATGCCTGTACCACCCCCCATTTGAAAGAAAGCGGCTGTAGTCGCGTCCATCTCGGCTTGAGGCCCTAGAGACTGGTGGGATCCGATAGGACTGGTATCAAAAGACCTCCTGCCGCTCGAGCTTGCCATATGACCAGGTCCCGTCGTGCTCTGGCGATTATCTGAGGCGGTACTCGAATTTGGCGTTGGTCTATTTGATGGCCCATCAGTATTTGACGATGGTGATATATCGTTTGAGTCGCTTGTAGTCCCTTCTACGAACCCCGGGAACATTATAGGCGGAATTGTTGCGTGGTTGCAACTATTATTACTAGCAATCTGGTCACGAGTGGCCTGGCCTTGTTCTCCCGCAAGCCAATTTTGGCCCGCGAACTCATCCACCAGTTGTCTACCGTTGATCGGATGCTGATTTTCAGATTGACAATTATTAGAAGCATTTGGCGGGTTGTCACTACCCACGTTTGCATGGCGATAAGCAAGAAGGCCACCACCTCCTGACTCGTGATCCGTTGCGCAGTTAGTAGCATCTCCGACACCATTTTTTCGATAAGGCATCTTTGGAAGCTTGACACCCGAGCCAGGCTTGAAGTTGTTAGTTAATCCAGGATACTCATTAATGAATGATTTAGAATGAAACTTACGCTATCTGCACTCCTTGGGAAGGCAGACTTGAGCTTAGGTATTCGCGTTCCTAACGCTTCTAAGTCGACATCCAATTGCACTAAGAATGATTCGGTTAAGGGGTTCTTCCTCTTCAATGCATTCATAGCGGCAAGGAGGAACCGTAGCGAATCCGCTGTCTGGCTGTCGTCCGGCCTACTCTTCAGGTATTGAACAAATACCCGCGCAGCAACGTATAAACAAAAAGATATGAACGGATTCATCTACAATCTTGTTAGATGCGGGGCTCATGCTCGTCTAGGGTTCTTCAACGGGCACTTACAGCACACAAGTCTAAGTGTGATACCATTCTCATGATGCTGGCAATCTCGTTCGCTGCCGTGATGCATCGTACTTTGCTTTCCGCACTAACAGACGGCGGGAGTTTATTCCGGTCTGCCTTAAAGATAGCCGCTTGGTGAAGACATATCGTCGAAGTATGGATGTTCATATTAGTAAATACGATGTTGGGATTAGAAAGCCCGACAGGAAGTTTTAGATGGTTTGGTAGACAGAGGGACGTATTTAGCAGAATGTTATCCATATTCCTATGGCGCTTCCAGAACTCCCCATTGAGATCGTGGTCGCGATCGTCGGCATCTGGCCGATGAAGATGGACGAGATTGCGGCCGAATAAACAGGCCATCAATACGATACCTCCGAAGGATGAAAGCTTGGCGGCTCCAGCTGGGCACATCGAGTCCGCAAGCGATTGCGTCTGTTCTGGTCGGCTCATTTCGAACGCCTCCTCCGAAGATGGCAAATTGGTCATAACATCTCGCTCATCGATCGTCATGGGCCAACCGGTACCAATGCTTGCATACCGGTCCTGCGAGAAGGCCATCCAAAAGGTCCTTCGCCTCTCTTCACGCTCCGTCCAGTCGCGAGGAGGCGGAAGGCATTGCTTCACATCAAGGCCCGTCCCGTCAAGTCTGTGCAGTCCAATCCTAAAGTTTGTGAGCAGTGAGTCGTCCAAGCCAGCTTTACTCTAGTACTTACATCTGGCATAAGCGCACAGCAGCGCCTGTGCTCATCCACGCTCTTGGGAAGTACATCATCTTAAATTCATACGACGCAAGCAGCACATGAGTTTGAGCATGAGCTACTGAAATCATGTGCTCGCCATAGCCTTTGACGTAATCTGCCTCGATATACTTACGAGCGCGCTGGTAAAAGAGGTCTTTTAAATCCGCAAACTTGTCTGCTACCGCACATGCCTGGGTCCAAATCGCATATCGCAATGCAACGGGAGGTCGTTGGTTCGGCGCCCTAGCGAGTGAATAAGTATGGAGACCAGCATGAACACAGCCTAGAAAGTTAAGGGTAGGTACACGGTAGAAATGCAAAGGGTATATCATACAAATTCATCGCCGCCAGGTACCGGAATTTATGAATCATGGGCAACGATGGATGGATCTTATCGAAGTATATTTGATGCCTGCGAATTTCTGTTAGTCAAGATCGTGTGCATATACGTTAAGGGACTCTAACAGTTCATCGATCGTCTCCTGCGGCGGGAGAGGTTCTTCCAGTCCAAGACCAATCATCTCCCACGTAAAACTACTGTCCATACCGCCCATGTTCATGTTCCCGCCAAAATTAAATTCATCTAAGCCGGCGGGTGCTTGTGGTGACTCGGCATTGAAATGCCATTGGTCCATATCACGATCTCTTGATATGTTTATTTGAGGATTTGGTATATTAAAATTAGGCGTCGGAGCGGTTCGTTGGTTGCGATTCGGTTGTTCGAAGGTGACGTTTGGCGTTTTGCCCGCATCAACCCCAACGGTAAAAGACGGCTCTTGGGTTTTATTCAGGAGCGTCTCGACTTGTTCTAAATGAGAGCAAGACCCCTTAGTTCCTATTCACTGGTTCCAATAGGTGTCTTGTTGAATTGACACTTACTCAATCTCTCTTCTAGAGCCTTCACATATCCCCTTTTAGGGCCACTCTTTCGTCTCACTTCATCGTAAGCGCAAGCGTGTCCTAACCTCGTACATGTACTACAACTCGGCTTTACGCCGTCGCATCTGAGCTTGCGTTTTCGACATATCATACACGCTAGCCGCTTCGGCCTGGGAACATTGCCGTTATTCTGGTTTTGAGGCGCGGCGGGTGGGCTCGTATCGGCGGTTGGACTGTTGTCTGTGCCTCCCTGAGACCCAGAGTCGTTGGCTGCGGCGCCAGGGGCTTCGCCAGTCGAAGTCGACATAATCTAAGACAAGATTAGATAGTGCGGGAAAGCGGCGATGACTCCGTAGCGCGCCGGTAGAAGACCCCGAACGGAAGAGCTGTATGTATTTCGGGATGCGCTTCGGCCTCAAGCCACGATAGCGTCTTGGATACGCGCGCCAGTTCGACGGCCACTGTCAAAACGAGATATCGGCGACAGAAACAATTCAATCCAACCCCTTCCAAGTTCTTTTTTTTTTCTCTTTTAAAATATTTCTCTCCCTCCGACACTCTGTCTCGATGTTTTAACGTGTGTCGTTAAGCCCCAGGCGGTATAAGCCTTAAATCTTACGGCGGGAAATCGAGTCGATAAGCATTGGCGAGTAGACGGGGAAAATGTATGGAAGCCGTGAAGAGGGTCTTTAGGAGAGGGGATCCCGGGCCTCGTAATGTGGGGAATGATCTTAATAGAATCTCTTTTCTATAAGTGGAATTCGCAATGATATTGTTGCTTGGGACCAAGTAGTTGAAGAACATTCAGGGCTGAAGAGCGACCCCAAACTTCAAGACGGGATTAGCAATAGCCACGCGCCGCCTTGTAAGAAAATAGTGTATACCTCTCTATACGAAATCCCGAGGTGGTGTGTAGACAGGTAGATACCTAAGTTACCAAGTCGACTGTCAGGACATAGGCAACAGGAAGAATGACTGTCCCCTACCAATACCTACATATACTCATGCAAATTCAGGAGATATATGGGATTGAATCCCGGTCGCTACGTCGCTATATCCTGCCAATCACAAAGAAAAAGTCGAGCCAATATGAATTACTAATGTAAGAGGGACTTGTCTACACTAGTAGGGCTGAGTAGTAGAAGCAACAAAGTGGATTTTAGATTAAATCGATTCCATAGCCCACATAAGATAATGTTATTAGCGGGGTCTCAAGTACTCTAGTATTTCCTTCTTTGTGCCGTTCTTGCTATTATTTATATTGCAGCCTTATTGATATTCGTAGGTCAATCTTGTATTGTTATAAGATTAACTAGTACCTTTATGAGATGTCTTCATAGAACCCGGAGTACTGGTTTCACATCGACTATGTAGGTACCTACATGTAAGCAACGTAAGCTATAATTAAATCTGATTGGCTATTCTATTTTCTAGAATTTATCGGAACGAACACTCAGTTGTCTGAAACCCCTCGCACTTAAGGAGATAGTGGGGAATTGTTGTATTGTACTATGTAAGATAGCACTCCGTACACTATACGAAGTACCTAATTCTACAGCGCAGTCCATAAAGCTTGGCGAAACTGCGCCAACTTAAGCCTACATCTAAGCTTAAAATGACAAATGACCTAAAAATTTCTCCATCTCAGCACCATCAAGTAGGCGACTGTAAGCAGGTTGCAGTTTAGAAAACAGCGAGTGGCATGGAAAAGATTAGTGTATTATTATATAGTAAAGGCCGTGGAGCATTGCGATGTCAATTCACCGTATAACACTCTTGCTATGTACCTAAGGTATCAAAGCTTTCAGGGAAAGGTAGTGCTATCAAACAGGCTTCCTATTAAAGTACCGTCTCTCCCAGTAAGCTTCATGTGGTAATCTAGGGTTGTTGGTGAAACATTATCTCGCGAGATAGCCTCTTATATGTTGTATCGGATGTCGCCCCCAACTCTGTTAAACCAACACTTGTCTCTAATGATGATGACAATAAGCAGCATCCCATATGCTACCCCCTATCTGTCTAAATTAGGAACCCTTTTTTTAGAGGCTGCTTTTCAGCTCAGCGCGTCAATCCCTTCTCAGTAGAATTGCCTATACGGACGTGATTTCTTATATCTTATATTCGTTCAGAATTCGGTCTTGGCCGTCGTCGCGGCTATCGGAACCATTGGTTTCTCTCGAGTATCTGCTTTCATAACCGTCAATCAGATTGACTCCGAGTCTTCCTATTTCGTCCCTGCGCTGGCCCCTATTACTCGTAGACTTCCCGAGTCAATGTACGCGAGTGAATATCGGTTTGGAGACCATGCAATAACAGGAGAAGCTGTCGTGGTCTTATATGTGCAGAGATGGTCTCCCGTTTCGGAGTTGAATATCTCTAGTCCGGATCCTACAAGCATGACAAGAAATTTAGTCTCGGTGTCAACAAATGTACGACTTAATGATACTTACCCTCCTCACTTCCGCCTACTATATAGAGACCATCCCAAGAGAAACCTGTGTCGAAAAGTTAGCACGGATGATTTATGACGTATGATTTCAATATACGTACTGAGACTGCGAACTGGACCGATCATCTTAGTCGCAGTTCTAACACAATTCCATTCCGTTGTTTCCCAAAGCGAAATCAGTGAATCAGTTCCACCCGTGGCTAAGTACCGGTTATATGGATGTAGCTCAACAGATATGCAGGACGAGGTATGCCCGGTCAACTTGAATTCGGCATCTGGACCTTCCTTGTAGTCAAACTGGTAGGCGGGCTCAAAATCCGGGAATGAGAGGATTCTTGTTTTTCCATCTCCAGTAGTAGCAAATATTCTTTGGCCACTCCAACAGAATGCAATGTCGTTAGTCTGCACAGGCTGTTGATGTGATGAAATCGGTGTGCTTTGGGTTGGTGAAATAATGAAGAGCTTGTCTTCCTAAAGCAATGGGTTAGTCTTTGGGAAGTAGGCTGGATGATAATATTTACCTTATTCCCGACGAGGACACATTCGCCGCGGGGATGCCACGCTAAAGTGAAGGTCTCGCCTAAGCCTTTAACCTCGTTCAGGACTTGCTTAGTCTTGACGTCCCAGAACCTAACCACTCCATCACTGCTCACACTACACAACTCGAGCTCCTTAACGGGATTGAAAGCAACCTTTTCGATTGATGCCGTATGACCTTTCAACTCGGTCGTTTGACGAACATTAGGCTTGTCCACATTCCCTTAAACCGGTAATTAAGAATTAGCATTCCATACCACAGTAAACATAAAATCCCAATTACATCATCCTAAAGGGGCATTCTTATGTTGTCGGATCATGAGCCGAGGACGAATCACGTACAGACGCGTAAGGTTTTGTCCAAACAACCAGTCGCAATATAAGTACCCAGTGGATTCCAAGCAATCGTGCGAATGCTAGCAAAAGTAATTAGTCAGATCTCAGATTATAACACAGGGTCCAGTAGTCGTACCATCTAGGGAGTAGGTACGAGACCACAGCGCGTATATTATGAATACCGACTAGGGAGAAAGATAAGCGGTAACTTACTTGTTTGGGGTCTTGTTCACGGCCGGGTCGTGGTAAATTGTCGGCTTCAAAGTGGGAAGTATAACCTTGAACTTATCAGCTGCCACGGACGTTCTTGGTACTACGCGTGCCATGGCTTCACGAGTAGTAGATTATCACTATGTCGTTACTGCGGATGGAGTAGAAATAATTTCATGCCAATATATGGTGTTTCATAATATTTTTCGACGGAAATTCAGCAGATACTAAAAAGTTCTATGCTTTTTGTCGAAAGTTGAGGTTGTGAATTTATTGTTTGAAGCTTTAAAGCTTGAGGTAAAGCCAACAGATACAAAGGTCCAGACGTACCTAAGTACCTAACCTACGTTGATGTACTTAAAGTGAATGATCCACCTTAGCTTGAGTCTAAATTCCCGCTTAACCACATATGTATCCTCCTTATCTTAAGAGGTATTGTTGTAACTGCTGTAATCAATTATTGCGATTTCCAACCATACTGCCATACCGCCGGGCACCTGCAGCTATGTAACTAGGTACTTTATGTATCAACTAGAACTTTAGTAACCTTCCCCAGAAGCTCGTCCATCATCACATCTCGTGATGTTGCCGACTGACGCAGTTTTCAGATAGCGGCACAATTGGCCGTTCATATTCTTATCGCACCTTGTCTATGACTTGCCAATATTTGGGGCATACGGATGAAGGTTCCGGGGGCCTGTATTAGCCATGTACTGGCCCATTGGAACTCCTAGAATATATGCGACAACCACCAGTCAAGTTTCTACTAAGACGAACTTCGTCATATCCAACGATGGCGTCTCTTCTATCGCCGCAGATAGCGACTCGCTGTCAAGCTCTGAGCCACCCCCTCCCTTACTCCTCGATGAAAAAGACAGGACCATACCGGACACATATATACCACCTCTCACCCCTGGTCTCAAAACTCCAGCTACTCCAGCTATAAACTCGGTGGAGCATGACATTTATCATGATGGTAGCAGCTCTACTTCTACTTCCCAGCAGCATCTTGCAGGGACTAGTGGCAGTACTATTCCAGCTGGAGATCCAATTATTGCTTTGAAAGTGTCTAGGACTGGTCATTTATTTGCCGTAATTACAGCCACTACCATGACGATATGGCAGACCAAAGTTCGTCCTCTATAACATTATATTTAGCATTATATTTTAATTTTACCTGCTAACCATGACGATGTCTACTTCTAGCCTACCGTGATCCAAGCCGTCGTCGTCCGATCCGAAGCATCCATTAAATCCTACGGTACTAATGTCGCCCTCTTATTAAGGCCCGATTCCGTTATCTTCGTCGTTCAAACAAGCTTAGGCTTCTTAATTACGTATTCACTTGCTACCGATGCCGAGTCCCGCGTCTACAAACCTCACTTTTCGGACCATAGCAATATCCAAAGGCGACGACAAAGTCACTTTGGGGGTCCTGGTAATAATACGCCCGATCAGATCCTATTAGGTCCAGGTGAAGGAGCCGGGGTTCGTGATATAAGTCTCCGTTTTCGTAGGGTGATCAAGGTGGACGCCGGTATTGAACATGCTATTGCCCTTGACGACGAGTTGGTCGTTGCCACCAAGAAGCCAGCGGCTGTCCAATGCATCAAGTGGACCCCTGACAGTAGCGGTGGTCAGACGAGCACTGAGCTCGTAAGTCGCATGGGTTGGTTGGAGAAAAAGGTATCAATCAAAGAAATGACCCATGATCGGCCTATGAACCTCTCTACTTGGGTTACAAGTGATGGGAAAGCATACGCCGTTCAACGAATCTCAGCTAGTCAGGCCAAAGATAACCCCGAATTCGACCCAAAGAAACTCTTCAAAGGCTACTGCTTCCATTCGCCTCTTAGCGGTAGCGACCACGCCGTCAAAGCGGTCGTTAATGCTAGATTCTCACTGATAGCTGTAGGCTGTATTGACGGGAGTATCCGCGTATATTCTGCTAGAGATTACGCTGGCAACATCCCCCCATCTCACGTCCACCGAATCCCAGTCTCGTCCGAATCTGCAGGTCCCTTAAGAACTCTAAGTTATTCCCCAGATGGATACTGTCTTTTCGCTGGCTATGAAGATGGATGGGCAACGTGGAGCGTGTTTGGAAAGACTGCCGGCCACAGCTTCCATAATAACCCCTCTATCACATCCTCTAATCAAGAGGCATGGTTAAGTGGTATCACGGAAGCTAGTTGGATTGGCGGAGCCTGCGAGATATTGATGGTTGCTCGTCAGAATGAATCCATCTGGTTGCTTGAGATGGCGCGGAGTGCAGTTACCGGTTGCTACACTCCTCCTAATCTCTTCCGTACCGTACTACAGAGCTCATCTAGCGTTATGGTTTACCGGGGTTACGATCTCCCAGATCTCACCAGTATCTCCGCCGAGCCTTTCCTTTGGCACAATGCTAGGATCCCCGCTAATTATCTTCTGAACCAATGGCCGATCAAGTGTACCGTCGTATCTTCCGACGGTAGATACGTTGCGGTTGCGGGCAGGCGTGGACTCGCACACTACAGCGTTAATAGCGGTAGGTGGAAGACGTTTGCGAATGAGGCCATGGAGAACGAGTTCCAGGTCAGAGGCGGGATGTGTTGGTATCAACACATCCTCGTAGCAGCTGTCGAAGCGAATAGATCGTATGAGCTCCGATTATATTCGCGAGAAGCTGCTCTAGAGAGTTCGACCGTCATGTTTACTCAGCAAATGCCAGCGCCTATTGTCTTGATCACTCCGTCCGGAGAAGACTCTCTACTGGTCTACACCTATGATAACCTTCTTTATCACTTTGTATTTGCGCCCGTTTCTGGTGCAATAAGACCCATACAAGTGGGACAAATTGCCTTCCACGGTATTGTCAGATCTCCCGCCAGAGTGAGGGGCCTTAGTTGGATATTACCCGAGAACCAAATGATCGATGGTGATCCCTCACAAGATGTCGCTTTTGCCTCAGTCTTGTTCCTGGTAGATGGGAAACTCGTCCTCCTTCAACCGTCCGTCAATAACGAAGGGCAGCTCAAATACGATATGCGCGTCATATCTCACAACGTCGAGTTCTACGTTAGCATGAGAGACCAGTTTTCCGTTAACATGTTAGGCGAATCCAGTGCGCGGTTCTCTACGGAGGCCGAAGAAAATAGTCTTCGGAATTCGTTATGGGTATTTGAAGGCCATGAGTTGAAAGTCTGGCCCGATGTCCAAGAAGTTCTACGAGCTACTTCAATTGAACCGACGAAAGAACTACCATCTACGGTCTCCATGCCTATCGACTTTTATCCCCTCTCCATCTTATTAGGTAAAGGAATTGTGCTAGGAGTTGAGCCCGAATTAGTCCAACGAAGAGACATCAGTTTCTCTTTCTTCCGGTTCTCTATCAGGGTAGGTAAATACCTAGGTTATCCTTTCCCGTGCCAGGCTAATGATCTTTAGACTCATCTTTTCCTCCCTGAAATTCTGCGTTTTTATCTGGTAACAAACAACGCCGCTGCGGCACTCAAATTGGCCCGGCAATACCAAAACCTCGAGTACTTTGCACACGGCCTAGAGGTACTACTCCATCACGTTCTAGACGAGGAAGTCGACTCGGCACCTAAACCAGAGGCGGCCATTCTTCCCAGGGTGCTTTCTCTCTTATCGTCTTTTAAGCAATATCTAGATATTGTAGTTCAATGTACAAGAAAAACCGAGGTCAGGTCTTGGAGAACGCTCTTTGCATACCTACCTCCGCCGCAAGAACTTTTTGAAGAGTCTCTTCAACGTGGTTCGTTAAAAACGGCAGGGGGCTACTTGTTAATATTACACACATTTGATGAGCTCAGTGCAGCATCGGAGCAGTCGGTACGGCTATTCTCGCGAGCGATCCGGGAAGAGGATTGGGAACTTTGCAAAGAGCTAGCTCGGTTCCTAGCGGCGATGGACGAAAGCGGGGAGACATTAAGAGAGGCAATGGAACTAGTCAACATCCGAGTCAAGCAAGAGTCGGATGATACAGATATAATGTCTAGACTCGAGGTGCCGGCTCGGAAAGCTAACGGCAGCTCCCGCATGACGAGACAGAACTCGGAGACAGGTTCCGACGCTCAATCAGCGAGCGACATAAGCAGCTTGGGAACAGCCAGTCCAATATGATAGAAGGAGTTACTTGGGATAAAATGGGACGAGCGAAAAGTGGTTTATATTATTCACATGGTTAGGTGCTAAAGGGATCGTATTGTAAATGTAAACCTTTGGGTCTGGTTAGAATGCAGGCCCAGAAGACTGGTCTGATGAGACGTAATTCTATTATTCCTGAAACAGATACCTATCCAGAGGAGATGAGGCCTGAATACACGTTCAAATACATGCTGAAAGGTGCAAAAGTTGATGCAAGAGTTATCTTGGAACTCTGGTTAACTAGTTATTGCATACTTGCATTTGTAATGCGACCAATGATAAGTGAGGATTGTCCATCTTTGGTTGATTATCTAATCTTAGGTAATTGATGATGTTTAATCTACACCTATATGTACGTGCCTAAGTATCTTAGTACTATGAGGTACATGTACCTACTGCACATAATGCATTCCATTGTTTGGGCCTGGCAGGTAGAGTCTCCATCCCCGGATACATCTGCGAGGCTGCTGAGGCTGAAATATGGACCCACTATACTTTTCGAGCCCCCCCACTAGCAGCGCCCACTGGACCTTGACGGCATTTCATCAATTTTGGCTGCTCGGTTTGCGCCTGAACCCCTCCATCTCCGTATTCCCATACGACGCGACCTAAGAGCATTATCCATTTTAAACCTCATTTCGCTCTTTTCCATTCTGTCCCTTCCGCCCACGGGGACCCAACCGCCAGACTTAACGTCGCATCGACTATAAACCCAACAATTCTACCAAGACTGCCCGACGTGGTCATGATGGACGAGTTCGCTTCCGAATCTGATAGTGACTACACTAGCTATTGGCGAGATTGGGTGAGTGCATGTGGTTCTTCAGAACCTTCTTCCGACGCGAGTACGCAGGCGGTGTAGTGGGTAGCGAAATTCCAATGGCACAAGAGCTTCTCTCGAGAGCGAGAGCGCATTCCACTTTAAGAATACCTTAACTTCTTATCTTTGTTCGACATATCCTTTGTTCGAAAGTATCGATGGCTGCTCTTCACCCGTATTTGATTTGTGGGAAACTCGTCTTCCAAGTACAGTGACGCGTTCCCTCTACTCTCTACAAAAGAATTATATCATCATCAGTCAATTTGTTTTTCTTTTAGCCAGCATTAATCATGGGAAGCCCGGCCCCATCGTCGCGGACCCTATTCCTTCGAGATAGACCTAACTTATCTTTCTTGATGAACTGGATGCACTCCTCTGTCAGTACCGGAATGTTTAGCCACATGCCCGCCAGCCCGCCAGAGCTATATTTCATCTCTATCTACGCGAACCCCAAATTAAGCCTATATTCCCTAGACATATTATCAGGTGTTATTCTTATATTGATGCTAACTATGCGCCCTTAGTTTATATCTTCGCGTGGAAACGAGTATTTTTGCGAGATTGACGAAGACTATCTCACTGACCGCTTCAACCTGACTGGACTCAACACGGAAGTCCAGTACTATCAATATGCTCTCGATCTTATCACAGACGTATTCGACCTCGACTGCGATGACGACATGAGGGAGACTATTGAGAAATCGGCCCGTCATCTGTATGGTTTAATACATGCTCGCTACATTGTTACTACGCGTGGCCTGGCCAAGATGGTATGCTCATCCCGCTTCATTAGATTTCATATGGGCCTAACTTATAACCATTTGTAGCTCGACAAATATAAAAAAGCCGATTTCGGCAAATGCCCGCGAGTCTTCTGTCATTCACACCCGCTCCTACCGATGGGCCAGACCGATATCCCACATCAGAAACCTGTGAAGCTCTATTGCGTTCGATGCGAAGATGTCTACAACCCCAAGTCCTCACGACACGCAGCCATCGACGGCGCGTATTTCGGTACCTCGTTCCACAACATCATGTTTCAGGTCTACCCAGCATTAGTCCCCCCGAAGAGCGCCGACCGATACATACCCCGCGTCTACGGTTTCAAGGTACACGCCTCGGCGGCGCTGATCCGTTGGCAAAATGCCCAGCGAGCAGACATGCTCCGACGGTTACGAAAGCTGGAAATAGAAAGCGGGTTCAAGGAAGACGTGGGTGATGAGGATCTCGAAGAAGAGGATGATGAGGAAGACGATATAGAGCTAGAGGGAATGGAAGGTGATGCCATGCACGTTGTCGGTTAGGTTATGATTCTGGCCGGATATCTTTGTCTGAGCATGACCACGCTATCAACACTAAGAGCGTATACCGTGTCGGAGTTTATTCGTACAAGAGTCACAGGGAAAATGCTCCGATACCTACGGCCAAATCAAAGCAACGAAATCCTTCTATTTGTGTAGCACGATGTCTTGTCCCATGCCTTCAACAACGATTTTAATGTAAGGCACGAGTACAAAGTGGATGGTATAGGCGGTATTCATAATCAAGATGCAGATTTGTTATTATGCTGGCGTTTGAGAAGGACTTGGTTGTCATTCCACGGCGTTTTACAAGATTCCCCCAGGATACCTTTAATAAAGTTCCTCACTAATGATATTTCTTTGTATGCTGAATTCTCCCTTCGGATATAATACGGTTGAGGTGATATTAAAGACGCTTCCCAAGGTTGTTATGTCCACAGGATGGTATCTCGGGTTTATATTGGTAGCATACACGTAGTGCCCTGCGTAACGGATAATATGATATAGCAGTTGATAAACCCAATAGATTACCTAGATATCTAAGACGTAGCCAGTAAATAATCACTACCTACCATCTCCACGTAGATAGGAAAGCTAGCTCATCCCAGATACCGTACTAATCATCACCTCGTCTTCTTCCTCGCCTCCGTCCAACTAGGGATAGAGCCATGACGAAAAAGAAAAGAGAGAGAGAAAAAAATCTGTACTGGGACGTCATTGGGGCTTCAAAAATTCCCTGCCCGGGCAAGCCCAGACAGAAGTGGTCAGGAAATAGTTTTCAACTAGCAAAAAGACGCACTCGGATTACTCCTCACTGTGACGTCTAAAGCCCGTGCACTAAGATGAGGAAGAAAAGAGGAAAAGGAGAAAGTGAAAGATTGGATGGGCAGGGCGGGTATTTATACATGTACTGGGGTGGGGCTGCTGTTGCTTCTTCTCAGGTGGTCTGGCAGCTGCTAGGTGTTTGCTATGGTTTGATGACAGGAGCGTACCTGCTATTAAACTTCGAGGAGGGACTGTGCGACACACATGATAAGACGTAAGGGCGATAGCTGGATTCGTTACGAGACGCAAGCCACGAAGACTAACCCATCATCCTACCTACCCTACACACTTTACTACCTACCTAGATATATCTACCTAGATATATGACAGTCACTATAAGCAATCCAATTCGTATTCCGCTGGTAATAATCCAACCAGTAGTTTGTTTCGTATTCTGTCTATATGCACACCTAATGTCGTTTACAAGTGCGAAAATGCCACCCTCGTATGTTGAACAACCGACCAAAAAATAACAACTCGCTTTCCTTAGAACTCCATGATATTCACCTTTTAAATTCTCCCCTCCACTTGAGCTGGAGTTCCCGAACTTTCTGCATGAGATGGATCATCTACTTTCGTTCGATACCGCATGCCTAGCTCGATATCATCTGCGCGGTGGCCCGTCATCCTCTCCACTTCGTCTCCGGGTCTCTCCCAGTGCTTCTTATCCGTCGCGTAACTCCACGATCCCAGGCCTGCCCAGAACGCCTTGTCGTGACTACGAGGTCCCCATGCCCATCCGGCACCGGCACGGATCGGCATGTGATAATATCGGAATGCAAACCATGCGCAAATCGTTCCTATGATATAGCCGAAGAGGATATCAAATCCGTGATGCCGGAAGTCAAACCAACGCGAACTAGCGACGAATATAGATGTAAAGAAGGGGAGAACGGCTAGAACGAGTAGGTATATAGGCGGGGCAGCCGCTTGTCTTCGGGTGGAGAGAACAGCCGAGTTATGGGCCCCGATCTGCTTGACCGTAGCTGGATCAACAGGAGAGGCAGACCTATCGATTTCCCGTTCGTTTCGCACGGCTTCATAAGACGTGTCGATGTTACGCAACCGCGACGGGAAAGCAGTAACCGTACTCGTGTCGGCCGTTGCTGCGTCATGCGGTACGAAAGGCAACGTGATGGCAAATTTGCTGGCTAGGAAAAACGAAAGGTAAATCAAGCCCGCGGCCGCAGAGCTAGAGTGTCCCGAAGGATAACTGCGAAAGCCGTCGTCGAGTAGAGCACGGTCCGGGTTCTTGCAGATATCCGCACTAACAAGCTGACCATTATATGGGCCGTCCAATGAACCATCGTCCGCAGGCGTGTGGAACCCAATGATATATTTAGCGACATGCTCGAAATCCGGTTGGCATCGGGAGAGGAGATCCGGTCGCGGCTTTCCGAAGAGGTTCTTCATGCCCTGCGTGATGATCCAAGCCGATATGAGAGAGAGGGCCAGGCCTAGCCATCCCGTATGTAACTCCCATAATTTACGCTTCCATATTAAGGACTTCGGAGTGCCCTTCGGAACTGTCGGGCCCGGAACGAAAATGAAGACGACGATTAGGACAACGGCGATGGGGATAACGGCGTTGCAGATTAACAGAAGTTTGGAGTCTACGGTCTCGTGAACGGTGAAAGGAAAGCTGTGGACGATTAGCCAATTACACCGACACCGGCGGAGTTCCCTCACAATTGGGAAAGGGGCAATACGTACGATATGTTAGGATCTTGTAAGCTAAAGGGTCTCTTATTCGGAGTAACGTTGCCCAGAATAACGCCAACGATGCCGACGACTATAAGTATTAACCAGTCGAATACATAGGACCCAATAACGATGAAGCTGAGCTTAGATTTACGGCTCTGGAAGCCTGAAGAATTGCGATCGGGCATTTTGCTGTAAGGATGGGAAAGCAAAGGAGAGATAGATGGAACAACGCTGTCGCTCTCGGGCATTATCAATAATAGGATGATTGTATCCGCTTCCCCTTAAGGTCTTAAATGACTTGAATACGGGTATGCATGTGAGTTAGGTGTACATCAGATGACGATGCTTGTACGTATGTACAGTAATGTATGTATGGAGAAGGTGTGGAGAGAGATGTAAAAGTGCCTCCCGAATTTCTCGTTGTTTTGGTTTGCCTGGTCACTGCTCTCGAAAAATTGCTCTCAGGAGATTCCTTCAAACTACAAATTAATGTCCTTTTCCCAGAAAAGCTGACAAGACCAGAGAATACCCAAATAAAAGAAATCCAAATGCAAAACGACAGCGTCTCGCTTACAACGAATGCCGATAGAGAGATCGTCTTATGCCGCGCCTTTCAGGGCAAAGGAATAGGGAATTCGAGACGAGCCAAGCCCGATGGGGTAACAGGTCGCGTGGGTCCAGAGTCTTGGCTAGGTACCGTTTGACGGCGTCGAATTTGGTAAAAGTTACGAGTTACGGTTGGGACGAGCGCTAGGGACGAGTTTGCCGCGCGGATGGGGATTCCCTTATGCTTATGTATTGTTTCTCTTTGGGACCCTCAGCCTCCGTTTTTTTTCTTTTCTTATTAAATGCTAGACCAGGTCAGGCCGGCCGAACTGCCGCTGTCAAACAATAGCAATGTGGCAGTGTATTGTACATATGTAAGTGGCAGCACAAGAGTGGTTGTGTTGTGTAATGAATAGGTAGTTTTGTTCAATGGAATTGTCCCTCGTCGGGCGGAATACCTATATGTATTGTACAGCAGGTGCGCTTTTCGCGTATTGCTTCGGTCGGGGTCTTAGACAGGGTTTACAAGATGGTAGAGAAAATCAAGATCTACATAGATAGAGAGGGGGAGAAGTCATGTGTAGCGTGGCGAGGCCCCTTCGATCCAAAGTAAATAAATAGATGGGATTCGATTTGATTTACTACATAGGTAGGTAGGACGGTAGGTACCTAGGTAGTGTCTTGCATCTGAAGTGTTTAGTACAGATGATACGCTAAAATATTATGCTGCTATGTATAAGAGGTACCTAGGCAGGTAGGCTATGCTGTCCTATTCTATATGTACAATTGTCAATACTATAGTTCTGAACTATGGCGGAAAACGGTTCATTGTAAGAGCGCGCTTAGGTATATATTCATATGTATGCTGCCATGGCATATAAAGAAAATGCTTCCGGAATATACCTATACATCAAGTGGCTTTTTAAAAGGCGTAGGTATTCAGCAGTTACATTATTGCATCATAGGTGTCTGAATGTGACACAAGGTGCGGGAGGTTATTTTAACTCTACCGGCAGTGAAAGTTGCCCTGCTAAATTAAGACTATTAGTGTACCTTAATGTTTAGATGAGTACTTTGGTACATGGAATAGGTATGTTAAGGTTGTTTACAGGGACAAGACAGGTCGCATCTCATTACGTGGCTTGCGTGGCTTAAACTTGCACTGGTGCTCCTGTGCTCCTACTTAATAAGCACAATAATTCATAACCTGTGATGTCGACTTTTACATACACTATTCACGGATAATCCACACTGCCACTCTTGGTGTCGCTTGGCCTCCGTAATTCATGGTCGTAGAGACGCAATCATATAGGTATTGCTCCCTATCTGTGTCAACACGGCTTAGGGCAAAAGCCCCAATTGCGTACGTTGAAGCGTCGCTTAGATGTAGGTATTAGCAGAGGTTAATCCCTGTTGGTATTTATCCATATTTTAGTATACGAAGGTCCGGGCTAAAAGTCTTGCACATTTAATGTTGGTAAACCATGTATAAGTTAAAAAAGGACCGCACGGTATTACTTAAGCTATAGTGGCTAATGCCGCTATAAATATAATGGTAAATTACCTATACTTAACATATAAGCCACTATTTAAATTTTATTTTAGTAGGTAGTTGATATAGTATTAATAGAAAGGGATAACTTTCGAATACGGTGCTAAAGACCTCCACATGTATAAGACTTTTGGCCCGGACCTTTGTACACAAGGCTATTGTATAACCAGCAAGGCTTTGGTTAACTAATTTGTTCTTGAGTCTTACAATTACCTAGAATTGGTGCTACGTGTATCCTATCATGTGATAATCATCATAACTATCTATTGTTTCCTCTAGCCAAATTGGCTATGAAATTACCTTCTCGCAGGTTATAGCCTTATAGGTAATTGGAGGTAGATAACGTCTCACCTCATTCTCTCCTGTCATGATCAATATCATGTTTTAAGAGTAAGGAGCAAACCACTTACTTATACATCTTGGTCATAACTCATTGACTACCTAAGGTAGTAATGGGGGCTTTAAAAGCTTTTTCATGTCGGTTATCATTTCCGCCCTATTGCGTATTACGACGTTAGGAGAAAAAAACAATGTGATCTCGTATTTGGTGGCTGCAATAACGGCTTGGCAACGCCAGCAGATAACTCACCCATAGGTCTCGACCATGCATGTAACCTGCACGTTGCTAGCCGTGATGTGCTGGTTTCGCAGGAAATATCGATGTGAACCTGCAAGATGTAATAATGTATCACCCCTTTTGGCAGCCGTATTATATATTTCTATTACTAATATTTGGAGTAGGTAGAGGAATACCTAAGTCCTGGCTTTCGAGGATGCGTACGAACTCGAGATTGTGATATAGCCGTTTGTGTAATGCGCGGTAGTGTTCGGTTCGCTTGTAACATGCTGTCGATTCCGAGCTGATCGAGTAATCTCTTTGTACGTCCTAGATTACGCAATCTCAAATCTCAGGTCCGATCTGGCGGACTGGGGAAGAGCCTCAGATTTTTTTTTTATTGGCGATCTAGGCCTCAAAGATCCCGCCATCACACATCATCGTTCGAGAAATTCCTGCTCATACATACAGCAACGTGGAGGGAATACGGACTTACTGACTTCTCCGAGCAATGTAATTGGCGCAAACCTCTTTTTTATATGGTCCGTCGTATATGCTATGATCTATCTCGCATGCAGCCATGATACTAGACTTTTTCGTTGGGTTCCCGGACGCTCATGCATGCATCTTGTTCTTCACACTCGTCCATCCCATCGGGATGACCCCCTATTGTCCCCCGGGTCATAATTCCCGAGCTCCTGTGGCTCTGTGGCACGCCGCCGTCGTTCGAGACGAAAGCTGAGATGGATAGATGTCCGTACCATCCGATTCCAATGGCGCCGCCCTAAATAGTCAGCCGCACTTGTGTAAATACGTTATGAGCGGTCGACTCCCACGTACCTGAAAATTTTCTGCTGTTCAACCCCGTCTGTCAGCATCGCTCGTTAGCCTCCTACTTTCGCTCATGAATACGCTCGCTTGAAAAACTCTCGTCCAGGATGTATTTGCGCATCGAATTGCTCCTCGTTCTCGCATGTCAGCTGGTGATTGGCTTCGCCTTCGTAGTGCCTCCATCGCTAAGCCAGCGTGATGTCTCGCCCGACTTAACCTGCGGGAACACGGGGGCCGGGACAAAGGGTTACACATGCTCTGACAACCTGTGCTGCTCCCAGTACGGCTACTGCGGAAACACTACGGATTACTGCGCCACCGGCTGTCAGGAACAATTCGGCCTGTGTAGCGGGTCCGGCGGCGACGGAAACGGATCTGGTGACGACGGTGATGGAGGGACCTCGCCGGATCTAACGTGCGGGAATACGGGAGCCGGAGAGCATGGCTATATCTGCCCTACTGGCATGTGCTGCTCTCAGTAGTGAGTAATTTAAGACGAACTTCTTCTTGGATTCCATATTGATACCTCTTATTACCTAGTGGGTATTGCGGTAACTCGACCGATTACTGTGATATCGGATGTCAATCTGCATTTGGAACGTGTTCGCCGGGTGGTGGTGGGGACGGTGGAAGTTCCGGCGATGGGCGCTGCGGGCCTGATTTCGACGACCAAGTTTGCGGTGCGACGGAATGTTGCTCTCTTTCCGGGTAAGTTCATCCCGTCTCTTGAAGATATTTCTTGCTTACTTACCTATGTATCACTGGTAGATATTGCGGTACCACTTCAGACTACTGCAATGCTCCGGACTGTCTCTTCGATTACGGACCGGCTTGCGACGCAAATAAGATTCCTAGCGGCACCAATACCTCGACATTATCCCGGTCTCCCCTCGGAAGCGTGGCGGTCGGCGGCGTGGGGATTTACGACTGTCAGAGCGACGGTGATGTGGCTCTGACTTTCGACGATGGGCCTGGCCAGTACACATCTGAGCTTCTGGACCTCCTAGCGCAGTATAGCGCTAAAGCGACCTTCTTCATCACCGGCATTAATAACGGCAAGGGTGAGATCGATAACGCGAGCCTCCAATGGCCGTCCATAATTAAGTGAGCATTACCCACCCACAACGCCAACTAGTGAACTTGACTCCTAACGCATTTTCTGCCCAGGCGCATGCATGCCGACAACCACCAGATCGCGTCTCACACGTGGTCGCACGCCGATCTAAGCGCCATCACGTCAGCCCGGCGGCGGGATGAGATGATCAAGAACGAGATGGCGTTCCGCAACATCCTCGGCTTCATCCCGACGTACATGCGGCCGCCGTACAGTTCGTGTACGAAGGCCAGCGGGTGCGAGGATGACCTGGCCGCGCTGCGGTATCACGTCATATACTTCGACCTTGACACCGCGGATTACCTCAACGACTCGCCGGACTTGATTCAGAATTCCAAGGACAACTTTGACCAGTTTTTCGTGGGCCTGTCTCCTGACTCGGACGACGCCCTAGTTATCTCGCATGATATCCACGAGCAGACTGTGCATAACTTGACCGAGTATATGCTCAAGGGTATTCAGAGCCGGGGTTATAAGGCTGTGACTGTAGGCGAGTGTCTTGGAGATCCGGTTGAAAACTGGTATAGGCAGCTTTAGTAGATGGCGGCTTTCTAGGCCTCGCCTCTGGGTTTGTATGTTGTATTGGAGCAGAGGCTTGGACGTGGACCTTGGATATTATTCTCCCTATATTATTAAAGTTAATTATATATGTCGATATGTCTTAATAGAGCTACTTAGCCAGAACATCTCCATAGCTGTCGGGTAATAGGAGGAACGCGATATGAACTCTTCAACTTTGATATAATAGAGCTTTGACTCCTATCAAAGAATGAGAGATGCCTTAACTCTAAAGCTATAGTCCAAAATTTTGAGCTTGTGTACCTAAAGCATTGAGAAATGGGAAAGGGAATATTGCAGGCGCCTGTGGACCGTTTGGCTTTGGCTTAGGTTCGAAGCTTGTTTGCCTACTCCTTACATGAGAGTTATGGACAGCACTGGCCTCCACCAATCGTCACCACTTCGGACCGTATTTCATTGCATCCAGGAGTAGCCGAGAATTTAATTATGTCAATAGAGTTTACCAAAGCATTTTGGAAGCTTGGAAGAGACATACTCTTATGTGTCAATGTGTAATTTACTTACATTTGACGTTGTTGATGTGCATAAACCACGTGCCCACGCCTCACCACATGTATTTAGGCTATATGGTTAGGAGAAGACAGGCTGGCCTATAGGAATAAAATAAACACAGATGGCACGTCCCGTTGCAATTCACACCTAAGCATAACTTACCTGTCGAAAATGCACAACGTTGTAAGATGCCTTAGGTAGCTAGTGATAGCCAGAGTTGTTTGATGACTCGGTTAATATAGTACACTTCAATACAGAAGCCTCGCTCTTTTTGCTGAGACTGTAGGTCGTACATATAGACAGAGTGAATAGGACTCGCTCGAAGAAGGACGATTCTATGATTCTTTGCCCTTCTTGTCTCTCCGCTTGCCCATGTTCCGTACCCGAGGAACCACAACCCATTTGTTGGGGTTGTTCTTTCTGCGTGTCTTGTAACCACCTTTCGACTGAGAGTATAAGTCAGTAATTGAGCGCTAAATTTGTCTTCGAGGAATGAGGTGAGCCATACCGGTGTACCCCAAGGACTTGTTGGGTGTCGGTTACCCTTGGATTTACCACGACCACCACCGTGAGGGTGATCCACTAGAAGCCAATAATTAATATCATATTTGACATGAACCTGGATCGTATATTTAACATACCTTTGTTCATTGCCACACCACGTACTGTCGGTCTAATGTTTAACCATCGGCTTCTACCAGCCTTACCAAGCTGTCGGTAATGGTGGTGAGGATTACTCGACACGCCTATGGTTGCACAGGCATCTTTGCTGACTCTCCGGACCTCTCCGCTCTGTAGCCTAACATTGACATATTTACCCGTTACGACTTTGACTCCGTCATCCCTCACCTCTTCTTCCTTACTCTCAACGACGGCAAAGGTCCCCGCACTTCGGCAGAAAACAGCACCTCCCTTCGGGTGAGAACCGACGTTATATACCGGAGTTCCAACGGGGATAAGGTGCAATGGCAGGCAATTTCCACGATGTGCCGTCTTAGCAGCCAGAATACCCGGATCGATGACTCCACCCATGCTGTCGAGGAGGTCCTGAGGGATACCAGACCGATAACTTTGCACTACGTCTCCAGCCCTCATACCCTCGGCTGCTATGATGTATGTTTTCTGACCGGTAGCTTCCTCAGTGAGCAGCGCAATATGTGCGCTACGGTTCGGGTCGTACTCGATTCGTTCGACGAGATGAGGACCGGCAAGCCAACGGTGGAAATCCACTGTCCTTATCCTCCGCTTGTGACCACCGCCACGATGCCGGACTGTAATTTTACCATTGTTGTTACGGCCACCCTTCCCCATACCCTTCTTTGGGAAGGTTAATGGAAGGAAGGGCCTGCCTTTCCATAAGTGATCGTTGATAGGTCGCTTAAGGTGACGCACACCGGGTGTCCTAGGTTTGTATGTACGTAGAATTAATGTCGATTCCCTTTCAGACTTGAGTCCGGACGGCGCGTGCTGTCTCGCGGGTTTAGGGGGGGCCTCGTCATCCTTAGGAACCCTAGGTATAAAATCGACATCGGGGTTAGGGGGGCGTGCAGCCTCGCGAATTGTCGCATAGCCTCGGAGGGGCAGACTTAGAGAGCATTGGCAATTAGCCAGCGCCCTCCGGGCTGAGACGGACAATATCCGCGGCTGTAGCATTATATCATCTCACAGCCAGCGATGGCATATATGTCGATTGAGACGCGCTCGGCGGAGGAAAGCTAGGCCGGCCTTGGAGGGTATGGGGTTGAGAACTAAAATTCAGAAATTGAAGCTATTCTGGAATTCAAATTCTTCCGAGGCCAAGGGTAGAGGCTTGGCACCATAGGTACATATCTTAATTAGAGATTTCGTTGATCAACCGAGTTTTTACCAGTACTGAGGCTAGTGAGTTAGGGATTATGTAAGGTGAATGCGGCTGAAATTTCAGTTTAACGATTCAAGGTACGAAATTTAGTAGATTCAGCCACATCTTGCTGTGAGTTGTAAGGTACGGATGAATTATGAACCCCTGCAAACACGGGATCACGTCAGTGGATTGGTCAAGAAGAAGTGAATCCTCCGGGTCGGCGAAGTTTGACCAATGAAAAAACCGTTGCCCCTCCGTTGCTTCTGTTGATTCAAGTGGAACTGTGGGGTCAGTCACGTATCTAAAGGAAAAAAAGAAGCAGGTGCAGGTCCGCAACAACCGTCGTCTGGTGGCAGACCCATTATTATGTACTGTTGTACCGTGTGGGATCCTTAGATCGCGTCTTGCAGTGATGGAGCTACCGCAATTCTTTAACCAGTACCAACCTCTCTCCTTCACGACTCTACTTAACCTTACTCACTTTACTTACCATCTTCCATTCTCAAAACACGCAATTGGGAGTGCAATTCTAAACCATATTACCTCCCTTAAGTACCATTTTTGAATCTTCGTTCACTAGTTTCACTTCAAGAGCAATAGCCTCTCCAATATCCAACATAGTCTAATCGGCATTTGACTTTTGGTGGCTTGAGCGAGATTGCGCGCGTGTACACCAGAAATTCTCAGTTACTAGGTACGGAAGTATCAAGAATTATCAAGGCCCTAAGTTGAAGCAACAGCTTGAACAGGGGTGTTCTGCCCTAGAAGCTGCCTTGAGAGCCCCCCAAATTCGCGCTAAGGGTACCGTGTATCTGCTACGTGCAGTAAAATAGGTACGTGCAAACAACATCCCTCACGTCAAAGTTACGGGTACCTCCACCACCACGCTTTTGCTTTCGAAACCCACCCAAAAGCCAAACATTGGCCGCACTCTTCAAAAACATCACTGTTCCTCTACTCATCAACAACATTCAATCATCCACCTTTACAACCTTACATACCTCTTCACGAACCCAATTATCTTTTCTTTTCCCTTTCTATCCCTCATTACTCCACCACCTTATTCTCCAATCACGCTGTCTACGAACGTTTCTTACCAGCATCGCGTCTTGTCTTTAAGGTTCATTGCCTATTTTTGCATTTGCACTATTCAGCGCTTGATCTCTAAAGCTTGTTGACATACACTTTCGCCCTCACCCTCTGAACAATCAATTCATATGTATGAAATGTTTTTCTATTCTTGTTGCAGCATATTAGGTTTCTGCTTGTTGTCCTGCCAATGCATCATCGCATAATCACAGATTACGCGTGTATATAAGGCGGTAGCTTTGCAGCATTCCCTACATATATCCACCCTGCATATATGCACTGCACGTTCATTCAAGCTTTTGCTAACCTATCCTTTCAGACCTCAAAATCTAATTGTGGTTTTTAAATCAAAGCGACTTTACCCACCTACAAGATGCCTCCGGTAAGTCTAGTTATCTCACCGACTCCTTCACCGATCACGACTTTTATCCAAACTCGATGCTATATCGCGCTATTCAACACATTCAACATGGTCTAACCTAACTTCTCCAGGGACGCTCTGTCAGACAGCGAGTCGCTACCAACGAGAATGATGAAAATGCCACTGCAAATGCTACGCGTATGACGCGTGCAAAGGCTGCAGCCCTTGATCTCGATGTTTCATCTCAGCCGGCCAAACAGGTCCTTCAGTCCAAGAAGTCTGCAGTCAACGCGAATCCCACCGCCCAAAGAAAGCGCGCCGCCCTTGGTGATGTCAGCAACGTTGGAAAAGGGGAGGCCGCCGAAGGCAAGAAAGCTGCTAGCAAGGTCGGCCTAGTCTCCAAGGCCGCGCAACCTACAGGAATTCAGAAGGCCACTGCCCGTGCCACTTCAACTCGATCTGCTTTGGCCGCCAAGGAGGCGAAAAAGCCCGAGGTGAAGCGAGCAGGATCCGGCTCCGGTGCCCTCGGTACAACCCACAAGAGAAAAGTCACGTCAACAACAATCAAGCAAGATGTCCTCTTAGAAGAGCCGGTTCGCAAGAAGGCCAACACTGTGAGCAACGAACCCGCGAAGCTCGAACGCCCCGAACCCAAGTCATCCAAGTCGGATATCGCAGCCGAGAAGGCGGTTCAGAAAGAAGATGCCTCCATCAAGGAGGAGGTTGGCATTGTGCTCCCTGAAGGTGTAAAAGATCTAGAAGAAGAAGGTCTAGACGACCCTGTGATGGTGGCTGAATATGCCCATGAGATCTTCGAATACCTCAAAGACCTCGAATCCAAGTCGGTACCTAATCCTGACTACATGAGCCATCAAGACGAGCTGGAGTGGAAGACGCGAAGTATCCTTGTCGACTGGATGATTGAAGTTCATACCCGATTCCACCTCCTTCCCGAGACTCTCTTCCTTGCTATTAACATTATCGATCGATTTTTGTCTCAGAAGGTTGTCCAACTGGACCGCGTCCAACTTGTCGGTATTACAGCCATGTTTATTGCAGCCAAGTACGAAGAGGTGTTGTCGCCTCATGTCAGCAACTATAGAATGGTATCCGATGACGGCTTTAGTGATGCCGAGATCCTTAGTGCAGAGCGGTTTATTCTAGAGACATTGAACTACGACCTAAGCTATCCAAACCCCATGAACTTTCTCCGACGGATCTCAAAGGCGGACGATTACGATATTCAATGTCGAACCATTGGAAAATTCTTAATGGAGATCAGCATTGTTGATTACCGATTCCTGGCATACCGACCTAGCCATGTTGCTGCTGGTGCTATGTATCTTGCTCGAATGATACTTGACCGTGGTGAATGGGTAAGTAATTATGTTGTAGTAACCTATGTTTATTCCGTCTTCTAACTCCTCTTAGGATCCTACCATCGCCTACTATGCCGGATACACGGAAGAAGAGATAGAACCCGTGTTTGAGCTTATGGTCGATTATCTAGCTCGTCCCATCTGTCACGAGGCCTTCTACAAGAAGTACGCTAGCAAGAAGTTCATGAAAGGTATGTGATACTATATGGCCGCGTTTATTTACTTTACTAACATCCCATAGCTTCGTTGATTACTCGCCAATGGGCTAGGAAGAACGCACCTATTTTTGGTATCACGGACACGAAATTATCTGTGGACGACCTTTCGTCGCTGGAGCCGGATTATTAATACATACCATTCAATTGCACTATGATATTCCTACGTTTAAGAGCCTTACTGAGTGTCAGGATACTCAGGGTCTCATTGGATGATGGCCTTACGATACCAGCTTGCATGACGTTCGGCCGATGACTTTCATAATCTTGATTGCGGATCCTGCCCCTTGAGCTGATGGGCGTTTTTGATCCGGGCGTCCAATTTCCATACCCACGAGCAAATCGACTTCTAGATGCTGCCTGGAAGTCATTTCATTATACCAGGCCCCCCGGTTATGATAGCTTGCAGCTACGTTGTCACATTGGTCTCACATTTCCTCTGTTGTGTGCTAGGCACACCACATTACGGTAAAAAGTCTCGGGCGTCCAGAGCTGGTGGCGTTTTGCCTAATTTACGAATTTTCCGGTCACTACCGCTTGCTCAGCGGCTATCGTAATGCTCTGCTCGGTTTTCGCGAGCTTAGTTCCGTCTCTATCAACGGAGCCTTGCCAGCTCAGCCTGCTACTCATCTCCGAGAAGTTTTGGTAGACGGCCATCCGGAGCTGGCTGTCGATAGGCGGTTCGGAGGGAACTTCACAAGTTGTACATATTATACTGTTAAGCGGTTCGGATTAGACCAGGGAACAAGGGCAGGGGGGGCTGGCAGTGAGATTTGCGTTGCATTAATCAAGGTTTTTCATTAACGTTAAAACTAATTGTTGTTTTTCGTGAGACCGCGCGTGATGCTTTTGCCTATTCTCAAGTGTGAGTTGTTGATATTATTGTAATGTTTACTGATGATACCTGAGTTATGAACTTAAATGTTTCTTTAATTGTATTGCCCCGTAGAGGATAGGGAATCAGTAGATTATGGCAAACTTAATAAATCGTTCTTCTACTTTATTTATATCTAACCCTACTACTACTACCTCTAGTAATGAAATCAATGGTCCCATTACTGAAAGGGGCTACCTACCTCCCAACTAAACCTGTTCAGGTCTTCCGCTTCTTGCTCCCAAACACCCTAGCCCGCAACCCCCTTGCACCCACGGGGCCCCATTCCTCGTCCCAGCGAGCGAGGTATGCCCTACGCTCCGCAAGGGCCTGCTGTCGAGCAACTACCCGCGCTTCTGCCTCTCGGGTTATAGCGTTGCGTTCGCTCGTCATGCGCAGGAAATTGCTCGTCGAGGGCGGTGCGCCGGTGCCGCCGGTGAGGAGCCAGTAGATGAGAGGAAGGGGTTTGTTGTCTAGCTCCGGGCCCTGGGGCTGGGGACTTTTGTGATCTGTGGCTGGCGGTGAGGTGGGGGGTTGGATGTTGCTGGGTAGGGGAATTTCAGATGTGTTGCTTTCGGGGTCGTTGTTATTGTTGGGATTGGTATTCTCCGGTTCTATATTGGTGGTGTTGGTGTTGTCTTGGGGTTCGCTGGTGCCGTTGATATTGATATCGGGGTTGGGTTCGGCGTCGTTGTTGGTATGGGAGTTGATGCCGCTGCCAGCATTGGATTTGGCTGTCGCAGACATCGTGATAGTCTAATATGAGTTAGTCTTCATGGTGTCTCGTGGCTACATGTGGTTTTGGGCGCGTAATAGTTTTATAATATGAACCTAGGAGAAATGGACCTACCAGAGCTGAAAGACCTAGCTAATGATTATAAGATTAGTCCAAGATCAGTGCCAAAAAAAGGGGGTGTTGACATACATATATAGTTCTAGGGATACTTAGGTATTAAGATATTATAAGTTGATACCGCCGCATAGAGAGTAAAATGTCAGTGAGAATGTAACTAACAAGTCTTACCTTAGGGTCCTAAGTCTAGGTACAAAGACTCTTATATACGTAATTAAGGAGTATGTTTGGGATTCATGTACCACTATCTTATGACTACCATTTGAAAATAAGGGTGATAGTTTATTTTCATAATCAGGTACTCACCTTCTAGGCTCTTGGACATCAGATACCTCTAAAGGTGGCATGGCATATATGAGTGACCATCTATTCAACTAAAGGATCCCAGGTTCTGACTCTTTCCCCGCGCAATGTGAAGCCAAGAGCATAAATGAAATAACATGAGATGAATGGATATGTATAAGTCGCTATATTCACCAAGTTTGTACTTGTCACGAATGTCAAGTTGGCAATTCAGCAAACAATTCCACTTTCAGGGGTTGTCCATGTCACATGACCAACACTTAACGACTACAGTCTACAGCATATATCATTATCAAGTCACCAAAGATCAAGATAAAAGAGTTTGTGTGTGTGATGCCATGTACGTGATGTGATGCCGTAGGTAGTGACATTTTCACGTACAGAGGGCCACATATATTAGTTAGCAGTGAAGTCTCGTCATTATCCAATTAGCCCTTTTGACCATGCGTCCGTTGCCCATATCCCCTAATGACGTTATAGACTTCTTACAACTGCCAATCTTTCCAACAATAGTATCCAACCGGATAGGTGACAAGTCACCCTATCCACATGGCGTAGGTCTACCAATAGTCGGTGTTGGGGAGTCTGCTGTTCCTGTGTTGTTGCCGTACTGGGTTTTCCGACAAGGAACTCCTAAAGCTAAGTAGCTAAGGTATGTAATATGCCTGCAGTAGATGTTATTAGTATATATGAACAGCTTTATACTTTAGGGGGATGTTGGGTATCACTTACAGACTTGCGCAAGTAGCGCACTATTTTACGGCTCTTTTCTCAGACGAGACGCTCCGGTTTGGATTGTCTCTTAGTATATAGGGGACGGTACCCGTTAATGACTGGTCTGAGGACAGTCGGTAATGCCCTCATTGTCTGAGCCTGCCTTAGAGTGCTTTGCTCGCTTTGAAGGCTGCCCTGTTGGGGTGGGACTTCTGCGAGAAAGCTCGAATTCGGCCATGCCAGGGACTAGCTTCGTGTCTACCAAATCCTCGTCACCATCTTCCCCAATCCCGTCGAGATCTTTGTCTTGATTCTCAACTGTAGCGATGCCTCTCTTACGAGATTTTGGCGTCTTATTGGGGGTATGGGGTGTTTTAGGTGGTCTGGTATTGGTGAGGGTTTTTTTGCTAGGTGGACGGCCTGCCATTCGATGGAGCTCTGCAGCAAGGAACCGCCGGACAGGATCCTTTTCAAAAGGCCATATCCTTCGAGGCTCATACTCGGAGCCGACGAATGTACCTCCAGAGTAAGACTGATTCGCCCGACCCTCTCGTTTGCTGGAGGAGCGAGATGGTGTGCCCCACGCCGAAAGGAGATAGTCTGGTCGGTATTCTGTCATACGTACAGACCCCATAATGTTCCGCTGCTCAAGGGGATCCTTGGAAGCCGATGAGCTCATCCTGTCTGATGTTGGAGAGTCAAAGGGCGACGGCAAGGCGGGCATCTGAGGCATTTGGTAATGCTTCTGCAATAGATCATGGCCCGAGAATGAAGTCAACTTGACGTCGCCTTCATTGCCGATTCCGTGAGCAATAGCAGGATTCAAGCCTCGACGTGGATTTGTATCAGGCGTAGGAGGTGATAGCTCATCAGATGAGCTAGATGAGCACTGTGGCTCGGGCGAAGGTGTCCTAGGCACGGGAGACATGATGGTAAGTGTCTGAAGTGCCAGATATCAAGACTGACGAATTGATTTCAGATTGGTGTTTCTGGATATCAATAGAGAGAGCAGTCAGGGATGAAGATAGATGTGTAAGAGAGAAAAACTCGGGAGGAGCTTCAGGGGGGGGAGGCCAGGTATTTATAAAAAAAAAACTAGGAGGTCTGTACAAGGAGAGGTACAAACCAGATGTGACGTACCTACGAGTATATACAATAGGTACGAACATAGCAGCAAACCTGTTAAAACTAGTTTAGGTGGTCTGTTCACAAGAGAGGTACGAAGATGCATTGGTGACCCGAGCAGTCTATATATCAGAAAGGTACAAACATAAGTGTAGGGTTGGGTATCAGACGCGACGTGTCGATAGTATAGGTAGGTGAATGTTACGAAGGACTATATGATGTTTGGGAAGTGTTGGTTGGTTGGTTGGTTGTTTATTTGTCTGCCCGTGAGTGGTTAGCACGGGTCTATACCGACGATGCCTTCGTCTCTCCGACCAGTATTGACTCGGTTTATATACAGGTGTCGATCTTCTGAACATTATCCGTACTTCTTCACTACATCTAATAAGTTAAACACCTTGAGTCGCCCTTTATATTTTCCTCAGTACATCCAGCACAATCCGTCCCTGATAGTCCGCCGTTATAAAGATGCCGATCGTTTGTCTCCAAGGTCGAAAGATTTGAGTCATGCGCTTCTGCGAAGGCTGCGTAGGCAGCGTAGGCAGAGGAAAGGCATTCCTGTGGTTTGTTAGTAGTGTTATATATCAGAAACTAATATCTATATGAATGACTTACTCTATTTAGCGCCGTGGCGCGTGTGGATTTCTCCGTGACTAGGAACTGGATGACCAGTACCACTACCGGCTTCGGGGTTTGAAGCGTGTCGTTTTGTACGTTTCTTTGGTGGCTCCTGGTCTATTGCGCTTCCTGTTGAGCAGATGGGCCGTCCCTCATCTTCCCGATTGCCGTGGCTATTTTCCGTACTTTCATATTCAGACGCCCTTCGCTTCTTCGTGGAGTTGTCTGTAAGTCTTTTCGAAGAGGGTTTCTTGCCCAAGAGCCGAGCGCTTCTAGAGTGGTTGTGCTTATGAGGGATACCAGGAATATGATATCTGGATTCCGAACGGTCGAGTTTCTTCACTCTCAATTCTCGGGCTGAGGCTTTCTTTGGCACATCCTTAGCTGTGCGGTATTCGGAGGTCGCGTCTGGACGCGACTGTTGTTCTTGACTGTGCCGAGGACAAGGTGATCCTGGTGCTGAAGGAGGAAGAGGTAGCACAACTTCAGATAGTTTGGTAGGTTTCATGTTATGTTGCTCTTTGGGACGGTTATGGCGAGTAGAATTGCTCCCAACGACAGAGGAGGGCAAGTAGAATGGGGACGGCTCTCTAAACTGGTTGTTGGGGGTAGGCGTCGGTATTCCCTCGAAGTAGCGGCTTACTATGGCACGACTGGTAGGTGAGACTGGCCCCGAAACTCCATGGTTGAATCTTCCTTTCAGAGTGCTAAGAGAAAAAGCACGATATTTGGGTATCTTTGGGCTGTCTGACGAGCCCTTAGGCTGGGGAGAAGGGGTTCGCGGTACGGTAGACATGATGATGATGATGATGGATGGTTGTAATATATCAAATGTCGATAGAGTGTAAGTCCGTATGCTAGTTGGTGTTTTCCCTGTAGCGAGAAAAAGAGTCGATTGAGATGGAAGATGCTGGTGGGGGTGAAGATGAGGAGAGAGAAACGTAAGAATGGCACTGCAAGAGGGGAAGACAGCTGTCTATTAACAAGAATTCAAACGGTCTGTAAGGTCTGTGCAAGAGTTCCAAACTAAATAGAACAGACCAACAACAATTATGTGGGAGGAAGGTGCACAAAGTAAATAAACTCCAAAAAAACACCCTGCGGTGGCGATATACAAGCAAAGTAAAACTGCTTGGGCAGTCTGTGAAGTTTAGTTTGTATTAAAACTTGTATTAAACGTTAACGGGCTTTGTTAAGTCAGTGGCACGGGTGTATTAAAAACTAAAAGCAGTAATAGGGTTTTGCAAATATCAAAGCCATGCCTCATGCTCGTGATTTTCCGTTTCTGCCTTTCCTAATTCGCATAGTCGACGAGAGGTAGACATAAAATAAACCTTCCCCCTTGCTAGGTATTCCTATCTCACATGTGACTTATTGGGTCCCTCTCCCTCTCCCTTGTCGTTATTGCAACCTGCTACCTCCTATTCGTTTTGAAATACATTAATCTCGATTATGCTCAGTTATCGTGCAAAATTAAAGTCTTCTAGTGATTTTCTTGTGCAAGGGTCGTACATAATAGAGCCAAACTAGAGATTTTGATGTCGTTAGCAAGAAGAAATATAGTTCGAATTCCATGACTCACCTTGTAGGTTTGTGTTCAAAGCGATTAACCTAGTTCATAATCTGCTAATATTGGCCATGCTAACGATCTTTGTAAAAGTTGTGTGCTAAGCCACATTACAAACGTTAACGTCTTTCGTGAATCGCATGTGATTCACGTAACTTCACCACACATCATCCCTCTACTGGCTCGGGACGTGCCAAGCCGAGTCTTCACCGTGGCGGGCAGCGTAAAGTGGATGTACTCGCGGGTGAGGGAGCTGTTGCGAGTTGGTAGGACTAGTAGTGTTCGTATCCGGATTGCACAGCTTTGTACGCTTCACTGGGCATGCGTCCTCCATCATATCCCCAGCTTGCTGTCCGGTACCAAAGTCCTGATCACCGCTATCCATGTCCGTATCCGTAGTTGCACTTCGCTTCTTAGAGCGGCCATACTTGCCAGCCTCGAGATAGTTGTGCTGAGCAACCGGATTTTCATCCAACACAAGCCTGTAAAGCTCCGCAGCAAGGAATCGCTTGCTCTTGTCGAAGGAAAACGGCTTGCTCGGGTTAGGTACGCCACAGCTGGCGGGGCTAGGGTTGAGAAGCGACTCGGAGGGTAAGGGGGACGGGGTGCCGACTGAGGATAGACGATTAAGAGGGCGCTCAAGAGGAACGCGGTTAGACGTCCGTATCTGGAACTGTCTGCGATCATGCTCCCATGCTGATGTGCTTTGGGATTTGAAAGTTGGTGAATCAAATGGCGACGGCTGCTGCAAAAGCTGAGCTCTACGGTCGGCGGAAGGCAGCTCTAGTCCCGGCATGTATTGCTTGACAATGGTTGGGGACTTTACGGAATGGTGTCCATGGTCAGTGCACGATGAGCGCTGACGCGTAGGAGAAGGAGTCCTTGGTGGGAAAGACATGACTGCAAGAAGCTCTCGTGCGTGGAAATTAAGTGAAGATAATTTTATGTCGGAGCCGGTATGCTAGGTAATAACGGAGGCTGAAAGAAAATGCGTAGTAGGATGGATATGAAGATAACTGCGGGGATAGCTGCGGTTGAGTAGTTTGCGAGTTTGTAAAAGAAGGGATTAGAATATATATTCGACAACAGTACAACTCACAAATAATGACCAAGAAAGAAATATTCACAAGCTTCGAAAATACGGGGCTGGATAAGAACGAGCGCGAATAGATAAGTTAAGGCTACGCGTAGTAAGTGCGCCGGCTGTTTTAAGAAAAAGGACCATGGCCTATCGTAGAACTTAGCCATGAGGGGGTGCTTAGGGGGGAGCTTAGGGGGTGCTTAGTTGTTGGCACCTAGGTAACCTGACTTACGGCGGGGAGGTACTTGATGACATACAGCGCCGACATCAACGAAGACATCAACGACGATATACGCCGTGGCACATCTTTGTCGTGCCCGTCCACCATCCCCGTCATGTGATCCCCACCCAATTAACGAGTGAAGTCCCCCCCCTATCTACCCCTCGACCATTCACCAACCCCGTTCATTGACGCATAGCCCCTGGGCTAGCTTCTCCCAATGAATCAGGTGTCCTCTCTGTCGACGGACCCAACCGGCGTACATGATCCAGCTAATTAGCACAGACACGAGGCTCGCCAACGCTAGCCACCTGTACTGCTCCGTACGAGGGAAAGCTATGGCCGCACCGGCGCCGAGGAGCTCGAATATGTTCACGACCGAGCTCTCTGTGCCCGCAAAACTCGACCGTTGGTGTTCCGGGACAAGTGTCTGCGTCAATTGCTGGGTAGTAAGGTCAAAGACCCATACGCCGAGCCGCGAGAAGGCCAGGAATGAGAATAAGATGACACTCCAACCTGCATTGGGTGGAACCTTTTCATTGATAACCCTCCGGATAACATCAAATAGGTTCTCTGCCTCGTCTTGCTGTACTGAGATTGCCCACAAAGCTAGAACAACCGGTACCTTGATAATTCCTATGTAAGCATTGATACTTTAGAACCCGATATAATCGGATGGGACAAGTAACCTACGGTATTTATTATCTGCCAAGTCATACCCCAGAGCCCAACCCGTTGCAATCCTATCAAGGTTTGGACATCCCGGCTTCCCTCCTGATCACCGGCGATCAAGCGAACCCCTGACTCGTCGTCTTCGTCTATAGGGGGGGTAGAAGCGTGATGATGCGTCTTTCCCATGTAATCGATACCTCGGGGAGTGATAACCGTACTACTTATCTCGAATACAGAACCGATAGCCCTGGCGAGTGTAATTATATTGAGCGAGTAGCCTATATTGATTAGATAGGTGACGAAGGTGGCTCTCCAGGTCAGCATATTAAAATGTAGAAGCGCTAATGCGACAGACGGGACCCAGACGGAGGTGCTGAAGTACATTTCGAAGCCATGAAAGTACTGCCGAGTCCTCGATATCCACGATCTTGACGTTTCTTGCGTTACCACGGCTGGCTGTGAGGTAGGTACTGCACGTGGTGCTTGTAGCAAGGGGCTGCTATTCCACACTCGCCTCGCAGAGAAGACTTCGATTGGGATGCTAATAAGACTAGTAAGTCCCGTAAATACAACACCCAGCCGGATCGATCCAAGGGCTGAGATAACAGCCGAAGTTAAGATAGGCGATATTAGTTTGCAGACAAGATCAATCCTCCTCATAACAGCATTTAGATGAGTAAGGTCGTAGGGGTTACCAGCAGGAGCAGCAACGGTGACGACCCAATCTCGCTCCATCGAGATGAGGTTCCCCGACGCGCTCAAACGCTCGATAATACCCAACGTCACCGCGATAGCAAACCCTATACCCTTGAGGAGAGCATTTGTAGGTAACACAAAGGTTGCTTGACGTCCTACCAAGTCCTCTTGACTCAATATCAGGATCCAGAAAAAGGAGCCGAGGATAACTGAGCCGCGATTGCAAACGATAGTCCAGAGTAAGGTGCGGAGCCTACTGGGAGACTTCTCGACCCATTGCCCAACCGAGCTGGAGAACAAGATCATGGCAAAGTATACGATGATCATGCTGCAAAGCCTGTGTTAACAACAAGCTTAGAATGGATTTAGCAATAGTCGGTGAGACTTGCCGTAACGCAGCCGCTACAAGGGTATCAGGATATGCGGCCGCCGTGAAGAGGATCTATCGACTTGGTGAGCCGGTATGAACTTGGTTCGTTGAACCGCTTCTTCCGGAAGACATACTGCGGCGAACTCATAACCACGAGCGTTCCAAGTCGAGAAAGCATGGCTGACGTATAGATTCAGGGCTTGTGCTCGCGTGAGGCTGATCGGAGTGATACCGCCGTTTCCGCCGTCGCGAGAGTTATCGTCAGGTAGCTCGAAGCTACTCTCGCTCTCGGTATCGCTATCCATTATATACTGAGTTGTGACAGGGGGTATAATTCGACTTAAATATCAGGTACCTAAGGGAAGCTGACCACGACTATGTAGTATACAGGATACTGCTAATTACTATAATAAATAATAAAATACTTGGTAAAACAGCTGTTATATATAAACTGTATTATTGGTTTACAATGAATTGGCCAATAGGTGAGTCAGGCCGAGAAGTTGTTGAATAATGTTATATCGAATAATGTTATATTATTAGCGAATGCCATAATGTAGACCTATGATGTTATATCCTTTTATATCCTTAGCGGGGCACCAACCGGGATGGCGGCCGGTCGCCGGAGCATTTTGCCTACAAGGTACTCGCTCTATCCATCCCTTATTCATTAACAGATTTTGATAGATAAATTGGTACGAATCTAAGGAAAGTAAAATGATCCTAACAATAAAGAATATGCTTGATTTATAAAAGACCTGTTGTTGCTTGATTGTTATTGTGACTAACATCACAAAGCTCACACAAACTATTCAAACAACACAAACTATTCAAACAAGCAATTTTAATTTGGCAAACACCAACCTGCTTGAGCAAGCTGTATCTTGTTCATTTCCTCGTAAGTATCTGGAAAATCTCTCTAAAACTCCATCTTATAGAGCGGCAATTGTAAAACTCCGAATAACCCATCCTGCCATCCTAGTGCGCCATTAAACCCCCATTCCATTCCCGACTAACCCCCTGTGTGCTCCGCGATTGTGATATCTTCAAGTTCTGTTTGTCGTGTCCCGTAATCGTGGGGAAACGTCCTCAGTCAATAAGTCCCGTCCCATCACATCGTGCATGGCCCAAGTCATCTGTGAAACTCCTCCAGGAGTCCCCCATTTTAAATATGATGAAGCGCATCTCATCTGGCCATCAAGGTCTATAGTAAAGGTTTGTTTGAAAAAAAAGAAGCAAGCTTGAAAATTGTTTAGAAGTGTAAGGATCCCATTCGCTCTTCAACGCCGCCCCAGTAGACGATGGGTCTGGGCTCGAGCATGTTCAACTCAGGCCCGGAGCTACGCTTCTCTTCTTCCAGGTCGGCAATAGACGGCTGTCTAACTAATACAGCATTTATCGTGCTCACAGGCGATGAAGAGCTTGAGCTGTACGACTGGTATGAGCTTGTTGAGCTAGTGGATGCCGTAGATGAGCGGCGGAAAGATGTGCGAATCCCGTTAGGGGTGAACCGAGATCGGATGGTCTGGAATCGCGACTGCATCTTGACGGTATTGTCTTCTAGTTTGGTAACTGGGGTTTGAATAGGCTGAAGGGGGCTCAGGTATTCGTTAAGACTTGGCTTTGGTGATTACAAGTGCGTAAAAACGAGGCACAGCCTGTGAATTTGGAAGAATGCAAAAAGTGAACGAAGGTTTCAAAGCTGGCTTTAGTTAAAAAAAAGATAGGACGATCTATTCCGGAGAGAATTGTGAATAGAACAAACAAGCAGTACTTGTCAGGCAACTGGGTCCTAGGTGAGGAGTGATGGAAGAAACAGACACTGCAGAGGAGTCTGGAGGAAGAAGGAACACAGATGAGATACGGCCCGGCGTAGTTTTAAGTAGTAGGAGCGCGGGAGGATCTACGTCAAGTCTCCAGCCTTAAACCAAGGGTTGTAGGGTTGTGAGGTTGGATACGGAACGGTGCAAGATAGAGAGGAATGCGCATAGTAAGGAGTCGATAAACATCTGATCCACTTTGGTCATGGGTTTGAGGGAACAGGGAGATATGACAAGGACATCAAAAGTTATGTGACTTCGTTAAAGCACACAGATCTCCTGCTCAGGGGTTTGAACGTCAAGGTCTAGTTTTATTAATGCGACAAGGACTTACGTATTTTCCGTGGCTGTACACTTGTACGAGAACAGCATTTATGAGATCTCTCATGTAGCAAGCGATAGCGTAATGCTAACGATCGATACTGGAAAGGTAACGAACTGTAGGACAATGATGAGATATAGATACTGGCTAGATCTGCGGCCGACCGAAAACCGTTTTTTTTCTTCTTCGCCTACTGTAGTGTAAGTAGTGGTGAAACAGACGAGCCTTCTTCGCTGCCCATTTCGTTCTAGGCTCGCTTCGTAAGATAACAATGTCGTTGTCTCGTAGCCCTGCCGGAAGTAATGGAGTTTCGCACCATCGACAGCCAGATTGTTTGAACTGGGCAGCTAGGCAGTTTCTTATGTCCGAAACGGGTAAAGAGGCCTCTTCTCAGGGGCGTATGATCGCCAGCCGGGATTAGGGGTTTGCTGAAAATGGGTTGGTCGATGATTCAGGTTGTTTCATGACAGGCATGACATAGTCAATCTATCAGAGACATCAATTCATCATAGATGCAGAGAAATATGCATATCATGACTAGCTTGACCGAGCGAATGGATTTCCTATAATGGTGATTGTGGGACAGAAGAGTTCTGGAATTCCGAAGGCGATAAAACTACAACATTGGATTTAAAGGTTTGATTTAGAAGATTATTGCAGTGTAAGTGAGATGATATACGCGTACGTAGTAAGTAAGTAATATGAACTAAGAGTCGTACGTACTACTATGAGTATGGATGAGCTGCATCACAATACGACGGATGAGAGAATTAAGAATGGTGTTCCAGTATTGAAGATGTTCCAGGTCGTTGAAATTGGCAGGGGAAAGACGCGATATGCGGGTTAAACACGGACCTGCATCTGCATTTGCATTTGCATGTGGCACAGTTACACGGTTACACAGTGGCACATGAACATTACTTAAGCTTATCAGGCTTGGCATTTAAGCGGCCGAAGAGATAATACCGTTTTTAATGCTGTGGCTTGACTTACACTCATTAGCATCCACGTACACGTAAGTGTTTACGTGTAGCTATAAAAAGTTTACAAGCCGATTAGTGTAAATGATCACAATAATAACCTAACCTACCCATTAATACTATTATCTAGGTGATATAAACTTTTAACTAGCTGGAAAGCGGTTCTGCCAGAGATTTGCTATCGCCAGGACTGACTGGCAGGCATTGCCAATGAACCCTACCCTTGGCACCGCCGCACCATCATCGGTTCGGAGGCCATCGTTCAGGAACGCAAGTCTAGCCGGACGTACGTAAACTCTTATCCCCACACTTACGTGCCTACCTACCTATGCAGTAAGAGCCTGCCCATGTTCCAGACGTCGACATCATCTTCGAAGAAGAAACACGAAAGAGAAACAGTCCTTGGCAAAGCGGAAAACCTATTACCAAACAAGCCTTGCCTTCATGTCCGATGCTTTATTTCTCTAGTCTTATTCTAGATCTTAGAACTCTAACAAATACAAGTGTAGTCAAACACATACAATATAATAATGGTATCTCCACCTGTACAATGCACCCGGGACATTTGGGATCCAACCAACCGGTGGACAAATACGTAGGTATAGTGTAAAACAATATCCGCCGATTCACGGCGTAGACAAACAATCCCGTCTAATGTAAACCCCGCTAAAGTGCCTAGAACGCCTGTTGACCTCATCCAAGTCATTGCTGCTTCGTTTTGAGCCTCTTTATATGCTGCTTTAACCTACCCCGAATCTCAATGTATGAAAAATGCATTCCGAGATCTGCGGGGAAGCTTGACCCGCTGTTATGCCTCTCTTCCGGCACATGCTATCTTGTAATGTAGTGGAATGTCGGCATCGTATAAATGACCCGTCTCATTGAGGTCAGTTTCAATTGGGACGCCGTACCGACCTGCGTATTGTTGCGCTCCGCCTGATACTTTCAACCCAAGCAGAATCGTCAAGCAACTCTCTGACTTGGGCCCGGCTCACTGAACTACCCCGTCTGCTATTCTCGCCTGAATTCGTCCCCGGGTCCTGCAATTCAAAGCTTAAAGCAGATGCGTGGGAACGCTGTCCCGGCATCGACGGGCTTGCCCGTGGTAAACTCAAGGGATGCGTCTGCGAAGAGTCGTATGATGATATGTCGGCGCCCGAAGTCCAGCTCTTATGCTGTGGCCGGGATGCGTCGGATACGCCAAGGAAATCAGATGTACCGCTAGCTCCTGGAGCTGCCATTGTAGTGCGTTGCGTCGCTGTCCGTTTACGGTCGTCCTCGTCATCGACAAAGATGTCGGGCACGTCTAATTGAGGAATCGCTGTCATTCGTGCAGATCTCTTCTTCTCCATGTGCTTCTTGAATTGGCGAGACCAATAGCTAGCATATGGGTTAGTAAACGGGATGCCTGGCATCTTGGTAGAAAACTTACACTGTGTCAAAGAAACCGACGACAATTCTTCGACGAACTTCTTCCTCAACTCGTTGAAGGCGCGCACGACGACGCAAGAACTCCTCAAGCCTAAAATCATGTCAGTTTTGAGCTAGTCGAGTCCGGATAGGGGTATTTGTTACCTTAAGCTCTTGCTGTCGCTAATAATCTTATAGTGCGCCATTATCATGAGTACCGTCGTGAAAGATATTCCTTGGACGGGATCTGCAGAAACCATCACCTCCTCGTAAAAGATATTGAAACGGCGGCGCCTTTCTTGCACTTTCCGGACGTCGATCTTAGAGAGCCTCTCGTTCAACTTCTTGATATTCAGTTCACCACCAGCGTTACTTGTAGTAGCGATCGACGAATGCCTCATATGTGTCTTATCGTTCCGAACGTCGTCTAAGATCTGCTGAACCGAATCTTCTGAATCGTAGATCCGCATCTCAAAGATGCCAGAGAGCTCTCCTAATAACCTTGGGAATGCTTCCTTACTGATGAAGCCCGAACCAGCAGGATCAACACTGCGCCACGCCTCCTTAAACCTCCGTATCTCATCTCGATCAATGTTTGCCATGCCGCTCGAACGCTGATACACATAACTAAAACTTTCGTATATGAGCGAGATGAAGAGGTTGACAAAAATATACATGCTGACGAGGTTCCAGGCGATGAATAGACATCTGGCCCAATTAGTGCTGCCGCAATCGCTATCAAGGAATTCGGAACTTTCCACGCAGAGTGGAGGCTCGATATTTGCATAGTCTTCCATAATCTGGTTCCAACCTTCACCTACGCTCATGCGAAAGAGTAGAAGAAGAGCGTTGGGGACTGTCCTAAAATTGATGTTGACGTCCTCGTTCTCCCCAAAGCGGGTCAGACTGAAAGTTTGTGTCAATGCTATTGCAAATACCAAGAAGAACACTAGCCAGGTGGCAAGTAGATTGACGATGGTCGTGAGACTCGCTGCCGCTGTCTTGAAGAGCTGATCGAGTGCGTCGTTTCTGGGGATGAGAAGGAGGACGATGCTGACGAGGAAGTACTTGTGAAATTGAGTGAAGGTTTGATTCCTATAGTCGGCGATCAGTAGACCGGAGGTTACAAAAGTACCGAATACAGAGATCAGTGAGTAGACGTCCCAAGTGCTCCTTCTAAATCGCTTCCAGCCGAGGCCGACAATACGAATCGCAATATTAACCATGTAAATCAATGTGAAGAGCAGGAATACGACGTCCCTCGCAAGAGACCACTCCTCCGGTTCGGGATAATACTCCAACATCAACAAGATCAAGTGAAGGACTAATATCGCGGTAATCGCGGTATACCACTTGCCTCGCTTCTCGATTGCTCGCTTGTGGCACCATTTTTTCCATTTATTCTCCGAGTCATTGTAAGAGCTTCTTGACGGCGAGATTTGACGTAGAAGCTTCCGTAGTTCGAGCCATGACCTCTGCTCAGCCGTTAAGAATGCGACGCCGGTCTGTTCAGTGTAATTTCGCATGAAGACGGAAATGAACAGAGTCAACACGAAGACTGTACCGAGAAGGTTGAAGACCACGAAGAACATTCCATAACCCTGCGCTGCCATTGGCTGTGGTTGAAGGTCGCGACCGGTAATTGCTTGTGTAGCGAATGATACGTCGACCCAACCCTCTTGCGAGACAATCTGAAAGAGAATAAATAGCGAGGAGGCGAAGTCATCGAATTTGAAATAGGGATTGTCTGCAACACGAGGTGCGAGTATCGGCCAGTCTGGGTTAGACGGCGTGCTGAGAAATTCACCGAAGCAGTCAGATAGGTGAGTAATGTTATCGTCGTCATTACACTCCAACAGTTGTCCATTGAACAAATTCAAGGCATATATGGCAAATGGGATCAGTAGAGACAAGGAGACCAGCGCAGCCTGGATTGTAAAGTTAGCATAGCCCTTTAGGGTATCGATAGTACAAAATTTGACCTACACTAATAATCTTCCACCCGGCCACTATTATTAGGGAATGAAAGGTGTCTCTTGCACTGTTGCTAATGTTGAGTAGGCGGAGAGCGCGTAGTGCTTTAAAAGCACCGATGACCCTAGAGACGTCCCCGTCGCGAAATATGAGGGTAAGCACATTAATCCATAGTGTGATAAGGACCATGCCGTCTATGATACCCCACGAACTCCTATAGTAGGCATTGGGCGTGAAGAACCAACCATCTGCAATGATTTTGATCATCGCCTCGACGGAGAAAACTATCGCAAAGCCCAGGTCAACCCAAACAAACCAACTTTTATACCGGTTTTCCCCCACATGATCTCGGAGGTATTCTTTTTGATACAATGGCGTGGTAATACAAGCTAGCAACACCATGGCGATGATGGCTGCGTAGATGAACACTGTAAACCCATACCAGGCGAACTTATTCGGCTCCACGCCATCAAAGCGCTCGTTGCCTCTTCCCGGCCCGACGAGTCGTTGGCAAAGACGGCGAATGGGGTTTTGGGGGGTGAAGATAAAGAGAGAATTGTTATACGTAGGATGACGGGCGAGATATTCGCGTTGAGCTTTGCGGCGTTCCGCAGTGGCAGACACAGCTTGACGAGCCATCTGCCGCGGATCGAGAGCGTCATTAGGCAGATTGAACCGGATATTAGAATAAAACGGATTCGGCTCCTTGCTAGTGAATATACCTCGGATTCGGCCCCAAACGGACGACATAAAGCCAGGCCGAATACCGTCGCCGGCCACTCCCTCTTGGGGAGAGGAGCTATTGCTGGATTCCTGTTTTAATGGGTCCATCGAATCGTCAAGGAATTCTCGAACGACGGCATCTTTCAATAACATCTCCATCGTCGCCGGTCCGTAATCTAACGGATCTCTTTGCTTGGCTTTCCCAAAGGAGAAAATATCCGAGAGGGTAATATTAGTAGTCGCGTTGCTGCCCAATTCCTTGCGCTGCAAAAACGCCTTGACTTGCTCCAGCCGCTTCTCATCTTCCGACACATCGAAGTTCTCTTGAATGACAGCAATGAACATATTAACAATAATGAAGAATGCGAGGATGAACCAGCCAATAAGGAACATTGCGCCATACCAGGACGTACCGTAACCAACGGTGTACGACGTCACATCGTAAAGGATGTTCGTCCAGTTCTCACTGGATAGAATTTGGTACATGCCAAGGAATGAATTGAAAATATTGTAGAATGATATTCTGACCAGGTCACCGCCGTCGTCATATAAGGGGATCTCACCCCGAAAAAGTTGGACCGCGAAAATTGCCATGATAAATGTGATTAAGAAGACAAAAACGATGAGGTTTGCAATACCTGTAGCATTTCCGAGGACCAATACAATCAATTTCCTCGTGAGCGGCAAGGCCATAACCACACGGTAGGACCGTAGGATCTGGAATATCGTGAGCCACATGTACGTTTGACCGCTTTCCAAGATCGGGGGGATGATTATTATCGTATTTGCAAATGCTAGGAAGAGGTCGAATACGTTTTGGTAGCTTCGATGGAAGGCTCTCCAGTTAGCTGCGATTCTAATCATGATTTCGATATCCAGGAGGGTCGTCACCAGGATGCTGTTTGCTTTGATAAAATTTGCTCGCGTAGGTCCCATATCTGAGCTGCGCCAACCCTGAGCAAAGAGTTCTTCCGCGATAAGGAACACCCAAAAGAGTCGTGTCTTATTATATATCTTCTCAAATGTCGAAATCCTACGTAATTCTTCCTGCTGGGGATCGGAAATTTGAAAGTCTTCATCCGCTGTGAAAGCGCTGGCCTTGCTCTCTTCTCGGATAACTTGGAACGACGAGGTAATGACAGCAATGAGCAAATTGGTCAGCCATAACATCATTATCATAATACCAGCACCAAAAAATAGAGCTGCCGGGAGGAACTCGGAATATGTGGTGTAGTACATAAGGTCGGACCATGTATTGGCACTCATGATCACGAAAACCAACTCCAAGGAATGATGAATGTTGTTGAAACTGAGAGTATTGTTAAATGGGCTTGACTGTTCAAGGCAAATGGAGTTCCTGGGGCAAATGTATCCCTTAGGGGTTTGAGTTGGACTATAGAGGTGCTCCAAAGTGTCCGGGTCCAAACTTTTAACCCAGGGTTTTTCTGTGCCATTTTCATCAAGATACCCGCCACAGAATTGCATATCATTTGTATACGTTAGGGACATGTTATTGGGTTGTGAGGGATCCCGCCAAACGCATTGCCGGCTTAGACTTGCTTTAAAGCTTTGCACGCCGATAATGGCAAATAAGAGCCAGAAAAAGCCGATAAGGAAGGAAACCCGAAGTAGGAGTGGTGCGGCCTTCTTTAGGCTTCGTAATATAATCTAGCTAGTAAATTAGAATGATGCTCCTTATAATTTCTGTATATAACTTACCGCTGTTCCGTTCGTAAGGGCAAGGAGTCGAACAATTCGAAGGCAGCTGAGCATGCGAAAGATGAATAAATGTTTTTCCATTTCAATGCCTGTTATACTGAGGACGAAGGCTATCCAGAAGGACACTACCGCAATAAAATCCAACCTATTGAAACCATGCCTCAAGAAAGCTCGGCGAGCTAACTGCATCCTCTGCTGTTCCTCGATTGTCTCGGGCATACTACTATGCATCATAGTGAAGGACCGAGCAAATGTAGAAGGCCCGTAAGCCTGCTCGCGAGGAGTTTTCACCGACTTCTGACGTTGTGGCCGAAAAACCGCATTATACTGATCCGATATAGCCACACGGATTCCTTTCTTTCGGTCAATGGTGCTATATTCTGCAGCGTTTAATATAAAACCAGATACGATGATCCGAGCCATTGTCTCGAGGGTGAATATTATGAAGAGGATGAGAAGGGCCCAGTTTATTCCTGAAGAGGGATCCCAAAGCTTGGGGCGTTCATTTCCGGGAATATATACATTATTTGCGGCCTCGACAGCGAGCAAAACGGCTTGGAGTACGATCAGTAGAAGTAGAATGGGTTCCATATACGGATTCACGAGCACATCGCAAAGTTTCCTTCTGATGACATTGTCGGGTCCGAATATTCCGAGCGAACGACCTTTCAAAGGGTTCGGCATTGGCGCTCCACGTCGAGGGGACAGGGGAGCAACTTCTGGTGTAGTCCATCCGGGACCACCATTCTTCTCGGTGTTCGTGTAAACTTGAGAAGGATATGATGTGTCAATGCCGAGCTCAGTGGAAAGATGACTTGGCGATCTTGGCGATGCCCGGCCGTCTGCACTCGGTGATCTTGATCTCTGCCGTCTTTGCTGTTGCTCGAAAGTTTCCGCTTCATTACTAATATTAACAACACGCTGGGACATGGCCCTAACAATTGACCCAGCTCTATACAAGGCATCAGCCGTGCTTGGCATCCGCGAAGTTCGATTATCATTTGGCGTGAGAGAATTGCCATAGCTGCGGTGCTTGGTCGACGCAAATGAGTTCTCCAAATCAAATCCAAGCATCTGAGCAGATCGTCCACGCGGATGGGAGCTGTCTATATCCGACACCGTCTGGAAGCTATCTCTCGGTTGCGACTCAACTTGTGGGGTGGGCAAAGTACCAGCGATCGGCTGCGCAGCAGACGTCAAGGGCGAACTATCCGATTCAAAGTAGTCGACATGAGCCATCTCGTCATAATATGGAGTTTCGGGGGCATAATTTTGAGCGGACGTTAAGGTAGATCGAGACGGCGCCGGGGGTGAGGGATCGATCCCCGGAGGTAAAGCGAACTGTAGAGCAGTAGGGTCTATCGGTGAAACGGCAGGACTCGGGCCCAAGTCGGCGTTGTGGTTGTGCTGTTGGTAACCATCCCAATATGTCGAGACGCCTAGATTGCGATCCGCAGATCCCCTCTGGCCCCCGCCTTGCGACTGGCTATCATGTTGGCGTTGCTGTCTCGCGAGGTCCTGTAAGGGGATGGATTGGGACGAAGATGTGGAAGGATTTTGTTGCGAGTCTCGAGGCGGATTGTTAGACCTAGTCATGGTGATATAGTGTCATCCAGATGACACTTAATTAGAGATATATAAGAGAGAGAAGAGACGTAGACGCCGGAGCGCAATACGCAAGTAAGCGCACTGGCAAGACGATTACTCGGACGATATCAAATAGCATCACATAGGAATAGGCAATTCGTTTCGAATAGTGTATCGAGATAAATCCGGGGTCATGCCAAGACCGTTAAAAAGGTGTGAAGTCGGATTCGAATGAGAGAATGAGAGACGTGGAAAAGAGAGTATGAAACACATTAATTAGGACGCGTGGGTCGCAGAGTGCGGGTTGCAGGTTGCGGGTTGTGGTTGTGGTTGTGGTTGCGGATTAGAAAAAAAGAAGGACATGCAAATTGATGGACGTAAAATGTTGCACGCTTTTCTATCAAATTCAGGTAATTTGCAATCCTCCCTACAATCTTCAATTCAAATTCTTATAAAATTCGCTGCTGTAGGAGGTTGTTACAGTAAAGAATAAATAAAACACAAAAATATCAAATAAAAAGACATAGACGGGAAGGTTCCAAGCCGACGATTTACAAGTTTCCGCATTTCGCTGCTGACCTGCCAGCCTGCATCAAAAGAATTGAGGTCTCCTAGTTGGCTGGTTGGCCAGCCGCTATGGGTTAATGGAAGCTCAGCCTCTTTCCGACCCGGTGGCTCAGAGGTAGGCTTAGGGAACTACAGAACGGGAGGACACCCAAAAAAGGAATGATCAAACTAAACTAAGCCTTATACTGCTGTATCCTTTGCTAGTCCAATGCTAATCTAATAGCTCAGTATAGCTATACTTTGCACGTGGTTTAATCACTTATCCTTAACAATCAATACAAAGTTTGTTACACTATCGATAGGTTACTAAAATACGAGTTGTTCTTTAAAGATGCATCCCCAATACCCCAAATGGGGCTATTATCTGCAGGGGTAACAGAAGTCGGCTAACATGTGGATCGTCCTCAGTTTATGACGATGCTGCTGATGACGATGCACTTCGTTTGTTTCCACGCATACGTAATACTTAATCTTTGTAGGGGGTAGGTACATCAAGTATTCATTTGCAGGAAGCTTCTTATTTAGACAGTGCCGGTTTGACAAGTTTAAACCAATTTAAGGCTATAAAACAGAAACAAATTTAGCTTGAACAGCTGTTTTAGCCTTGAAACTCTATACTCTTAAAACATCTTAGCGGGAGAAAAGGGATGGGATTGGATTTAGGTACTTCACAATAGAACGACATTCGACACTTTACCCTTAGTACATTCAATGGTTATTATATCCAACGATACTAATAATAAAGAGAACAAGAAAGTAAAAATTTCTCAAAACATATCAAGCTGACCGCTCGGCCTTTACGATATATAGAATACTTCAAAAATGAGAAAGACGATTTGATAGACAGTAATGGTTTTATTCAAGCCGCATCGACTGCGGAGCGACTAGTTACCTATCTTCGGGATATCCGTTTAAAGGCCCCGAGTTATCCTTTTTGCTGGGTTGTTGTGCAACCTGTTTGTACAACGGTAGGGACGGAAAGGACACCTAAAATCCTACTTGAAAGTGAAATTGCGCCAAGCAAGCCTCGAGAATGTTGGCTGTATACCTAATTATTACTCGGCGAAAAAACGACCAACTCTGGCACTACGAGCCGAATTCGAGAGCGGTGCCCATTGGAACTGCTGATCGGGCTGAAGATCGCGATAGTAGCAGTCCAGGTAATAGCTAGGTCGGCGATATTTAACTCCTGGAGGAAGATTCCCTAAGAGCTCCAAGCTCGAGGACCTCCCTTGAGTATTCTATACCGTCTAGGTTCAGTCTTAATTTAGTCGGTAACTGGCTTGGCTTGACTTGCGTGAAACACACTACGGAACTCGCCGTGATGGAGAGATACTCAGCCCTGATACTGGACGTCAAGACTTGCTAGTAATTGATGCAATGAAAAAGTATATTGCTGAAAATCCAGCCGGAGTAAGATATATGGTTCCCAGCTACTTCTGGCTGGTTCGAGAAATGCTTCGTACTCTCCTGGCAAATATGATAAGCTCTTCCGGCGTATCTCAGTTACGTATCTATGTATCAACTCTTCACGGCAATTGACTCAGGCTTCGGACGTTCTAAACGCATTTAGAGATATGAAAGGGACACTATTTTGGTACGGAGTGCCAGAGAAATATTTCGATATTACCCTTTTCTTTGCCCCTTATATGCATCAAGAAGCCCCATGCCAAGCAGCCCCAGGCAAGGCCGGGTTCCCCTACAACAGTAATACGAGCTCGGCAAGTTGGGAACGGCTCTTTTAGAGCTACTACTACCTTTAAATACTAAGAATTCAGGCAGTATACATACCCAAGACGCGAAAAACTGCAAGCTGTTTAGCTGCTAGACGATGGTTTTGGATTTATATCTACTAGGGCGAGTCGTGCTACTAGGTAGATACATCGCAAGCTAGACCGCCTCGGAATATCTAGCGATATAGAGCGTTTATATATAGGACTATACTAAATGAAAGATTATGATGTATAAGCTGAATCAACATACTATATATATCTACCTAAGGTATGGGATGTGGAACGTGGTTGGCAGGGGTTGCTTGTATGCTAGGCAATCGAAGCTATTTACACAACTTGAAAATTCCTGCAATAAAGAAACATGAAGTTACTATATAATTTAATATTTTACTCCATTTACGATGTTCTATTTTATTCTTTTATATGTATAAGGTAGGTATGCATGGCGGGAAACCAAAATCTCCTTGCACTATTCAAGGTTATGAAGAAGGGGCATTTTGGACGTCAGCGAACACCAATATTTACTGCTATGAAATGTTCGTTTGATCCAAATCGTTACCAAATGGAGTTTGAGATCCATAACCAAGTGGACCTCGTATCTTTTGTCTAACTGCAATATATAACACATGATTAAACAAAATGTTGAGAGGTCTACCTAATGGCTAAGGCATCTGGATAAAGGGGTTAAGTGTCAGGTTACCACACCGAAAAGAAGAAGCAAAGCGCGTATTAGTAACTACCAACTATCATTTAATTAGTCCCTAAAAAAGTACAGTACTGTAATATTGTTAGAAGACATCTAAGGCTATACTACACCGATATGATTAAACCGTTGCATTATCCTGTCGATGACCCTGACACGGGGTATGTATGAAGAACGACGAACGCCAGTGCTCACCCAGGTATGCCTTGGGCGCGTGGAAATTTCATAGAACGCCGTCTTCCATGCAATTTCCATCTACGTAAACCATGTCTTTTAAAATAAGCGTTAACGAAGTAAAGTATGAAGAAGCCGCCATCCCGCGAATATCTGCGCTGAACTCTGTCGTTTGTGGGTAGATGAGTATTAAAGTGATATCTTAACGAGCTATGCCGAGTCGTCGTTTTCGTTCCTCCTTCTCCCGCTTGAGTTTCTCCTCGAGGGCTTGCTCCCGCTTGTCCTCTTCGCGGCCTAGTAGCTCAGCTCTTCGCTCCTCTACGTCGATATCCGAAAGGCCCGCCTCCATATCGCTGGAGCCATCCGAATCATATCCGTTATATCTCTCGCCTCGGTAACCGGGCGTGTCCTCCTCATCGTACTCGATGAAATCGTCTAGATCTTCATCATATTCATCTGCGTAGTCATCCCGACGGCTTGGCCGTGGGGGTGCAAGAAGCCCACCGGTTCTATAAGCTGAGGAGCTGCCTTTCCTGGATGCTGATGGTTTCTCCGATGCCGCGCCAGGTCGGGGACGAGCAGTTCCGGTATAACCTGTAGTAGCTGTCGCCGACTTCTTTATTTTCTTTTCCAGTGTTTCCCCCCCAGCTGAGCCAGGCCTTGACTTGCCGCTTGCTTTAGCATCATTTCCGGCTCCATTCCGGCCTGCATCACGGACCGCCGTTCCGGGTCTCGCCCCTCCACGAGGAGGTGCAGTGGATGACCGACTATTCCCAAGATACGGCTTTCCATCTCTTCCTTTGGCACCGTTTGGCTTCTGTTCCGCCTTTGCGGGCTGCTCTTTCTTGGAGGTTCCGATGGACTTGTGCTGAATCATACCAACTTTACCCATCGACGCTTGGGCCTTTTTAGCACGTTCCATTATCTCCTGATACGAACCTTTCTTTGGCGCTTTAGACGGGTCTGAGGCGGTCGGAGTCGTGGGTGACGATTTCGCAGGAGGCGCTTTGGAAGCAGCTGCTAGTGAAGATGCACTAAGTTTTGGCCGACTAGCAATCTGATCTGTTGACTTCTTCGGCTGGGATATGTTGGATACCGATCCGGATCCAGGCCTGCCATTTGAAGATGAGACGCCTGTACGTTGCACACTTGGTACTGGAGGTTGGTAGCGACCATTTATGGATGGCGAACTCGTACGATGAGGTAGGGACGAAGATTTAACGGACGAGGACGCGGTGGTAGGCTTTGGCCGATCGACAGGATCCGTCTTCACATCACGGGTGGTCTTACTTGTCGAGTAAGTTCCATCCTGTTGTCGCGACTTGGGGTATTTGTTCGACGTCGTGCTATGCGAATCATCATCGGCTTTGCGCTTCACAGCGGTCGATATTGGTGTTTTGGGCCGTGGCTCGGATGATGGATTCCCGCCAGAGATCTCGGCGAGGAGGTCACCAATCTTCATGCGCAAGATGTTAGAACCGAGGTAAGCATGATAGAAGAGAAGTCGAAAAAAATGACACGTACCGGCATTATGATAAGACTCGATGTCAGTTGGATGACAGGGGAGAGTCTCTGAAGGGTATCCCGATTGCCGCCAGGAGCTTATAGTGTGCCTGAGGCGTCATAAGTCGGCGGGCTGTGGCATGTGCGATGACTCTTTTCCCAAGACCCCAATGCGACCCGAAAAAGCTGATAAAATATGGCCAGATTAACCGGTTGTCACAATTCTGTAGTTGAAATATAGTATCACTAGCGATTTATGCAAGAAAACGAATGCGTCAGCTGATTTAACAACAAAGAATAAGGTTATCTGGAGGGTTGTTAAGGTTAGAAGTGATAAGAAGGCGTTTGAACAAAAAAGAAAGTCTCGTGCTGTTCCCGCTCCTACATATGTACATCCATAACAAGACGTCCGAAGTAAGAAGTACTTCCTGAGCCTGATTTAACTTCGAGTGGGCCAGGTATTGCGGCCTGTGCTGCACCCATTATAGTATAGCGTGACCTTATATGAATACAACTGTATAAAATGGGAATCTGTAACTTTTAACTTGATCTGATGGCATATTCAGATTCTAGGTTGTTTAAGCATAATTTTGGTATATTTTATATTGCAATAACTATTGATTTAGCTAAAAAAAAGGTAATATTTCATGTATAGATCTGTAAGTCTTTCGATATACCTGCCCGTCCCGCACACAGCCACAGGTACCGGACCCTCTCGTTGAACTTTGGCCTGTAACCATAGGTACCTACCTAGGTAGTATGTACCAAAGTACCTAAGGTACTCTGGCAAGGGGAAATGTGGCTGAGCTACGTCATGTCAAGGCTGTAATTCGCCATTAGGGATGTCCCGAGTGGAGGTAGGTTTGGAAGGCAAGCCACATATATTATGAAGCTAGAACACAAAATTTGATTGGAGGATTGGAGAAAGATCCAAGACGACCCTAATCAGGTGATAGGCGAGGACCCACCCTCCACTTGCCCACAGTCAAATCCAGGCGCACCGAAAATCCAAAGGAAACTTTTTTGGCCGAACAGAGTCATCAATTCTCAATCTTTAACCTCGTAATACCGAACTTCCCACAGAACTCGAAGGCTCAGTCTCCGCCCAAAATCGCGGTTAAATCGATTGATTTCTCGTGTTCTTCTCATCTCTCGTAAGTCTATTGTTCTCTTGAAGCATTCGCATATTATTGTCGAAACATTTGACGTCGACGAATTACTGTACTCGCTCACCCCGCGGTCGCCCCTCATCGCAAAAATCAATTCGCATAAGAAAAGCAACCTTGCTAACAAAGTATCGCGCACGCAGAATAAATCAGAAAAATGAAGCACCTCGCAGCTTACCTCCTCCTCGGCCTTGGTGGCAACACCTCGCCTTCTGCTTCCGACGTTAAGGAAGTCCTCGAGTCCGTCGGTATCGAGGCCGATAGCGAGCGTCTAGAGAAGCTCCTCTCCGAACTAGAGGGCAAGGACATCAATGAGGTACGATTATGCGACACTGCAAATGCATGAAAAGGGCACAATTGAGCTGACACGATATCATAGTTGATCTCTGAGGGTTCCAGCAAGCTTGCCTCCGTTCCCTCTGGCGGTGCTGGCGGTGCTCCCTCTGGTGGCGCTGCCGCCGCCGGTGGTGCTGCCGCCGCTGAGGAGAAGGCCGAAGAGAAGGAAGAGGGTATGTTTACGGCCTACTACGATTTTATCCGGTCTGATATACTGACAAATGGCTTTAGAGAAGGAAGAGTCCGACGAGGACATGGGCTTCGGTCTGTTCGACTAAGCGGATATCGTACATGGTTACGAGAACGAAGTCATGCGTTTTCGGGGAGGTGGCACGGAATTGGGCAGTGGTCTTGCATGGCATCCGGCGTGGAAGGGTCTGCGTTTGATCAACTAGGGCATCTAGAGACGGTTAAGGAAAAATACAGTGCTGCTTCTCCGAATCTTGAGTCCTTCAGTTTTTGACTTGCCCCATGTGAATGTACTTGTGGACTTTAAATCCGCATTAACTACCTGCATAACTTAAATCTTCTATCGCCTTGACCCAGCATGCAAGGCTACCTATAACTTACCTACCTCATAAGGTACCTAGGTACCTATCTATTATGTACGATGGTACATTGGAACAGAAGGTTTGGTTAGCGTGATGACCTAATACCTTAGGTACCTAAGTTAAGTTAAGTTGGGTACCTCACCCGATGTTACCAGTTGGTAAACATCCTCATCGCTTTTCACCTACAACATCATCTAAAATTACGAGTCGATCATGGAGGGGCTGTTTATATCCAGCGTATGTTATGCAATATCCCATATTTGTGGATTGCATAAGCGGGCTAGGTAGTATCGGTATACGGATCCGTATCGGTAGTAGAATTAGCGAACAACACGTAATTGGCTACCAAAAAGGGAATGTGGGCGTTGCTCCTAGCAACGGGTAAAAAAACGAAAAAGACGCCAAGCCAATGGAAGCAGGGGAAGTCAGGAACAATTCAGACGACTTTCAACTGGTCTTTCAAACCAGCAAGAACCGCGCCAATTACTTCTGCATTACCGCGCCCCATCCGCTCAATCTGAACTACCAAACCATAATGTTTTGGACGATTATCTGCTTTGACACGTAGAATATCCATTAAATCGACAATAAGATATCCCAATTCGCCAATTCGACGCGCTATAACCCGCTTTGCTTTTGTTTTTAAATTCCGTATAATTATAGTTTACACCATAATGACCTCCGCATCGCCAACGCCCGGAGCGTCCAGTCATCACCCGGGCGCTTTAACGAGAAAGTCGTCGCTAAGATCGGGGTTGAGAAGAGCTCCCTCTAGATCGCAGATCGGTCGTCCCGAATCCAATATTCCGGCTCCAGTACATATCGCTCATGTTTCCAAATCGCAATACGCGAGTAATGATAGTTCAGATGACGAGATCCCTGTGCCTATGAAGCTCAGCGCTCTTACTAAAGCTCTTCTCAACGATGAAGGTGCTGAACAAGAACGGGACAATGGACGCGTTAGAACTCGAGCTCAAGCTCATCGCCCTTCATCGCCCGTCTACGCAGAGCAGGACAAGCCTGCAAAGAGGCGCAGCGTCCTCGGTGCGTCGGTAGCTTCAATCGGCGAAGAGAGAAGGCATACTCGTGCCAGCAGCACTCAGTTGTCATCAAGACCAACCTCACCCGTCAAGAGTCAGGCTAGTAGAGAAAGTAGCCCTGTCAGGAAGCGCGTCGTCCGGTTAAGTGCCGCGTCTGCAACATCCGCCGCTACCTCACAACCTAAACTTCCCGCAAAGAGGAGGTCAACGTCGACGTCGTTCTCCGCTTCGCAAAGCAGGAACCGTCCTCCAAGTCGAGCTGATAGTGTCGCGGACGAGAAGGCTAATGGCTCGCTGATCAAGGAGAAGGACTTAAATACGCCGGCTCAGCAAGGGCGCGTGGTCAGAATCGCGGTCGGATCCTCCGGCAATAGGGGTCGCTCGTCGGCTTCGTCGGGGATGTCTTCTAGGCCAACCGATCTAGCCTCATCCTTCCATTCTCGCGACGTACCATCTGACGAAACTGACCTTCCTGATGCTCCTCAGACTGTCCCCCGGCAACAGGGGTCTTCTAATCCGGGAAGCGCCTCTAGGTTAGGCTCTAACGGATCTAGGAATCGCAACGACGAGAATCAAGCAGTACAGAGCTCAATGCGTGTTAAGAGAGTAGGAAAAATTCCCGGCAGCTTTCTTAGTGGCCCAGCACGCCGAGGACGAAGGAGGCAAAGCGAAGAGGACGCCGAAAATGGAAGAGAACCTATCCGATCCGGTCAGGAATCCGATGCGCATCATGCTCGGGATCCCGAGGACTATGATCCGCTAGATAACCTTGCGTCCTCATATTACGTGCCTGACCGTCTCGCCATGGGAAGCCCCGTTAGCTCTAGGGGATCTGCAAGGGCGGCCCAGAGAAGGGAGCTATCTACCGCGGCGGAAAATGGACACGTCTCGCGGTCACGACAGACTTCGCCTGAACACGACGAAATTCCGATCCCACATTATCGAGTCCCGCCCCCTCGATCTGAAATGCCGGCGAGACAAGATCAGGAGAACGAGGCCCCGCCGACCTTCAAGAGGAACAAACCCCCTGCAGGAAGCTTTCTGGAGAAAGACATGCCTAAGAATTCAGCCCGTCCTTCGAGTGCTGCCGAGGTGGGTTCCGCACGACTTATCTCACCGGACCGCAAGGCATTAAGCTCGCTGAGCCAGAACACACCTCGTAGGGCAGCACCGGCGCCTCCACCCAAGATGTCGATCCTAGATGCTGCTACCTCCGCAGCTGGAGCAGCAACTACGGTACAAGCGGCGAAGCGACGAAATTACATGAAAGTCAACGGAAAATGCTACACGAGGCTCGACTCCCTCGGCCGTGGAGGTAGCGGAAAAGTATACCGAGTAGCAGCCGACAACGGGAAGATGTTTGCGTTGAAGCGTGTCTCTATCGAGGGCGCGGACGAGAATACGGTCCGAGGCTATAAAGGCGAAATCGACCTCTTGAAGAAGTTAAATAACGTCGAGCGTGTTGTCACTCTATACGATTACGAGATGAACGAAGAGAAACAGGTCCTCAGCCTGGTGAGTTTTACATGGTGCCCCTTTTGCCTCTTGAGAGGTCAGGTGTGACTAGGCTAACCGGGTTATTATCTAAAAAATAGCTTATGGAAATGGGCGAGTTGGATCTTAACACGCTCCTACGCCTCCGGCTGTCGCCCGAGAATGCCAAATTTGATCCGGTCTTCGTGCGTTACTACTGGCAGGAGATGCTCGAATGTTTAGCGGCGGTACACGTCCATGATATCGTGCACTCGGATTTGAAACCTGCCAACTTCGTTGTGGTTCAAGGCCGATTGAAGCTAATCGACTTTGGCATTGCCAACGCTATCCAGACCGACGAGACCGTTAATGTGCATCGTGAGACCCAGGTCGGCACCCCCAACTACATGAGCCCGGAGAGTCTTCTTGACTTTAACACTACTGATTCTGCCGGTCGCCGCATTGCCTCCATGGGCAATGCGCCGCGCCCCAAGCTTATGAAGCTGGGTAAACCAAGCGATATCTGGAGCTTAGGATGCATACTGTTCCAAATGGTATACGGCACACCGCCTTTCGGTCATATCCCTAACCAGATGGCACGTTGCCACGCCATCATTAATTGGCAGTACGATATCGAGTTCCGTGATAAGGGCGTTGGCGGAGCACCTGTCCCACCTAGCCTCCTGCGAACTATGAAGCGCTGCCTTAGCCGTGATCAGCACCTACGTCCTACCTGTGAAGAACTGCTGTCCAGGACGGATCCATTCCTGTACCCTGTTGAAGCGCCGGCAGGGACGTTACCTATCACCGAAGAGTTGCTGGGACGAATTATTCAGAGCGTCGTTACCCGGTGTCGCGAGCGGATGCCAACCGAGGCCGAGGCACTAAGCGTCTGGCCTCAGGCTTATTGGGGCAGCGTCGCTAAAGCCGTTGGCAGGGAGGTAGCTTCGAGAACCACTCCCGAAAATACAAGGTGACAGGACAGGACAGGCTTGGAAAGCTAATAATAAAACATGACTTATGACTGAGGAACTGAAAAAAATGACGGTTGAATAAGAGGGGATGGTAGCCTATTTGCATATGGGTTCGCGTGGATGGATAATTGTTTTTTGGGATACTATAATCCCGTTGTTTGAATTCCCGTTTTTCTTTTTTATACCATTCAAGAAGTCGTTGGGGGTGGAGTGCCGTCTCCATCGACGAGAGATATCCCTGATGTTCTGCTCACGCTTATGCCTCATTAGCCACGGAGTTCAGGATAGGCATGGGATGATGCTTCAATCGTTAGACACGGTTTGTTGGAGCTGTGGTTGATTTTAGCGATACGTTTGTGGTTGGGTTTTTTTTATTTTTTACGCGCTCCGTGAAAGTTTACTTTTTAATGAAAACTCAAACTTGATCATTGTTTAAATGTTTAATTCTATGCGTTGTAGTCTTTTGCAAGGTATTGCTGGTACCGGAATGGGCGGTACTTTGTGATAACTGAGCCTGCGGTTCAAGTGGACATGTTCATATTTCTTATGCATGTGTGTAATTGTCTTAGCAGTATACTGTTTGTCTGATGTTTGAATTCATGTTTTATACATGGAGCTTGTCTGATATTTTGCAAGCCCATTTCGTAAGTGTTACATACATGATATCCACTGCTGACTGACTTGGATCTATAGTGCCCCGACAAGAAATGCAGTCACAAAGGTAGCAGAATAGATAACCGATCCTTCCCGCCCTTTTCGTCCCCGTTCGACCCAAGCAGAACCTGCCCCATAAGGGAGGAATCCCCAGCGTAAAGCTCACCACCACTCATATCACCAAAGACACCCTTAGGAAGGCCCAAGTAGCTTAAGCTCGCTGATCCTCAAGATGGTATACCGGTGCTTACTCGCAACGCGGCGAGAGCGGCGGTTCCGGCGCTTAGTCTTGATTTTGACGCGCAGGGGCTCGGACTCGACGCCGAGGACGGTGGCGCGGCACTCGAAGAGCGAGGGGTCGACGTGCGGACTGCCGAGAAGCGTGTAGTCCCGGGATCCGAGCGTAGACGCCCGGTCCAGGCGCAACACGTCGCCCGGCAGGACGTCGTGCATCAGGAAAGGCAGGCGGATGCGGTCGCCTTCCGTGACGAGGTACGGGCGGCCGTGGATGTGGATGGTGATGTAGTGCGCGGGCTGCGCGCGCAGCAGCGGGAAGAGCTCGGCTACGGAGCTGGATGTCGTTCCCGCGGGGGGGTGGGGGTGGGTTTGGGACTGAGAGGAGGGGGATAATGCTGAGGGGGCGGGGGACGGTTTGGAGGGCGCTATGGGGGGCGCGGTGGTTTGTTGTGTGGGTGTTGCGCTTGGAGGCGTTGTTGTTGGTTCGACATTGCGTCGTGCTGCTGTCGTCGCGAGGGTGCGGGCGTGGATCGGCAGGAGGAAGGTTGGTGGGAGGCGTGTTATAGGCGTGCGAAGCTCCAGGACGGAGCGCAGTAGTGACCGGCTCATTTTGCTATTTGCTATATGAAATCCTATCCTCCCTTCTTCCGTGTCGTAGGAGAATTGGACCGATTGGTGGCTATCCCCGGCGTTTTCGAGTCGCCGAAAAAAGGTGTCGATAAGCTCCGAATTGTGATATTTGAAGTTGACGGAGGGTCGAAAAGTTAAAGTGGGGACTCTGGTTTTTCCGCCGTACACTAGTGGTAGGAGTACGTACTATGTAGGTACTTAGATACAAGTCTGATCTACATAATCAATGTGGCTGGAGCTTTAGTGCCCGTACATTAGAAATTTTGATAGTGGCGGGTCCCTTGATCGATAACAAACTACCGCCGTAACTTTTTTATCACTGGTCACTAACAACCGACACCTTCAATACAATAGAATCTCTAATTATCCGTTGGCTCGACACTGGAATTCGGAATTGATCTAAGAGAAACTTTTCTAGCCAGTTCGCAAGACCCTTTCGAGGGCAAGTCCATTCATCATGGTAAGATTTCTCTACTCCCCACCAGCGACCAGCGACCAGCCCCGTCCATAGGTACTAACACATCGTCTACGATAGCCTCAAAATGAGTACATGGAGCGATTCCGCAAGACCCACGGTCGCCGTCTCGACCACGAGGAGCGTATGCGGAAGCGCGAAGCAAGAGAAGGCCACAAGGCGTCCAAGGATGCCCAGAACCTGCGAGGTCTAAGGGCGAAGCTGCACCAGGCGAAGCGGCACAAGGAGAAGATCCAGATGCGCAAGCAGATCAAGGCCCACGAGGAACGCAACGTCAAGTCGGCCTCCGAGAACGACCCCAAGACCCCGCTGCCCAACTACCTGCTTGACCGATCCAACCCCACCCAGGCCAAGGCCCTCAGCACCGCCGTCAAGAACAAGCGCGCCGAGAAGGCCGCCAAGTTCGCCGTGCCCCTCCCCAAGGTCCGCGGTATCAGCGAGGACGAGATGTTCAAGGTCATCAGCACCGGAAAGAAGGTCAACAAGAAGAGCTGGAAGCGTATGGTTACCAAGCCTACTTTTGTCGGCCCCGACTTCACGAGGCGCCCTGTCAAATACGAGCGTTTCATACGACCTATGGGTCTACGGTACGCATATACCTTTATTCCCTTTCCATTTATTTATTTGCCCACGCCGTTGTTATATATATATATATATATATATATATCAGTATCCAGCAGCTTATACTAATCCCCCCGCTATAGATACAAGAAAGCCAACGTGACGCACCCCGAACTAGGCGTAACGCTTCAGCTCCCCATCGTCAGCGTCAAGAAGAACCCCCAGCAGCCGCTGTACACGCAGCTCGGTGTTCTAAGCAAAGGTACCATCATCGAAGTCAACGTATCCGAGCTCGGACTTGTCACTGCCGGCGGCAAGGTTGCTTGGGCCCGGTACGCCCAGATCACGAACAACTGCGAGAACGACGGTTGCGTAAATGCGGTGCTACTGGTTTAAACGTGGCCTGGCTTATGAACTCCTATACCCAACCCACCTTCGGTCGAGGAAACGGGAAACGATAAAAAAAGGAAAAGGAAAAGGGACTGAGACGGAGACGGAGACGGAGACGGAGGAAGCCCTGACTTTAAAAGGGGTGGGGGGTTTTCTTCCCTAGTTTGGTTGACCAATTGAACTTCAGCCAACAGAGACACGAACAAAAAGGCCACACAGAAAGCGGCGTCAGATATCTACAACGGTAAACTCTTCAGGTGAACATCTCAGGAGTGGGAATAGATGAGCCCTCGCCACCGAAAAAGGGAGATACGTTAGGTAGCTATCATCATCATGCATTGAAAATGGCGTCAGGCGTTTGATGGACATGCAAGTAAGCCGGCACCAATACCTGGGGTAGATAAGTGAGATGAAAAAAAAAAAGTAGATATTTAAAAAAGATATTACGAAACACTCATCAACCATGACTCTTTATTTGATTTGCTTGAATCTAGCCTCTTACAAACCACAGCACCCAACCTTGGTTTATGATTCCTGTAATCAAATCACGTTACTATACATACTACAAGCTAAATCACATCCACAAATCAAGTTGAAAACACAATATAGATAGTCAAATGATCCAGTATGAAAGTTGAATAGTAGGAACTAGAAATTACATAGTATACACGCTACCAGCCAGCCTATGAATCCAGACGCCAGCAGCCTAACATCTATCCTTATACGCCAGGAATTTAACCCGCGATCCTTCCCTAACCAGGCTTGTCCTTGCAAGCCCTTTTAGCGGTGCCCGCGCCAGACGCCCCCCAAATGCCATAGTGACCATGACAGCGGATAAATCGGGTGCAAGTGTACGGAGAGGCCTCGAAACTCGCTCACCAAAAGTGGAAAATGTCGGGGAACACAATTTAGAGCAGAGGCGGAAACAGCTCCACGTAGTGAAGTAAAATTCAATCTCTTGTTTAATCCGCTCGTGTCGAAGAGGAGTGTAGAATATGGGAAACAGTAATAACCCGAAGTAAACGCCAACGTTATAACGCCTGCTACAGCTTGGCAGGCCTAGACGAAGAAAACGAACGACGAATAGGTTGAAAATGACGTGAGAACAATGACATCCTGTGATTGGTAACGACAAATATGTCGAACCATTGTTAGAAACTCTCAGCATCCCATAATATTTGGTGGATAACTAATCCGAAAGGCGCGTGCGGCCTGTTGCGTGCCACATGGCATCGCTTTTATCGCTCAAACTCATCACATTGATGAGGAAAATTATAATCCGTGCACTGCAAACTGGTATCGGATTGGTGGGAAAGCTATGCCCATCCAAAACATAACTGTGGCAACTACTTAGGTGGCATGCCAGCACCTCCGTAGCTAGGGGCATTCCATCCTTGCTGTTGGGTAGGGGAGGTCCAATCACCAGGCTTCTTAGCCTTACGATACTGTTGGTTTCTATCCGCGTTCTTCAGGTGTGCGTACGGGTTGGGTGGTAGGTTGGCCTCCCCACCGGTAGTGGGTAGCGAAGAAACGGCGGCGACGGCGACCTTCTCCTTGTCCTGCTGATCGGTAGAGGTATGAGGATCGTGTAAGCGTCCGCTAGAGCGCATATCCACAATCGTCTTAATCACTTCCATGTCGTCTTGATCCTTGTCATTTAGAAGGAGGCGCTGTTTGAGAGTCATTCGACCTCCATTTCTCGTCCGCTCCTGAAGAGCAGCCTCGCGAACAGCCGGGTCATGTACAAAACGGCACTTGCCCTTCTTGCCGCAAATCCCTCCCGTAGAGTAGTACTTGCAGTGGTTTGAGGGGTCAGCTCGCGTGATCGGGGGAGGAGGTAGAAATCCGCTAGCCGACTTGTCAGTCGGTAAGGCTTCAGGTTGCTCGTCATCAGACTCGTCGTCCGAAGACTCCAAGCGCATCTCGTCACCTTCATCATTAGGTGCACGTTTGCGCTTCTCAATCTGGCGGTCAAGCTTCGCCAACTTCTTACGTAGACGATCTGCTTCTTTTTCGACCGGATCGACCTGAGCGACGACAGTCTCCTTGCCGTCGTTAGCATTAGCTACCGGCGTCGGGAGCACTCCTGCCTCCTTCTTCTGCGCCACACGAGCTTTGGTCGGGTAATTCGCTTTACGCTCCGCTATCCACTTCGCTAAATCACCATCAGGTATACTGTAACTGTTCAGTTAGCTTAGAATATAGAGCAAATGAATATGGAATTACAACATACCCTGGGGCATCTGTGCCGAGCAGCTCTTCCAGGCGCTTCTCTTCATCTACACCATCGTCTGAATCCTCGTCTCCTGGGGTTAGTCCCAGTGTGTTTGTCTTGCGCTTCTTCTTCTTGGCGCCAGCATGATCAGACTTCTGATAATTGTTGGACGGCTGGTGCGGCTTTTGGTCCCGAGGGCGAAACTTCTCGCCACGGTCACCGTTCATAGCTCCTCTGTTTGAGTGAGCGTGACCACCACGACCATGTCCTCTATTATTAGATCCGTAATGAGACTGTGGTGGGCCGGAATATGACGGAGAAGGGGCTGGGGGGTAGCCGTACGACGGCTGCTGGAGGGGAGCTGGTTGGTGATGTGTAGGAGGATAGGGACTGCGCAGAGGACCACTTCGATCACTCGGATATCCGCCACGTCCGCCGCGACTAGAATAGTGAGAAAATGATTGAGCTTGATCGCCCCATGGCTGAACAGGTTGTTGAGCATACTCATTAGGCGCTTGACCGTAGGGAACTCCATATGGAGGACGGGAGGATTGGTTGGGATACGGCGGTTGGTAGGACTGGCTGGGTTGAGGGTGAAATCCCTGAGGTGCGTAACTAGGAGGATAGTTCGGCGGAAGAGACGAGCCGTTGGGGTGACCGTGGCTCACGGGTATAGGCCCTCGCCAGTGAACGGTCGTTAGAGGATGGTTATACTGCCCACCGCTAGGGGCAGGGTAATCTTGTTGCTGATAGTAAGGCGAGCCGTATTCAGTACGGCCGGGTCCTTGGTGATGGCCATGCCCTCTGCCGCTACTCGCTGCTGCAGCATGGCCACCACGAGGCGTGTGAGCATACCCTGGTCCTTGACCGTACGGGGGATACGGGCCCGGCGAAGCCGCTGAAGGAGCTGGCGGAGGGGGTGCGTAGGGATAGCTGCTCATGTTGAATTTGGAAACGTTGAGAAAGAGAGGTAAGTAAAGGTTAGCCAGAGGGATAACTAGAAGACTTGATGTTAGAAAATATACGCCACGATATCCCAAAATATATGGTGAAGTTAAACATACCAAAGGCTAGCTGCCCGCCGTATAGGCAAGGGGTAAAACCACACCGCCTGGTGACTTCAAGACCGGTGAGTTTAGTGTACTAGAATGAAAAGTAGGAAACACAGAGTGCGAAGAGAATTAATTAGAAAAGGTGACGATTGAAGACGTGGAGAGAATCAAGATATCTAGGATATCTAGAGAGGCGTTGTTCTTCGATGGAAGTTATAACGCTCGAAGATTTCTGAGTTGTACGTATGATGAATGATTGTGGTTGTGGGTTCTATTTATGAAAGGCCTTGTACAGCTGGACCCCTGCAGGATTTTATGGAAACGCGATATACTTTTTAGCGCGACACTAGCGCAGATCTAAAATCCTGACTCCTCAAGTCGGAGTGGGAACATCAATAATACGACTCAGCCGCACCTACCTGCACTGTCAATCTTACGTATACCTAATTTTATACTTTATACGGAAGTCCCCATCAAAAGTTTTGTCCATAGGCCAGCCCTTGTTAGCTTTTGACTAGCTTTAACAGGGCTTGGCAACAGCTGTAGGCTATCGAGCGCATGTACTATCCATAATTCGCTTATACATAATAACTCAAAATCTTCTCCTCAAACAATAAAAATTACATAGGCGTATAAAGAAGCTTTTGTACTTATAATAGATCCAATTTTAATGTTTTTATTGGCATATTGAACCTAAAATTTTGTATACATTTCTAATCTTGGCTGCCGCATGGTGTCAGGTTCCAGACAGCTGCATCAAAAGCTGTCAGGTGGCACGTATGGACAAAACTTTTGATGGGGACTTCCGTACAGTGTTAGTCTTTGCAATCACACGGTTAGGTATGCTTTTCACTACGTTTTACCTACACAAGACATAAAACAGTACAAAAAAAAGGCCCATTGCTTCTGTTATATACTTTCCCATGGTGGAGTATACAAGACTGTGTAAATGAGCGTATGATGAGATTTTCATAACAACAACTACAGCTACGGTCGCAACCATGTTCATTCTGGTCAGTTAACTTATGCGGATGCCAGATCTTTATAGCTAACCAAAACCTCAGACAAAGATTGCCGATCTAGTGCAGATCAGGCCAGACAATTTTGAGAAGCCCAGTCATGTCGCGATAGAAGATAGCATCAATGCTAAGTACGCGAACCGGGTAATCCAGAAGATCGGTCTTTGCATCTGCATGTATGATCTACTATGGGCGTCCGAGGGTCTCATCGGCCATGGAAGTGGTATGGTTAATGTCAACGGTATATATATCATTTTCTACTTTTTATTTTATTTTATTTTCTTGAGGAAACGGCCCGTAAATAGCAATACTAACTATTAGATAATAGTCGAGTTTCGCATGATCGTCTTCAGGCCCTTCAAGGGCGAGACCATATTTGGAAGGATCAGTGAAGCTAGTCCAGATGGAATTCATAGTATGTTTCCATCAAACTTGTCGCACCTCTATAGAGAATTACCACTAACCGATACCAGTCCGTACTGAGTTCTTTGAAGATATATTTGTGGAGTACAAGGAGTTGCCTGAGAACACACAATAGTAGGTATCACCTGGTCTATATTATATTCCTTACAAATGAACTCACCACCATCTCTAGCAACCATATGGAAAAGGCGTGGACATGGATCTATGACCCCGAGGGCGATCCAATGTGGTACGACAAGAACGAGATGGTCCGCCTTCAGGTGATCGAAGAGGAATGGCATGACCAGACTCCCGAGAGTGCCGAGGAAGAAGCAGTCGATAAGGCCAAGAAATTATCCCCTTACCGCATAAAAGGGACCATGATGAAAGAAGGTCTCGGAGTCTGTTTGTGGTGGGAGTGATTTCATAGTGTTCTCTTCAACTAACTGTATACTGTATACAACTGCATATGCTGGCGTTCGGTTGGGGACCGCTATTTGCATAGGTTTGGCTGATTAGCTGCCCAGCCCTCTTATTTAGACTTGATACCCTCGAGTAATCGATTTTCTACTCCGTCCAGGACCGAGTAATGCTCAACCACAGCAAGGTTTTCAGCCTCTGTCTTGAACTGTTTATCAGGATCGACACCAGGCCCGAACATTTGGGCGTTTTGTGGTCCCATTCCCGACATCTGTTGTGCCATCTGGTTGGCAGCTGGTATATAGTCAGCTTCGTTACGCCTACCTAGGTAGTTAAACACGACTCCAAAAGGACTTACCGTTCTCGTTTCCGAGCAAGAAGTTGAATACAAATTGCAGACCAAAGTAGCACAAGAAGTACCAACTGATACTCGACATCCATCTGGGGTCCATTTCCTTGGTTGCGACGCCAGCCTGTAGCATACTCTTGAACTTGATAGTAAGAGGGAAAGGTAACTTGATGATAACAAATCCACTGAAGAAGGCATTGATCCAGCTCATGATAAGGGTGTTCGGAATCATCATAGCCATGTTATTCTTCATCATACCCATCATACCATCCATGGCACCGGGATCGGTCATCGGATTCGGGGGAGGCTGGCCGCGGCGCTCGGGGTCTTTCAGGAAAGCACCGGATTCGTAGGCATTGGTGAGATAGTCTCTCCTCGCGCGGAAAGACGGCTCAGATAATACGTGAAAGTTACTACGCACGGCAACGCCATGTAGTAGAGACCGTTGCTCTCTCATGGCTTTCTGGTCGAGCTTCTTGGGAGGCGTTTGCATAAGGACGGTGGCATAGTATCGCAGTACACCAGTTAGAATCTGCTCTTTGATTAGCACACGAGCCCCTCGAATAGAAATGACAAAAAGGACATAAAGGCTTACCATTACGGCAGTAATTGGAAGTAGGATCCAGTAGCTATGAAGCGGAGTTAGTAGAGCTTCAGCATTACTCCAGCTATACTCCAGCTAACACTTACAAGAGCTGGGGATCCCTATGGATCGTCTGCGGTGGTAATTGAGCCATCGTGTGAACTTAATGCTGTGGTCTAACAGTAGGTGGCTGTCAAAATAGTATAACACACTTGATGGTGGTTAAAGCTCAAGTCGGCATTGATTAGGTACCTAGGTAGGTGTATACATGTATGTATGAAATTATGCGATACCGAGTAAAGTTCCATTAGCGTTCATTACACACTTAGCTCGGTACAGGGCTGAACATTAAAGCGCCCCACCCCCAAAGCCACCTATGCAGATGGTGTACCTCTCACTTATACTATGAAGTATTTTGTACCTCCACAAGCTTACACTCAACCAAGACATTCGACTAAGAAGGACACCTAAGCTATCGTCCCCTTCACCTCGACATCCCATCACAACCGACCACGATCCGAGTGCGAATATTTTTTCACAAAGCTCCTCTCCGAACATCAGGATAGAGAATCGAGCTTGGCAATGGCCTCCCAGGAACGAATTGCCGTCCACAACCTCGCGGGTATTATTATTATCCTCCCCCTCTACAATAAACCCAGCCAGCTACCTACCTACCTACTAATTCCCCCCACGCAGACCTGAAGAACACGTCCGACGATGCGATCCCCAACTACCTCAACTCGCTCAAGTTCAAGCAGGACCACCGGCTGATCGACACGCGGCTCGCCCTCGGGTACGGCGCCTTCGCCATCGCCGCCGCCTGCTTCGCCTGGGACTACAAGCTCGGCTTCGACGCTACCAAATACTACACCGCTGCCGCCGTCGCCGCTTACGCCCTGCTAAACGGCATCCTGACGTACTGGATCAGCTTCGTGGAGAAGGGCACCGTGTACCAGGGCGTCGCGCCGGACGGGTCCAAGGTATGCTCTTCACTTACTTACTTACCTACTTACCTACTACCTTGAAGTGGTAATAGTAGTAGTAGTAGTAGTAGTAGTTTGTAGGGCTCCGACTAATACTTAAAACGACTACAGATCTCGATATCTACCTCGACGAAGAAAAACGTGCCAATCTACAACGTCAAGATCACCGTGACGCCCAAGAACGGGTCGCCGGAAACGATTGAGTTAGCGCGATCGTTCACGGAGTGGTTCGACGTGCAGGGCCACTTCATCGCGCGGCCCTTCCAAACCGTCTTCGCCACGGCCGTGCCGTTGATCGCGAAGGCCGACCCCAAGCGGGTGCAAGCCGCTGCGCAAGTGCCTGATTTTCTCAATGCCGATGCGGATGTCCTAGACGCCATTGCGGCTTCTCAGTCTACGTCTACTGGCGCCGAGGCGGCGCCAGCTAGCAAAAAGTCGAAGCGCAGAAAGGCGTAGTGGAATAATCTAGTAATGCATGGGTCCATGTGTTGAAATATAATGCCATACCTTCCGATACGATGCCTTGCTCGTGAATAGCTTTTTGCCGTTTACAATGTATTCATACGTCAGTCCATTATAATGGGGATGCTACGAAACTATCAAGACGTACTTAAATATAGTTGTCGAGGACAGTTCGCATATGCTTTGGTATGTATCTCCTATACTAAGAGCAACTACCACTTAAAAGCCAACCCCTATCTGAACTATAGTAGCCAAGTATGATAGTATTCCAGTCGGTCATCTATGACCCCAACAAATGCTCGGCAGTAAAATTTTAAGCAAGCGCTTCCCAGGCCTTCCTAGCCTCTAGCGCCGTTCGTCGAATCTCTCTAACCGGGTCTCCGCAAGCTGCCGATAGAGGACGTAGTAGTTGCTGACGGTAAGGCACGAGATACTGAGACTCATACGAGCTCGGTAGTTTTTGGAAGAACTCTAGCGCAAACTTCCGGCATAGGGTTCGCTTGTTTCCTTTTGTCTTGCCCGTCGTATGATCCTCTACAGACCCCGCAGTTTTGCTTCCCTTTCTAAACGTCTCGTAGACTACCATCATACCTGAGATAAGACCAGCTATATGCTCTTTGAGTGCGTCCGGCTCCTTCTCGAGTACTTGTAGCAGGACATTAACGCAGGATTCCATTTCCACGCTGTTATCAAAGGTAGATAGGGACCGGATACCGATCCGCACGATCTGTTCAATGTCGCTAGAGTACTGTTCGTACTTTAAGTGCTTTAGGATCGCGAACACCATTATAGCGCGATTAACTGTAATTCTCTCATCCACCCCAGAGGTAGGGAAGCAGTCCTTCAAATAAGGCTGGATGACCTTAAAGTACAGCCACTCGCCACTTAGTCTCTTTCGAATCGCATGGTTTTCTTTCTCAAGGCACTCCTTAGGACTAACGAGTACTTCGAAGTTCACTGCGAACCGGCGGCCTAGTGTGGGATCCGATGGCGCTCTTTCACACACCAACTTGAGTAACGCGTTATGTGTATCAGGATTACTCCTGAATCGTGCCACATCGCCGGCTAAGAAGTGAAGAATGCTACGGATGACGCGAACACTGAATCCCGAAACATCATTCAAAGTGTTTGTTAAGGCATCGATCAAGTTTTGTTGAATTCGTAGTTTTTCGTTGCTGTGAGTTTCATCTTCCATACGGAGCTTATTTGACAATATCGTAAGGATAATATCTAACGCGACCCTTGTTGTATCTGGGCCAGGTAACGGGCCGGTGGTCAGGACTGTGCAAATATTCTTCAGTGCGTTGGCATGATACTAGAAATACAGTTAGCTACTATCAGTGCGAGCCGAAAAGACCTTTGCTCACCTCTACGTTCATCACACCAGGATAGAGACCCTGAAGGATACCCATCGATAAAGGTGCTGTACGGAATTCGTCCAGTGAGCTTACTCCAATAGTCTCCAAAGGTGGATGTCCCATAGTTGTGGCGTTGGTGGAATCAATACTATGGAAAAGAATGAACGCATCCTTGCTTAAGTCCAGAGCCTTCTGTTCATCCTCATTCAAAGACCGAACAACTGACGCGGCTAAAAGACCAAGTTGATGAAGGCATATATCCTGTTCAACATTGGAATCACGTCCCCCCTTGAAATCTTCACCGAGTCCTATTTGGGGTCCGTTTCCGTTTGCCCCGTCACCTTGGTACTGGACGGTAGTGAAACGACGGTATAATTGTTCCACGACGGATAAAGAGTACGCCAATAGCTGCTGATGGACGTCAATCTCATCTGTCCCTAACTCTTCGAGCGCCTTAATTGTAGGTCCGGGAATTCCAGATTTGTTCAAGTCAAGCCGAGGGGCACCGGAATTCTCAATAATATTGGTAAATCGCATGTACCATTCCTTTGTAATACTAGGCCGCTTTGGTTGTAAGGGGTCAGACGTTTGCTTTGCTGTGGAACTCAAGGACTGTATAATAGAAAAATGAATAGAACAGATGAGCGCAGTCCAATATCTTATTGATGCCTGCTCTGACACCATCCATAATAGACTCTCGAGTAGGACGTTGATCAAGGAGACGGAGTTTGATAATAACCAACGGCTTCCGACCAAATTTGAGCTACCAACTTCACATAGGGTACCAGCAACTAGTTTCATCTCCAATGGGAGCTCGTCTAGAGCGAGTTGCTGCTGGTATGCTACCTTGAGTGAGGAGAGGTACTGCTGCAGCAGGAGTTGGAATGCTGGGGGGTATAGAGGTACAGCTTCCTTCAGCGCAGTAACAGCAGCATCCCGGATGTCTTGGTTCGTATCGCTGTTGTTTTCATTGAACTTTTTACCTTCTAAGGGATAGATGATAGAGGGGCTTGCGAGCCAACTAAAGATCTTATCGCAAGTGGAAGGAGAACATAGCTGATGAGAAGGCCCGGCATCACTAGATCGCTGTCCTACAAGAACGGCAAGTCCTTCCAAGACTTTCTTGAAGACGCCTACTTTCTCTGCTTCCTGAGAACCCGATATTTCTTCCCATAGAGGTGCATAGACTTCAGAGAAGAGTGAATCACCAAATAGTTCGTCCTTCAGTAGACCCAAGCTCCTATCGACATTTGGGTCGTCCTTCAGTGTATCTACTAGATGTGATCGTATGGTGAGTATAGAGTTGAGTAACGCCACAAGTTCTTGTTTATGCGATGTAGACTGGGTATGTCTAAGTGTAGATTGAGCATGGGATATGGCCTGGGGAGTGATACTCGAAAACGACTGGAAACCGGCCCCAGAAATTGCAACCAGGAGTCTACCAGCCTGGGCCGTGTAGGTTGGACTGGATAAGTCTTCGACGAGATCCCTCCAAGCGCTTGCTAAGAACGATCGAAGTTCATCCTCGTCAAGCCGTGTGGTAAGGGATCGTATGACCTTCAGGGTTGCCTTGATAGTGTCCGGGATCTCGCCGTTTCGAACCTCGTATTTAAGTGAGCTCCATATCTGATCAACAAATGGAACAACACTCTTCTTGGGATGCTCATATTGTACTAGGCATGCGTCAAGGGTCTGCAGAATGTCGACCTTTACGGCAACGGTCACCGCGTCCCCCTGATCAAGTTTGTTAATAAGATATGGTATCGTATGGTTAGCTACGCGGTAATGGGCGGCGAAGCATGATCGCACAGCGCCCTTCAGATCATCGGCGGTAATACCTGACGGTGTAGCTGACGACCGCAGAGAAATGGGGAAATAAGCTGAGAATGTTTTGAAGACCTCTAACGTAATCTCTTCCGACGGTGAAAAGTTCTGTAGAAATATTTTTAGAATCTCAAACCACTTCATTAAATTCAACGGATCCCTTTCGTTCCGGCATAGGTCCAGAAGACTGGTTATAAATCCGCACGTGTTTCCGTGGCGGTATTCAAGATCGTTGGCCACAGCAGGATCCTGAAGCAGCCCAAGAAATAATTCATAGAGCTCTAGGCGTGTCACTGGTGTCTGTAGTTTGAAATCATCGCCCAATTTACAGATGCTTGAAATTATATCATCTCCTAGAGTGGGTTGGAATGACTTCATGCTAACCAGGTGTTTCAAAGCTTTAGCAGAAGCTGTAACACCAGCTCGGTGATCGCTCGAAAAGAGGGAACCAAAGAAAGTCACCAAGAGCTTAACTTGGTCAGCTTTCAGGGACACATCTCTCTTCTTTAGAATCCCAAGGGTGCTAGCTAGAAAGTCCAGCGCCTTTGCCCGTGTGATGAAGTTATCATCGCTGGAATCATTGCTCGGTTGAATCCAACGGTTTATAGATGCGACCCACTGGCCGACGGCTATTCTGCTGTTTGTGGATTCTTGGATTCCTTGGAAGATGGTGTTGGCATGTCATTTTTATTTTTATTGTGTTACGGGGTTACGGGAAAAGCTTACCTGTAGCTGCTTTCTCTGATATTGCCTGTTCCTGGTCTTTCTCATCTGTGAGAACATACTGCAAAGCGAGATCGTCAAACTTGACGCCCGCCATATTTCGCAGTGGGACAAGACAACGCTATTCGACAGAGTCGAACAGGCGTCTTTTGGTGTGCTTTTTCTTTAATGAACGCGCCTGGAATAATTATCCTATTAGAAAATGCGGTGAATATTGATGACGCGCTATCGCAACAGTCAGAATATAGGTATCGAAGTAGGTAAATCCAGTACTTTGTTAACACCATAAGGCTTATGGATGTACATACATAAAGGTAACGCCCGGCCTGAGGTTGTACCTACCTAATCTAATCTGAATGACGAAATGCCCCGCGGCTGCAAGATGATCCGGCTAGATTGCTTGTACAGATGCCGATTTAGGGCCAATTCTATACCTAAAGAAGTAAGAGGGGCAATCAATTTTTTTTTTCAGGCACTTTCACACAGGTCATATCGGCTAGCGTGGTGGGGTGATAAGAAAAAAAACTTGGCTTCAGTCAACAGCGACTCCGGATGTTTGACGATGAGATCTGTTAATCTACCTCATTTAGTTGCTCATTCCCCATACTGTTCTTTTAGATATACAATTAACCGTCCAATTCGTGGTTTTCCATTATCACAAGACCTTCTTCACCATAAGCTTAACATTTCTTATACGCGTCCCTTTGCTTACGTTAACTTACACACTCTACACAAACACCAACACAAATTACACAAGCCGCGACGCTCCCTCAATTTAGATCGCGGGGCACTACAAGCACTTGTGGTGGGGCAGGTATGTCGAAATTCACTCGCCCCTGTATTATATATATACCTTCATATCCCATTCGTCCCATTTGTGATACAACACTTTTAGAATTTCTGTCTTACTATTATAATATATGAATCTATCAGCTAATTCAGTCTAACTAGTCTAATTCCTACCCAACTATGGCTACGCAAGATGTACCAAAGACCTGCAAGGTCATATTAGCAGACACCATTGCTAGAGGTCTCCTCACTGAGGTCAAGGATACACTGAAGTCTATTCAGAAAGATAACGAGGGTCAACCCACCCTAGTTGCCTTCCTTGCCAACGGTGACCCAGCAGCTGTCAAGTATGCCGAATGGTCAAAGAAGACTTGTGAAGAGAAGTAAGAAATCGCATGCTCTCAATGCAGTGGATTTGTTTGCTCACTTACACTGGGGGCATAATGCTTACTGATGATTAGCGGCTTTACCTTCGACCTGCGTCAAGTAGACAAGGATAAACTAGAAGAAGAAATTATGAATGCCAACGAGGACAACAAAGTAGATGGCATTATCGTCTACTATCCCATCTTCCCTGGCAACCCAGCTCACGACCGCTATGTTCAGGAGACCGTCTCGCTCTCCAAAGATGTTGAGGGCCTCTGCCATAAACATATTCACAACATGTACTACAATGTCAGGTTTCTGGATCCTCCACAGAACCTGAAGAAGTCTATCTTGCCCTGCACCCCGCTGGCCGTCGTTAAGATCTTAGAGTACCTTCAGATCTACAACTCTATCCTGCCCTATGGAAACCGACTTTTTGGGAGAACCATCACCGTCATCAACCGCTCAGAGGTCAATGGCCGTCCATTGGCTGCTCTACTTGCTAATGATGGCGCCACTGTGTACTCTGTCGACATAACAGGAGTTCAGCTCTTCACTCGTGGCCAGGGCATCAAGCAGCCACGGCATCAGGTTCAAGACAAGGAGGGCTGGACCTTGGAGCAGTGTATACCCATCAGCGACGTCATCATTGGCGGTGTCCCCACAGAGAAATTCAAGGTGCCGACGGAACTTATCCGCGATGGAACCGTCTGCATTAACTTCTCTTCTTTCCGAAACTTCGATGGGCCTGCTATCAAAGAGAAGGCATCAATATACGTGCCTTCTGTCGGCAAAGTTACAATTGCAGTGCTACTTAGAAATCTCGTGGTATGTGATCTATAACTTAAGCTAGATTTTTTTACGGCATACTGACCCCCAGCTCAGCGCTTAATTGCAAACCGCCCTTCAACTAACAAAGACGGATCTACCGACGAGAGTACGCAGAAGGCCAAGAGCGAAGCATTTGTAGATGGTTAAAATTAGAAGCCACAAGCTGATACCCCGATATCTCATATACTATTAGATCTCATTAGGAATGCATGCCCGAGGCGTGCTATAAAAGGTTGCGGGACTTGATTTCAATTATAAGTTATTAAAACGACATTTTTGACTTAACCATTTATGCTCATGTTTTAGCATGGATTTAAAACTAAATAGAGCCTCGACCATGAGGAAAAGCAAATATTTAACCGGTAAGAAAACCTTAAAGCTGATAGGGTTTAAAGGGATACCCAGTTGTATGGAAACTTTGGTATATTGATAAACTAAAGGAAGTCGTACACATAGACTTGCGTATTATAGCGAGCAAAACCGTCGTGATATGGTGAAAGAGGAACTATCTAGAAATAGTCCAGGTCTTGCTTCGAATTCTTACAACTTGAATATTATACAACAAGATGCTTTTAGGAGTGTTATAATGAGATCCTTAACTATATAGTACACCTAGAGACTTGAATTCTTATCATTTAGCGGTTTATATAGAGGAATACGAGGTGAAAATACCAGATCAGAGTTAAGAGCTTTCAGGGTAATGAAGGAAATTGTAAACAGGGAGCTTCTTATTCTTTCATGGAGTAAACATCTAATTCTAACCCAACTATTTCAACAATACTTCATGTTGATGCGATATAGCTAGTTCATCTGATATGTAGTATATTGGTGTCTCGATTTACTAAAGGTACCTATTTCTTTCCTTGAAATCCACCAAGTTAGCATATTGGGTGCTTAGGTATCCTTTTCCTTTTTACAAACACTCAATATTCAGACTCAGATCCCTCTGCCCCATACCCAGAATTTACATAGCGGTAAGAGCAAGGCAAAACACGAAATCATTACACACTCCACCCCTAATATATTTAAGCCTTTTCCGTCGTAATACCCTTCAAGCTGTCCCGGTCACGCTCGTCCCAAATTGCCCTCTCCAAAGAAGGATACACAATATCAGCATCGCCATCAAGCAGGTCGTCCGCGTCCGCAAGTTTCCAGCTAGCGCGTTTGAAGCGACGGCGTACGCCCTTCGTCATGCCCACGATCCGTATTTGCACACCGAATCCGAGCTGGCGGCGGATATCATCCTTGAGCTCTGCTAAGGCCGTAATACCTGTCGCGTCGATAAATGGCACCATGCCGAAGTCCAAAATCACAACGGCTAGAGGCATCTGGCGCATGACGACGCCTCGTGCCGTACGAAGACGCTCTAGCCGCTGCTCAGCCGCCACGCTCCATAAGCGCTCCGCATCCGCGCTGTAAGTTGGGCTCTGCACCGACGGGTACACGAGCTGAATCGCCTCGAGCGCGTTGACCTTATTGCGGTTCGCGTTCGGGAAGAACAGCGAATCCGCGAAGCGCACTACCACCGTATCGTCGGGGATAGCTGGACCCCCGACGTTCTCCGTCGCCCCGTTCTGCGGCACCTGCTGCGTCGAGACCCGCGCGAGCGGCTGCAGCGTGCCCGAGTTGTCTACCGTTTCGCTGGCGTGGATCGACGGTGTTACGAATGCGGATCGGAGAAGCGTCCATGCGACGCTCCATCCTGCGGCGGCGCCGATGCCGATCTCGGCCGAGACGAAGATGGTGACCCAGAAGGCGACCATGCAGGCGATGAAGTCGGCTAGGGATATGCGCCAGTAGCGCCAGATTAGGGAGAGGGGTCCGAAGAGGTGTATTACAGCCATGATCTGTTTAGAAGGGAGGTGTTAGTAAGTAATGTAACTAGGCATTTTACACGGAAGTCTCATCTCGTTGGTAAAACCAAGGGGGAGACTTACGATGATAGCAGCCAAGGTTGATTTAGGTAGCCAGTAGAGAGCAGGCGAGAACACGTATAGAGTCAAGATGATGAAACCCGCAGTAACGACGCCGTTTAGGGGGCTCCTGACGTGGCACTCCGAGTTGACAGCCGTTCTAGATATGGCTCCGCCGACCGGCATTGCGCCAAAGAATGAGTTGACGATGTTGGTAACGCCGAGGTAGTTGAACTCTTGAGTCTGATCGATAGCGTAGTGGTTTCGGCGAGCGAATGCCTTGCCGACTGCTTGGTGTTCAAGGGTACACGCAACTAAGGGAGCGATGGACCGAGCCGCGACCCTCGCGAGAAGGTCGGCGCCTGGGGCTTTCGGATGTTGAATTCCATGGGTATCAACTTCGCTGATACCCCAGAGGTAATCGTCGCGATCTTTGTTGACGAGGTACGAGATCAGAGTAAATATTACCATCACAATGATCGCCCTGCTGCTCGACATGTACCTGATGGCGAAGTGCTTGTTGCCCCATTTCTTGCCTATCTTCTCGAGGGCTAGTAGGACGACTATGGTTCCGAAACCGACTCCGCAAGTTGGACCGTCCCAGTGTGGGAGACGTTTTAGGATGTTGCCCAACTGGTTGAAGGCGCCGTCCGGTACGTTGCTGAGTCCGACTAGGGAGCCGACTTGGCCCATGCCGATTACGAAGGCTGTTGCAGATATGAATCCGGTGAGGACGGGGATCGAAACGTAGTCGAGGAGGAATCCGAGCCCAAGCAAGCCTATAAGGAGGGACCAGATGCCTACCATCATAGCGACGGCCGATGAGATGTCGGTGCTGGAGTACTCGTTCTTGAGATCGCGGATGATTTCTGCGGTTAGTAGACCCAAGATCGAAGTTGGCCCCGTTGATAGATCTATGCTTCTTTGTAAGTATCTTAAATTATGCCATTGTGTAATAGTTATGAGTTAGGGAATATCTCACCTTTTGATGTCCCCATAAACACCATCACGGCAGCAGGAACCCAGCAGGAATAGAGACCATTCTCAATCGGAATTGTTGCGATTTTGGCATAAGCTAGACCTTGAGGGATGAGTAGGACTCCGATCGTGAGACCAGCCATGAAGTCCTGGAGAAGCCATGGCGGGGAATATCGTGGCAGCCACTGGATGATAGGAAGCTTGTCAGCAAGATACTGTTTGGCAGCCGATGGGAAGTGTCTAGGTGCAGTGCGGGCGAACTTGGCCACCCGGTTGAAGGTAACGTCCGTCCGGAACTCCTCCTTCACGGCGTTTTTGACGGCTGTAGCTTGCCTCTCCATGGTTGAGAAGAAGAAGAAGGGATCAAAAGATTGAAGCTGATGAATTATGTCTTCAGATTAATGAGGCTGATCTCGACATAGATATTAATATAGACCTTAATATAGACCTTAATATAGACCTTAATATAGACCTTGAACTCAAGTCTATAGAGAGTCAGTATCTACCTTACATTACGCTCCAATCAATACATTTGAAAGGGTGGCATCCGTAAACAGAAGGTTCCATGAAGAAGATACTCAATCATGGAGACAACAACGCCCTCAACTCAGAGAACCTATCACCTCCGTAGCGATCACACCCCCCCTCGGCACATTCTCGCCACTCTGTCGGTATTATAGAGATTCTCTTCAAGTATCGACCTCCTTTTCCTGCTCAGCTCATGTAAACGGCAGTGCGAGGGAGCACAGCATCAGTCACACTCCATAGCCCACGCGGAGGCCCAGGGTACGACCCGGGCTTCAGGGGGAAGCAAAAGAGTCTTCCGTCTTTAACTGCTATGCAAACGACTCGCACAGGCGAATCTGAGATACAGGATTAGGCGCCATTTCGTGGCTAAATGCAACTGTATGCCAGTGTTAATAGTCGATCATAACTTTGGGGTGACAGTACCGTCCAGGAAGTGATATAGAGACGCGGGGTAGTTGACCGTATGTGGGACGTTGGAGCATGTATATGAGACGGGATTGTCTTCTAAAATAGAAACAGTAGATTCGTGATCTACCACCTATCTTGGGTCGTTCAGCGAGCCAATCAGTGCCAAGAAATGCGTTTCGTCCAGCGTTTAGCATCGCCGTCACGCAGCTGTTTTGTGATTATAACGGAGTTGGGTATAACATATGAATGGACTCATCGTTAGTGGAACTTCACCGTGGGCTTTCACGGTTCCTTGTGCTGATATCTAGAAATAGCAGATCTGGGGTAGAATCATCTTATAATTATCTTTCTTACAGTACACCCCCTGAAATAATATTACCTTTTCAGATGTGCACGATATAAAACAAGGCTTCTAATTCTAAATAAAACAACGCCCTTTAAAACGTCTCAACTATTATACCAAGGCTTTATGGCATAAAATACTCTAAAACAACGTTTCTGGAGAACCACAACAACCTCCTAAGGCGGCAATAGATATACGCTTTAGGATCTTAGAGAAGTAGCTCTAGGGGTCCGCTGAATAACATGATTACAGGGGGCGTACTGTACACCTGGTTACTGTGGCAACAGTGCCCCTTGTGTGCATCTAGATACTTGTCTACCGTGTATCACAAGGTAGGATAACTCAATTCAATTTCGCAAATGTAGTATGCACATCTTGGCCAACTTTACACGAATACAAAACTGCGATCTATAGTCTTGATTAGTTAGATCTCTTGGCATTCTATAAGTTTCAAAAGCATTCCGAGTCCTTGGATCACGGTCGCGATAGTACATAGGCCAAGGCCCAAGGAATTAAGGATTGACATGCTTGTAGTCACGCTTCGCAATGCGATTGCGTGGTAGTTAAGCATACCGCCTAGAAGTCCAAGACTCTTGGACTGCGTCCGTAGGAAACAAACGGGTCACTTAATACGTTGCCGTATAACCGGGGTATATTTCTACTGCCGGAGATTTTAGTTGGACGATGCGGCCAAGCACCGTCGAACAGCGCCACTGGTTCTAACGTTTCCCCTCTCGGTTAAGTTACAAGGGTAAGAGAAAGCTTGACACGTACCAAGCTTTGGGTGTAACGGTCACATTGCATGGACAAGACCTTGGTTATGCGGCATGTTCTTGAATCTTGATGCCAAGTGATAGGCGTATTGACTTCTATCAATTCCATCAGTTAGACTAATTATTTTCTTCTCTACTTCCTGCGAAGTGATATCTTTATTCAAGGTTTCAAATAGAAATAGTTATAACTTTAACTTGTGCAAAGGTGCAATATCGGCGATCCTAAGTTCGGGGTATGAGCGGTAAGGGTTCTGATAGGTTGGTGAGTATCAATTGCGACACAGCTACCCTTACATACATACCCGCCCCTACTGGATACTACAGTTACTTTCCTAACTGGTAGATAGTATAAACCGGTATGCTTCCGTGACACGGGGGGCATAACGGAACGAGATATGATTGAACGGTTCGCACTGCCACTATTGGTGCCGTAAGCCGGAATTCGTAAGCTCCTTTCGGGGGTTATTGCCAATTTAATGCTACCCCCGTGGGGTTCTCAAGTTATTTGAGAAGATTAGGTACGCGAGGCGAGAACTCGAGGGTAGCTTGATTCTTATGGATCCGAACTAGGACAACGTTGCGATTGGATATCTTCCTGGTTGCTGCTCAGAGGTACGTAACCCTACTGCAGAAGAGACAACATATTAGCAATAGAAGCTGCCTTATCCTTATAGAGAACAGAGTATAATATAGTTTAGCATAATCTTCTTCTCATAGTGACGACGAGGTCGTGTATGTTTAAGGGCTATACTCTTACCGTGTAAGTAGATTGTACACAGAAGCATGAATCCTTCTTATGTTGTGTTACGAGGCCGCTTGGACTGTTACGAAACGAACAACGTACTATTCTATGTTTATATGCACGAAGGCTTCCTAATGATTATCGCTATTAATCCTTCTTAGAGCTAAAGCCGTGGGGAAACTAAGCCTAGGACATACATCCTATGCTTGGACGAAAACTCTAGCGTGGAGTCCAGAAGCCCCCAGACTCCCCACAGCGGACTAGGAAACCGCCTTGCCGTCTTCCCGCAGCCTTAGTCTCGATCTTTGAAATAGGGAGGCTCTCAAATTTGCTTCATCTCGGGATTGGCGGCATGGTCAGCTGGACATTTCTCGGCGGTATAGGGTGTTTCGCCTGTCTAACGTTACAGGAGGCATCTACACAGTGAGCTTGGAAGGGTTTGCACGATAGTCGCGTCGCCTCAATACTAGAGTCGTGATTCTAGAGATTCCATGCACAATGCCGTGTATATTCCGAGCTCTGAGCAGGCGAAAGCCGACCTGCCGAACGAGATCCCAGCTAGGAAGGCGGTTTCGAAAAGAAAGCGAGACGACTATCTAGAGGTTTCGTTAAGATGGCTTCATTATTTTATTCCGAGTGGCTAACTATAATCACTGCTATTATCGGCGATTACACTTGGTAATTCTATACTCTTTGTTCCCTATCACTTTACAGCTTCCATGCAGGACATCGTCTCGTTTCGGTATTCGGTAACTTTACAATATCCCTCCTTTTTTTCGAAAAAGAAAAATTAAACTGAACAAGGATCTCGCATAATAGGCCGAGCAGGTTTCCCAAGAGGATCAGAGGCGTTCGTTCTACCAATATGCCCCCAAATGTTGAGATGATCATTTTTCGGTATGTTCTTGTTGATAAGGAAACTCGCAATAATATGCTACACACTGGGGAATTAAACAATACTAGGTTTGGAGGCCTATGCAGAAATATGACCTAGAAATGTGAATATCGTGAGTGGAAGGTTTTACAAGGGAGGACTTGAGATTTCTATAGCCGTAATCGAATAGTGTAGGTATCTATTTGTTATCGATATTCCAGGTCGACGACAAGACATTCTTAACGGCATCTTCCTGGATTAATTGAATTTATGTGTGGTCGTGCAATAACTTGTTCTTTTAATTATCAATTACTATCTACCTAATGAATGTCTTTTTCTATTTCCTAGGCAGAAGTTAATGTTGGTTCACAATGACTCTATCAGTGGTCAAGATGTTTTGGTATTTATAATGTGTTAAAAATAGGGAACTATGATGTTTTTGCCACGTTATTTGTTAATAACCATCGGTAAATCTTCAAGCTATATACCTAGTACTAATAAATATCTGAGAAATAATACAGAGAGATTTAAATGTAGAATAACCGCCGCAGAACTGGTTAATAGACGTTGAAACTAAATATTGGAGCCAGATTTATAACTCGCGTTCTTCCGACGTTACTTCATTATCAGAGCTGGGAAGAGTAACTTCATCCTTCTCTGCGCTCTTGACCCTATTCCAAAAGATTTCACCGTTCTCTGGGTCGTCCTTGAATAAATGATCGACGACCATCTTCTTAGGGGTTTCTCCCAACCACTGGAAGAGGGAGAAGTCCCTAAACTCATCTGCACGGAAAACCTCTAACATCTCGACCGGCTCGTCGCCGATGTTCTCGACGAAATGACCATTGTTTGCGGGCACGATGCCGACGTCGCCCTGTACATAATCGAAGGTTCGAGCCGTTCCTTCGGCGGCGAAGACGGTGACTCGTGCTCGACCTTTAATAAAGAAACTCCATTCGTCAGCGTTGGGATGCCAGTGCATCTCGCGTATGGCACCAGGCTCGATCGTAACGTGAGCTGCTGCCACGGTTTTTGAAATCTCAAAGTTCTTCGAGTCTGTAATCCGGACATCACCCCCGCTAGTTTTATGGGGTTCTTGGTCAAGCATCCTGTGAACGAAGTTGTACTTGGATTTCTTGACATTTTTACCAGTGGGCTTCTCGTCGTCGATTGAACCTGGCTCACGGCCCTGAAAAATGTATTTCTCTCCTTCGGGGAGGTGCTTGAACACTTCGGGTGCTAGGTTGAAATTCTTTGAGATTACCGACTTAGGAGTGTGCGCTTGTAATATATTAGCTTCAAGAATCTATACGATAGGGTTGTAATACACACCTAACCAGTCAGATATAATGAAGGTCGATTCCTCAGAGAAGTTTCCATCGTCGAATATCAAGAGGAATTCGGTGCCGTTGTCGCCGAGTCCTTGAAGGGAATGAGGTACGCCGCTTGGGAAATACCACAAGTCACCTCTCTTGAGGTCGTCTATGAAGTTGCCACCTTCGTAATCGATAGCAGTGACACGAACTTGGCCATCTAGGACGAATGCCCACTCGGCTTCTTTATGCCAGTGCAACTCGCGAATTACACCCTTGTCAAGGCGCATGTTCACGGCAGCTAGTTCGACACTAGCACCCAATTCGCGGACGGTGGTTTGTCTTGTCCATCCACCTTCCTAGATACAATTTGGTTAGGTCGAACGCGGGGAAAGCTATATTGGAACCTATTTCATACCTCAATGCGCACATGGGAATCAGCAAAACTCCAGCGCAGATTTTGTATATTTCCATGATCCGTACTGGGCGGTCTCACTAAATCCGGAGACTGGCGTGACCTCTCTCGGTTCCAAGGACCAAGAACAGACGCTCCTAGTCCATTGCGGTAGGGAAGCGGATCTAACTTTTCGCCTACAGCATCGACGGCACGGTCGTAGGGGTCCCTGTAGCCGGGTGTATAAGGCGAATTTGACCTTTTGCTATATTTCGGGGGCAAATCAAGACCAGCTGCGAGGTACCGGCGAGGGCTGTCGTCTACAGGAACAGCGAGGCCGGAATTGCTCAATGCGAGGCCAGTGATTAATAACTGCCACGTAGAAATGCCGCGATAGCTTCGGGACGGCATTTTGAAGAATGACCGGTTGGCTTATAAGTCGTTGGTCAATTAGTTAACATAAAGCTAAGAGGTATCTATCTAGAAATCAGCTAAAAGGCAATTAAACCTCAGCTGAAGTTAGGTTTGAAGATAGCAGAATAAAATACAAGAGAGTAAATAAAATATAAGTATAAGTATAAGTAAAAGTAAATGGGATGAGCGTCATAGTTAAGAAATCTCGTTGGAGAGCTTCGTTATTCGTTACCTATTCAAGCTTCAAGGTTTCACTTAAGCTACCCAACTCACATGTACCTGGTAAATCCACCACCCGGTTGCAAACGGGGATCAACACCGAGTAAATGCCGAATCTACTCCAGCGCATTCCAGCTCGGCTCTAGACCTACATAGTAAAGCCCTACGAGGCCTTTACAAGGCAAGCGCTGGGAAATGGGTGTGATTGTGCCTGCATTCCGGGATCAACTAGGTACGATGTCCATGGTACCTGCTATAGTTGGTTGCGCTAAGTTAGGTACCCGTGTTATGTCGAATTAAGGTATAGAGAGGTGGATACTTGGGTGCCGTAGGCCGATAAAGAATGAGCTAAACGTGAATTAACAGACTTAGCTTAAACCATACAACCTTACAATATGCACCTTCGCGCTTACACGGCCCAAGATCTAGGGTCGTTTTAAGGTACCTGGGCAGTAAAACCATACCGGACACTGCCTAGTGTTGCTCTATATATTCCTGCCTATCTGGGACTCACAGCCCGACGTCGTCTTCAACTTGCCCCTGTCAAATAACCGTTGAGCCGTTGAGTGTCAACCTTGGCAAACAGTACTATGTATATAGAGGTTCTATGACGTTAGGGGATCTCCCCAAAACAGTTCAATTGGTGTCACAAGGACATTGACACACACACAGCCCCGGGACGGGGACGCGGCAACCCTCATTTTCATTTCGAAGGCAGCAAACGCCTCGAATATTTCACTCATCCAATCTTATTATATATTTTACGCACGTCCCTAGGTTCGTGGGTGCAGTCATATCTTATAAAATATATACTATTCGGATTTCGTCTCGCAGGTGCTTGGATCGACGCTCAGATGGCCTCCAATGGTAATAACACATTACTTACCAATTCGTGGATAAATGGCAATGGCGATGAGGAACGGCAGCCTCTACTTAATAGTAGCTATGTGACGTCTAAACCAGCGAGATGGCGGAAGAGCTTAACGGCAGACGTTCGCCGCGACTGGGCCGACCTGGTCCTGCTCGCCTGCTATATCATTACTGGCATGCTTGACAGCGCATCTATATCCACCTGGGGTTCCTTCGTATCTATGCAGACAGGTTCGTCACTTATTATCATGAGTAGTACTATTGGGCCTTGCTAAAAAAGTATCTACCTAGGAAATACGGTGTACTTTGGCCTCGGCATTACCGCACCGCATGAGTCGACGCGGTGGATCAAGTCGGGAACCTCGCTCGGCTGCTTCTGCATCGGGTCTGTCTTCTTCAGCGCCCTCCACCGAATGCTATCGCCCTCGCCTAAACGGCGTTGGGTACTCTGCGCATCCTTCATTATCCAGATGCTGTTTGTCGCCGGTGCCGCAGCAATTCTTACCTTCGGGCCCCAGTCCGACAGTGAGTCCAAGGAGTCCATCGACTGGCCGGTGCTAGTACCAATCGCCTTGATCGCTTTTCAAAGCTGTGGTCAGGCAGTCGCCAGTCGTGCGCTCAAATACAACGCGCTTACTAGCGTTGTCCTGACCAGCATTTATTGCGACTTGTTCTCCGATGCTGCGCTGCTCGCGCCGCGGAATCCTGAGCGAAACCGTAGGGTCGGCGCTCCTGTTTTGCTTCTCATCGGTGCTGTGCTTGGTGGGATACTGGCTAGGAGTGCAGTTGGTACTGCCGGCGTACTTTGGATTGCTGCAGCTTTGAAGCTACTTGTCGTTGTGTCGTGGCTGCTATGGCCAGCGGAAAAGGAATAACAGTCGCGCATGCATGATATTATTAGATACAGGTCGTCATGACTTAGATATAGACGGCGAGATTTGTTAGTAAATACTTTCGAACTGTTGAATAATGCATAGATTCAATCTGCCACTTAGATGGGCGAATAAATAGATAAGCATCAATAGACTCGACTTCCAAATTCAACAACATTTAATTGAGACCGATTCTAGTTAAAATAGTGATAACCTAGAAATGTCCATAATATGTGGGATCTATCTGCGGGTGGCATCTTGATCTGTTGCACCTTGTCGGAGTATCCTCACTGGAAATTAATGGTTTAGAGATACACATAAGCCGCCACCTAGGCAGTCAAAAACATTTCAAGCGGTAGAAGAGATTGTATTAGACTTCTATATACAGAAATGAATGTGTTCTAAGCGTACATAATTGTAACCATTGCTCGCTCTCTCTCTCTCTCTCTCTCTCTATAACATATATTCAAAACCCCCTATATACTACAGATTCCCCCTTCACCCCCTTTTATCACGGACAAAGCAGCAGCTTAGTTGGTGCGGCCGAGGAGGCGGTTAGCGATGTCGGAGACGTAGCTGGGAGTAGCACCGCGGCCGTCGCTGAGGTCGTTGGGGTTGACGGAGCCCGAGTTGTACTCGCGCAGGGCCTTGTAGATGCACTCGGCGGTGTCGGCGTCGCCGAAGTCCTTGAGGTTCTGCTTGAAGTGGTTGGTGCCGGCGCGAACCATGGAGGTGATTTGGTCCTAGGGTCTTGTTAGTAGTGTTGTTATTTTGAATCTTTGGAGCACGTGATAGAGTAATAGGGGGCGGGTGTATATGGGGTTGTCTCATGTAGATGTATCCCCCCTTTTCTTTTTTTACCCAACCCCTTTTGCTGTGGTTGAGTTACGTACCTGGCTGAGACCGTGCTGGCCAGGGAAACCAGGGCTGCCGTCGCATTGCATGAGACCGGCAGTGCCGTGGCCGTCCGCGTTCACGGTGGTGCGGACACCGACGTTGCCGGTGCTCTCTTGCATGATGATGGCGAAGATGACGCTGATATTAGGATAGTTAGTAGCGTGTTCTAGATTGAAGCGGTTCAGGGAGATAAAGAGATATAGACTAACCGCTCCTCAACGCCGATCTTGGCGCATTCGTTGACGGCGTTCCAGATACGGCCGATGTCCTCGCCAGTGTCTCCAGTAGCTGCCATGGCGGACTTGTTGGCGTTGAAGATCTCCTCGAACGACTTCCACTGGTCCTTGCCGGGGAAGCTGGAGGCAGGGCCGGAGTAGTGAGTGAAACCCATTGTGACTGATTTTTAAAACTTCGAAGAGTTGTAGAAAGTATGTAGTAGAGTGTTGATCAAGGCTTGCTGTTGTGAGTGGATGTTGTGAGTGGTGATTCTCTTAACTCAGTGACTGCCAACCTGCCCCCTTTTATATCTTCTCGAGTCCTCTCTCTTGCCACCTAGGTGTGCAACCATCCTCGGTCGTGGTTCAAAAGTCCTCCACTCTATCATCGTCTGTTTCCCTAAAGAGAGCTTATTGCTGGCAGTGCTATGGTGTGAATATGCATGACCGCATCTCGTGGCCAGGTGAGTTGGGACTGCCACATATCGTATGGGCTCTCCTTGTTTCCCCTATTCCCCGTCTTCTGTCCGTAGCTCTAGCCGGCAGCCATAGCCGTACAGGTAATCGTTACAAGGCTAGTTTCTTTCCCAATGTGTCCTTTGGTAACTTGCTGACTGTTCTTCACCTTCACTCCAGTCAGCATGCTCTTCGATATTAGTTACAATATAGCGGATTAGCTGAGCAAAGCTTGGCCGTGTGACCTATCATTCCTAGTTTTTATTTACTCGCCTTGTCAGACTTGGATTGGATCTTACCTAGAAGATACAACATCTTACGTAGCCAAAGGGCTAGAATAGCACGATGAAGTCAGCATTTATGTCATCCTTGAGGCTCACTTTAATAAAAGCCTATTAATAACCTTATTGGTACACATCCGGGACCTTTCTTCAATAATTTACACCAATATTATATGACACCTGGTTAATGCCACATATCTACTCCCCATCTCCTAGACTAAGTTATAAGGTAGGTATCGTATAGCTAGGTGCTGTCTCTCATTTCGAAGATACCTATGTACTTCAGTATTTTAATAATAAGATCGGACTGCTAAATTATTTATTGGTCCAATTCGTTATTGTGGAATAAAGGGATCGTCCTGTGTAAGCCATTGTTCCGTAGTGATCCTTAAAGACTTGATCTTGTATGTCATCAATAAGCCCCATAGCGATACATTCGAGGCAACCAAGGCTCCCTAGCCTAAGATATTGATGAGTAGGTAGTAGGAATATGTTAAATTAGCTCGTTGTCGACTCGGTGCTGGCGTAAGCGGCGATACTCGTCCCCAACTCGTGTTAGTGGGCAGTTTAGGGAAGCCTTACTCACTCTTATGAGAACGTCCCCAGGTTTTCGATGCTTGTACCTGCAGCTATTTGATGCCAGGGGATTGGATGTCAGATCTTGTTATGGGGCATGAAGAGGCCAATAAGTCCTAGCAATCTCACCTCACGGCTTACTGAGTAGGAGTGTGATGAATTAGCTATTACGTCGATCGGTCAATAAACTACTAAGTCCACCTAATTATCAAGGCTAGTTAGTTAATTCGGCTCATCCGCAAATCTTTCCGCTTGAAGAATATATATATCTGCATTGTATTTTATTGGTTGTCATTATGAGCATGTCGTCGCACGAAATAGAGTGTTTAAAGCTGTGTACTTGCAGCTGGTGTAAGTCAGCAGCAGAATTGCGCAGTCTTGGCATATTAGTTTTACTAACTTTCTTAAAGAATTAAAGAAATATACTAACAACTACAACCGCAGTAAATGAAAAAGAATTTATGTATCATAATATTCGTAAGAAATCATTGTATCCATTTATTACTTTTTCTTACTTTTTATGAACTTTTACGTGATTATTGGTATGTATTATGTCCCGAAGGACTGCGCAATCGATTATCTACCTATCCTAGCTTGGCCACTAATGCACGTATTTTTTTGTGGCTGAAGTAACGGTGGGGCTAATGGAGGTGGGACCGGAACGGAAAGGAAAGTAAACAGAAACGCGGTCAAGCAACCAATTGAACCACGTTTGGCGTTTAACATCACATTGCAGCCGACTTCACAACCCAATTTCAAGCAATTGCTTTCTCCTTTGCAGTCTTTACTCGTGTTACTCTTCGCAAATATATGATGCTATTTCTGCGCATATGATACACAATCCTCCCACTTTAATCTCGAATATCTTTTTTGCGACGCGCCAGTAGACTCGTAGTCCACTGTGCTCAGATCCCGCTTCCATCCGATCAACCTCCTTTGCCAACCACGTTCGCATGACAGCTTCTTAAGACATGGATACCGACGAGTCTCCCGATCGTTACTTTACCTACGATGGTAGATTGGCATCGTTTCAATCAGCGCACCGACCATCTGGTACTAAAGGAAAAGCTTCAAAGGCACTTACTTGGCCGCACAAGCAACTTGACCCAGTCCAAGTAAGTCTCTACGCGTACAGAGGCTTTACTGGCCTATATAAATGCTAATTATTGTTCGAAGTTTGCTCAAGCTGGATTCTACTTCGACCCTTCCCCCGAAGCACCTGACAACACTGTTTGCTTCCTTTGCGTAAAGGCGTTCAAGGGATGGGAAGAGAATGATAACCCGTTAGAGGAACACATACGACTATCACCACGTTGCGGCTGGGCTATTGTGGCTGCCATCGAGGCCGGCCTGGGAGATTATGGCTTGGATGATCCTAACGATGTACCAATGGCCGAAGCGCGGAAAGCTACGTTTGGGGGGCTCTGGCCTCATGAAGGGAAGAGAGGATGGAAATGCAAAACCAAACAGGTCAGCATATGTCCCCCATGATTTCCAGTCCGATTTTGCTAAATCGAAGCAGCTTGTGGAAGCCGGTTGGAAATACACCCCGACTGCAGACTCGGATGATATGGCAACTTGCACTTACTGTTCTCTTGCGCTTGACGGTTGGGAGCCCAAAGATAACCCATTGTAAGCAACGTGCTTTTTTCATTGCTCTCGCATTAACTAACGTGCCGTGATAGGGATGAGCATTATAGGCGGTCTCCAGATTGTCAGTTTTTCGCATTATTGAACCAATACAAGAAGGGTCCAACAAAGAAGAAAGGTAGAGGCAAGGGCGTTAGAGCCTCCCAGTCGTCCAGACTATCTTCTCAGTCCATTGCCACGAGTGTTGCGTCTGACACAACATCACTACTTGAGCCTCATGTCGATTACGATGATAGTGTTATGACTACCACATCCGTCATGACCCAAGGTGGTACAAAGCGGAGCAAGGCGAAAAAGACAACGGCCTCTAAGGGCAAGAGGACCCGAACGAAGAAGGAAGAAGTGGTTGAGGTGCTTGAAGATTCTCCTGAACCACAAGAGGAGCTAGCACCCCCAATGCCGCCACCGAAAGCTACTCGTGGACGCAAGCGAGCTAGTGACCCCCTTGAAGACTCGGAGCTGACGACGGTGGACGCCCCGGCAGCTAAGAAGAGAGCCACACGCACACGGAAGGCGAATGTTGCTGAGACATCCGTTATTGAACGAGAACCCGACCAGGAAATGACCGACATAGATCCAGCTCCTAAGCCAAAAGCGAAAGGAAAGAAGGCCAGATCGACTCTTAGTCGCAAGACTAGAAAGGCCTCTACAGCATCTACTATGTCAAATATTTCCCTCCAAGGAGATACTGCTCATATGATGGATGACGAAGAACTTGATAGGCAACTACAGGCTGATCTTGACCGACCGTTATCAGACGACGAAAATATTGCAGCCGATTCAGATTCAGACCGAAAGCAAGTCCCACCTAAGCATAAGAGCAAGAAGGCTGCCGTTCAGAAGAAAGATCCTGCAAGTCAAGGCGAGGCATCTGATGACCATGCTATGTTCGACCCTCAGCCCCCTCATATCGACGAAGCAGTAGTTGAAGATGAGCTAAAGGCGCTAGAAGCCGAGATGGAAATTGAGCAAGTCGAAGCACCTCCAATTCCAAAGAAAGGCCGTAAAGTAGGTTCTAAAAAGGGTTCGAAGCAAACAACAAAGAAAGCTAAAGACGCCGAGTCCGCTGCGCCAAACGTTGAGACAGCAACCGTAGATGAATTGGCCGAAGGTCATGACGTGAGTATTGTTAGCAACTCAACTATGGTTCGAACTAGCCTTGCGTCGAATGCGGCCCCTAGGAAACGTGGTCGGCCGAGTAAAAAGGCCTCGATAGTAACTCCAGACCCGAATCCTGATGAACTTGCCGATGCTGAGGTTAGGGCTCCATCCGTTTCCGAAGCTATTGATATTGGCGACTCCGCTGAAAACATACCTGCGACAAAGACGAAGACTCCCTCCCCCGCAGCACCGTCTTCTCCTCTAGTCAGTAAACCTTTACCTCCGCCTCCAATAGAGTTGAATGAGCCTCAGCCTCCTTCAACACCTATTGCCTTAACGTCTTCAGCCCCAGCGGCAAATCAGGCGGCTTTGTCACCCTCCCAATCGCCTCAGGCTTCTGATGCTGAAAACGAGCCTCCATCTTCAAAGCCCTCAAATACTGCAAGTAGCGCCCGAGTTGTCCTGGCTCCCATTGCTGCTACGCCTGTACGCACCTCGCCATCTAAACGAAATGTTCTGGCTGGGTTACAGAGCAATACTCCCTGGACTGCTGTCGATGTCGATATGGTTTTTGAGGATATAGATAAAGAGAATACCTCAGGATCAGCGAAGTTCTTGAAAAGTGGTGCTGATCTCACTAGCCCTGAGAAGCGAATGACCGTCGAGGAGTGGATTTACCACAACGCTGAAGAAGCCGAGAAGAAGTTAAAACACGAGTGTGAGACCATGGTTACAGCCTTCGAGAAAGAAGGAACGAGAGCCATGCAAGCTCTTGAAGGCCTTATCGTCGACTAAGCGAGGAACAATTGGGTTAGGTTCAGGATGGTTGGCTAGGGATAATGACTACAGTGCGGAACTGGGTATGATAAGATGGGTATTACGATAACCACATCGGCGTTGATGGTTTGCTTTCGGATACGTGAGCTGAATGGAGCTGAGATTGATGCGCTCCATCCCTGTTCGTCACTAAATGAGTGATATGAAGAGATGCATATGAATAGAATGATTGAAGCACGATTGTCCTTTTATCACGGTCATGAGCTCTATCATCATATGTAACTAAACGATACCAAGATGTATTGGTTGTGAATTCTCGGTTTATATGCTGCACGCATCCTCGAGGCGCTAATACTACGACGCCTTACAATGCTCTTAATTATTTTGCCTTGTGTGGGCATTTGTATAGGCAGGTGGCCTCATGCCTACTACAGTAACTCGAAGATAGGCCAAATAAGCTAAAAACATAAATATATCTAATCGACATGTGCCTTTCTGGCATTCTTGAATATCTAGGTTAAGGACCTAACGTTGACGTTCCTGGAACCTAAACTGACTAGCAAAGGCAAAGGCCGCATTAAAGACAAGGACTAGGGTAGTTGATAGAAGAGCGAATGAGATGAGAGGAAGATGCCCAACTAAGTAAGTGGATACTCCCAAGGTAGCCCAAATGCCCACAGGGCACGGACCTGATGTGTGGTAAATCTATCACATTCCCTAGTAATCATTTGTTTCTCTCCATAATGTCCTCTTATTGTAACGTTTGCTAAGTTATCAGTATTAGGATTTTTGATGAGACATGTAGATCAAATGATACTTTTATAGCTGCAGGCCCCTATAGCTAGTTTACAGTTCCTTGCTTCTTACTCCACCCCACGATAAATGACACGAGGTAGTGTACAGGTTGAAATTCTTAAATCGGGGTTAATGGGTACATACGTTAAGAGTTTTATAGACCGTAAGCTAGGACTACTCGATCCATGATTGTGGTTTTATTGGCACGCTAAAGATATGTGTTAAGCATGGGATTGGCGGTAGTTTCGCTCCGTTCCTGCATTCTACCGGCAGCTTATGCGGCTCGGCTAGGAAGATTCTTCAGTCTTTAGTTATAACATGTCAGATAACTCAAGTACGACTTTTTAAATAGGTAATGACTAAAATCTCTAAATGAAACGATGGACTCGCGATTCCGTGAGAAGCATGTAGTACGTCAACATTATAAAGGTCAGTTCTGGGTTCAGGGGTAAATATGATCACACCCTATCCGTCAATGAGACAACTCATAGAGTCTGAAGTTCAGCCTTCATGTCTAGAGCTATTGAATGACTTTTCTTCCCTTCAGTTACTTTGGCTATAAATTTATACTGATATTATACATGTTAGACTACTTTGTCAATAGATAGGTTACCTAAGAGTCCAATATATCACGGTCCTCGGTTACCAAGTACACAGTTACCAAAAGGCAACGTGCCTAGGACTAATGCAGCCACGCAAACGAAAGTCATACTCAATAATAAAAGCAGAGCGAGGGAGGTCTAAATTATACTATATAACGAATTGAATTGGCTGTGGAATTTGGACATGAAGGACAGTAAACCTCGCGATGGTATCTTTCCGCTCAACTCCACTCGCAGCCAACTCCCTCATTCCCTCATTTACAAGATTTAGAAGCTAGCTATTAAATATACATCAAAGCGAGCCCCTTTCCTTTTCCTCCGGTTTTCTGATAGTCGGAAGCCGGAAATATGTTCCCGGTTGTCGTAAAATCGTCTATTGACATGAATACAAATACTAGTCGTTTTCGGTTTTATAAGAGTTTTCGGAACGGGGAGAACCGAAATCGTATTGGAAGACAGCGAACGCCATTTTCCACCAGTGTGGTGGTGGATCCGGTTTAGTGAATGGGCCGGTGGCTTGAAGTCGCCCGCCGAGCTCCCCAATGTAGCGCGCCGTCGGTTTGCGGTCGGGACGGTGCTTGAATAGATATACATCTAAGGTCGGACGAGGGCAATGGGGTACTCCCTGAGTCGGCGCTTGAGGACCTCATGTGAGACCGTGGTGTTAATGCCTGATGCAGGCGGGGCGGGAGCAGCAGGGGAAGTCCCGTTGGTGAACGGGAAAGGGGCAGCAGAGCCGACCTGGAGCATGGCGGCGGCAGCCAGCAGAGCAGCGAAGAAACGAGCCATTTTTGATTTTTGGGGGGTCTGTACCGACAGTTAAGTGACTGGGAGTTGAGAGCTGCGGATGCGGTTGACGAAATCGCTATAGGAACTGCTGTGAGGTCTCTCGTCAACTCAGGGGAGCAGGCGGACCTCCTTTTATGGTCGTGGCCGGCTCACGGCCGTACCGCAAAACAAAGGATCGGCATATGAGTTGCGGTGTTCGTAAGTAATTACTGATGTTCCCAGGGGAATCTTCATATCTGCCTCATAGCAACATTTACATATATGAATTCATTATCGAAGAGACCAACCCAGACGAACCCACCCCGTCAACAAATCCCACCGGGGTTTATGCCTATCTCAACAGGGCCACCCCAAGACAAGGCAAGGCCAGGGGCAAAAGTCTAAACCAGTAATGTTCTGTGTTCGAAGATCGGCAGCCGGCGCTACTGGAGCAGCCGCATGCCTAAACGTTCAGATGGTGGTGGCATGGGGGGTCGGTGAATAACAACTACCCTCGCCAGCTTTATCCTATCATCTTCCTTGAGAAATATCCTACTGCAGCTATAGACGCGGCGCGAATCATGCAGTTATGACCCAGACCGGAAGAAGTAAATAGCGTTACATACTGCCCACTCGGTTACCAATTAAGCGACTGCGGCGACGTGATAATGCTTGGCCAAGTACGATATGTATTCGCCATCCTGGTCTACACGTTGTCTTTTCCCTGAACTTCATTGCTTGGTCATCGTTCGAACGACTATTTCCAAGCGATTGATATCACTTTGCGTAACAATATTAGACTCAACGTAGCTGGCAATAGGTACCCTACTCACTTATAAATCGATTATCTAAATTGGCTACGCGTGTATTCCCCCTCGAAGTGAAACACTAAGTCATTGCTGAGTTAAACTACAGTTCTTGTTGTTGTGCTCTATAATAAAGTCGTCATTATTCGAGAACGCGTACGGTTGAATTCCCACGGAGGAAATAGAGGCGAGTTACTAGTCCACGATCAACCCCGGTCTACCTACTACATAAACTCAACGTGCATGAGAGAACTAAACTGGCAATCAATATCGAAGGGGTCCTCTGCAAGTGGGGTGATACAACATCAACTCGTTGACCCTAGTGTACTATGTATGTAAATCCCAACCAATGTAGCCGGCGTTCCTATTTATTAAAAAAAGCCGGTGACGGGCCAAGATGTTACATTGAAATAAACGGGAAAATTGTAAAAGCTTAGGGAGCTTGTCTAGCTCCTTGGCGAGATACTAGGACCTATGCTTCCGGCCTGCGATATTCTATAGAGGAGATAAGAAATAAGAAACCCAGGGGCGTGTTGTGCGGGCTTTCATGCAAGAATTTATTTACGTTTCCTTCGTACGAGTCAATGGATATGGGGTTCTAATGTGATACGGACCAATAGGGGATGTTCTGCCGCGTGTGGTGGATTATAAGTCAACTTGTCATCGATGCATTATTACGTTACAAGGAACTTATATAGAGAGATAGGTAGATAGTAAGAATAGACATGACTATTGACATGTAACCCCCATTCTCTACGAAACGCATAGACCGAATTTCCCAGTGGAGGCTACGAAGGTGAACGGCACTGAGCTGCATTACCGCATCAACAGGGGAATCCAAGTGCCGATCATAGCGTGCTGTCAGTCTCGATTCAGTGCCCGATAATAACAGGGGACGGTAGACGGTAAAGGATGCAAGATTCGCTACCAGCCGAGGGAAATCTTTGTCCTTCTTGGCATTACCCATCTGCCAGGCACCCAGGCACGGAAGAAGTCAATTAAGGCTGATCTTCACCTTTATCAGTAGGCGGCATGCAGACTGCATGAAGCAACCTCCGTTATCTTCTTGGAAAAGACCTGTACTTCTCGCTGAGCAAAGAAGCAAAAAAGATTGGGGACGATTCCCGGAGCTCTGGTTATAGCGAAGTTACCGTATACGGAATTCCGAATATCTGAAGATCATCTGAAGATCATCTCTTACATCAGGGTTAGGAGAATTTTCCCTTAACGTAGAACTGGTTTTTCATCCGAAAGGAAGCCCAGCAGAAGATTCGTTATCAGGATGGAATAACGGCGATCTTCGGAGACTCGGAAATGTATAATACCTCAAAAGACTTTTAAGATAACCCGGAGAAGAAGAAGAAGAATATGATTATGAAAAGGGAGCCATCGCGCCGGATGCATCACAACGTGGTAGGGCGATACCCCCTACTATAGAAGTCTCTCCCAACAAATTCTTACCAAGAAGCAAAAAGTCGTAGGTAACTTGCATCCCTTTCGATTCTAGATCTACAACCTTAAAGCCTATTTATCATCATGTCCAATCAAGAAGCACGGCTTATATTATAAGAACATTCTGGTCGCTAGTCTCATAAGAGCTGTCACTAAAGGTTTAAATTTGCTAGAGCGAGGCCCTTGGCAAATAAATGATTCTTTTATCTACCGCTCACGATGCTGTAATTAGAACATGTATGTACCTGATCGATATCGCTTATTCACCATGAATGCCACTTCGTGCGCCATCACAGATTCCTATACGTACCTCTCTAAGAAGCTTTTCTCTTAGCTGCAACGTCTTGGCTCCATACCCCAGGTTTGCAATATAAAAAAAGATCCTCTACCAAAACAGAGATCCCCATCATCGACGCGCTCGGTCCCAGTTACTGCGCGACGTGAATATTAGCCGCCTCGAAGATAGGCACCTAGGTAAGTGATGAGAAGGTGAGCTAGTGGAAGACTCTGCTTAGGTACAGAGCGGTGTAGCGCTGAGAGTCGGCGTCAAATATAATAATATAAACCCTCCATCAATGACACTTCGGGGGCTCGGACTATACACGACCGAGAACAACATAATATATCCGTCTACTCGGAAGGGGTTCTGGAGCTTCTTTTTCCCATGCTCGACTGCTGTGGACAGTCTCGTCTCTCGTATTTGTTGACCAAAATCAGCAAGTTGACAAGAGATAATAGAAAGGGGCGTGAAGACTTCCGCTCAGCCGGCTAGCATGGTCTAGTAGATTCTGTAGTATTCTATTCTTGCTCTTCTACTATAATCTATCAACATAATATTACTTCAACACAAGGTCCCTGTTTATATTCCTCCAGGTATATGCTATAGGGCCCTGCAAGCCGTTTTCCTCATCGAATATCACGTATCTCGGCGAAGCTTCGAGCAGCCCGCAACGGATATTAGGTATTTGATTGGCGTAAAGACTTAGGCTTCGTCCACAGATAGCTAGAGTGACTTATCATCTTGACAACAGCCGGTATCAACTAAGTATAGGTAGGCTAGGCCTACACTTTCCTGAAAAGGTGGCATTTCGATCCCTACCTAGCTGAAGCTTTCATCCAAACACTTTCCGCTGCCAGGTCAGCCCCTGGTAGCAGCATGGTAGATAGGATCCCACCGGTTAGAACAGAAACGAGAGGAGGCTCTACCTAGCAACGAGCTACAGCTCAACAGCCCTGGACATACCTAGAGAGTCCATCAATACGAAGCCTCCGGACGTACACCGATCTTCTCCCAACTCCCACCTGGATATCGTTCTTAAGGTATACATGCGACGTCTATCAGTTCCTAAGTCTATTCCCGCCCCTATTTTTCTCGTACGATATCTAGTTGCATATCTATCTCGAGTAATGATGATCTTACCAATGTCGTCAACGCAACCCACGTTCCGGCGGATTGACGTTGGAGACGCGAGATCATCGGAGAGGCTAAAGAGAGTTGCCCTCGGATGCGCAAAGATACCAAAGAAGGTATTATCGCTGCGATTGATCGATTGCTTTATTTAACAAAAATGCGTCTATCGTCATGATAATTAATCGTTCAACAGCCATACACTAAATCCCGACGAACTCGGGCTTCTAGGGAGACCGTAATCTCGGCCGACTTGGAAAGGAATACGGCTTGAGCCAGGTAAAGTTATATACCTACCTACCTACCTACCTCCTATGTACCTTATAAACGGACTAGATAACCCGTTTTAGATCCTCATGAGCATGGAAACTTATACGCCAGGTACTACGTAAACTGAACCGTCACGCTTACGCGCTATCATTATTATGAGTCTAGTCATGATATTACGGCCAATTCATATACATATTAACAAGCGACGACGATCTATCATAACCCCTCGTGTTTATTTCTCATCGCCTTCAGGTTTAGGAAGCTTCTCCATGTACGAAGCAAGTTGCTCGTCACGGCTCTGCTTCCCAGCCCCTTCCGTAGCATGCTCAGATGTGACCTCCAGGTTCCCGTCGTCTTCCCCTTTCGTATTGGTTTTTGAAGCTATGATATCGTCTTGAGTTTCTTCATTGTTACTTTTAACATCCCCGGTAGCTTCGTCCTTGATGCTGCTAGCTTGGCTGATATCTGCGCTATCGGGACTCTGTACTCGTAAGCCTAGATTTCTTTCACTGTACGGATCCTCGTTGTTATCGCCTTTCCAGTCGGCGGCTGGCATCTGCGGGACAGGTGCGTTGATGCTAGGCATAGGCAAGACTGATTCCTTCGCTTCACCTTCCGACACGACAGATCTCCATACCACCGCGATTCTATCAGCAGCACGTGTGCCCTTTTGGCTTGACCCTTTTATTCCGTCCAATTTATCCCACTCGATGTCAAAGACTCCGTCCAAATCCGGATTGCCGTCCTGTTCAGGCCCGTTGCCTTCAAAAAAGGTATTGATCCATACATGTGCTACGGCAGTGACCATGGTGAATCCCATTGCGGCGGGCGTACGATTACGTCGTTCGATGGATATGTTCACATCACTACTAGGTAACCTAATCGGCTCGTGAGGCTTAAAAATGACGGCCATGCCTCCAGGTTCGACGTCAGCATCGTTCTTAGAGATTGACGAAGTTGAACTGATGGGGATCGTGGGTTTGGATTGGGGACCGCTTTCGGGCATACTACGAGCAGAATGTACGGATTCATCAGATGAATTCCGGGAGAAATTGGAGATAAGTTTCGGGACCGGCTTCCTGTTTAGGTTTGATACTGGCGATGGTGAGGTCTGCTTAGGAGGCGTAGTCGCAGACTCATTATCATTTACTCCATCGGTTCGTTCTGCTTCTTCGACGGCTTCCTGACCCGTTGTAGAGTTAACCCCATAGCCGGCCATATCAAATATCATATCCATAACTCCGCTGTCGCCTGGCGCATTGCCTTCAACTATGACTCGCTCCTTTTTCGAAAACGTGTGGAAGATCTTGATCTTTTTGCCTCCATCCACATAACCTTCAACAGAAAGCTTGACGCCAGAGCGCAGCCCCCAAACATGAATCTCGACAATTTCCAACTCTCGGTCAACATACTTCTTCCCTCCCTTAGTCCAGCGATCGACGTATTCTATCCATCGTAGCTGACTCGGGATGGTCACGCCTGCGCCAAACTTAGGTCGCATTCTTCGCTCGGTGAATCTCGCAAGTGCCTGCTCCGGCGTCCAGCCGCATTCGGCAATGAGATAGCTACAAGCCATCGTTCCGCTGCGACCCTTGCCGGCTTTACAATGCACAACAGCCACACGGCCACCCTTCTTATCCTTTTTATCTTTTTTATCTTTCCACGTATCTAAGACTTTCCCAACTAGATTCTTCTTTCCGGCGGGAGTCTCCACATTATCAGCATCGAGGTCATTTCCGTTCAGCCAGTTCCGCATGCTCGCAATGATCATCGGCACCAGCCTGAACGGGGGTGGATGGTGATCCGGCCAGGGATAGTGTCGAATCCGGTTGTAAACGAGCTCGTCCGGATAGCCGGTACCTTCGGCGCGGAATTCCCATATCGCCCAGTTATTCTCATGCTTAGAATCGAGAAATTCGACAAGGCGGTCGAGCGGATTACGATAGGCACGTTGGGGGTATGTTTGAGAGGGACCGGACCTGACGGTAGGATCTCGTCAGCACTTGGTCTGTTACTGTAGCGAAGCAGGAGAGAAGTAATAGTAATAGAGAAGGGAGCTAGTTGGAACGCACGTTGCAATTATATTATCTGTGACATAACAGAGATCTAACCCTGCTTCAGGATGTCTGGCGCGGGGTCCTGCGACGATTTGGCGCAGCAAAGAAGCCATTTTTTCGAGTTTCTTTATCGGAATGGCTTGATCGGCGTACTGGCATCGTGGGCTAACCGCTCGTCTCTACATGATATTTATTTATGAAGGTACCTTGTATTATGCATACATTGATGTAGGTAATGTATGTAGAGTGGAGAGCAACCTTGTTTTTTTCTTTTTGAATTGACAGCTCGAGGCTATAAGCTGGTTGCTTCTATGTACATACATAGGAGGTAGTCTGTACGTCATCAGACATGGAATTGGTAACAAATGGAGATGAGAACGTCAGATCACAAGTGGATCACAAGCTTAAATCACTAGGTAGATTTATGTTAGGTACTTACGGGACCGACTGCTTCTGCTGCTTTGGTAGTTGTGGCAATTGTGGCCAGAGTTGTGGCTTGAAAGGGAAAGATACATAGGTACATGACATGGACCTAACGTAGATGGGTCCACTATGACGTTTAAGGCTTAAGGTTCATATACTAGTATAGTGTACATAGTAAGATACATCGTAGTTACATGATAATTTATTATCCATCACCTTTTCATATTCGCCGCGATACCTCAAGACAATACAAACATCCTAAACTGGAACGTTATACTGTGCCCCATGCGTTGCGCTGTGCCCAGGAACCATGAACGGTTCAAGCCAATCAACTTTATCCACATCTGGATATACCCACCAGTCTTGGTCACGGGTATTATCCCCAACTCTATTGGTTTCGCTCATGAAGTAGTGTACCGTTCTTGGATGGATCTGAAGCCCGAGTAGTACATGATACACTCTCTGATCGGTGCGGTTTAATGCACGTACCATGAGACCTGTTGTGCCCTTAAAAACTTCCGCCGTAGCGTTGCGCGAAAGGTCCAGCATCTTTTGCAAGACAACAAGCCATTGAAGTATGCTAATCACTCAAGTCAGCTTATACCCTTTCTAATACGAGACTATTTCCAACATCGAACATAGACTTGGGGGGACCGTCACTTACTGGTCAGCATCGAGCGTTCCGTGCATCGTTCTAACTTCTATCGTCCCAGGGCTGTTCACAGTCGGATTTTCAGACTTCTTATAGCCTCGTATGCGTACTCGGATAGACGGTCTGGCGAAGTCGTTCTCTTCATCTTCGCCGCCGGCCAAAGCATCCGTCAACTCGCTAATTGTCGTATAATGCCACACGTTGTGAAGGAATTCTCTTTTGCGTGCGTCGGCGCCCGAAATCTCACAGTTAGCGGCCATGTTTTCTCTATTACGAGCTCTCTCGGCCGGGCTAGAACGTGGTGTACAACCAGCCTGCCTATAACGAACATTTCTATCGGCATGGAAGAGAGCCTGTCCGAGGCATGTACCCTCTTCTAATTTGCGACACCACTTCGCCATCGCAATGCGGTCCTTCCTATGAAGGTGTATGAGAATCGGCTCCACCAGCACCCAGAGCGTTACAAATCTCTTAACCTGTAATAAGTTCCATCCGTGCTTATGGCCTAGGTGCACATGGAATCCCGTTGAGCATTCCATAGGCTTGTGGCAACGCAGGCTATTACGAAGTACACCGCAAGCCTTTTGAACGGCTTTGCGTGCCTTGTGATCACCAAAAGGTAATGGAGGGCTAATTACCTCGGCACCAAACCACTACGAAAACACATGTTAGCTAGTTAGTTTCTAAATGTGTGCTGGAGGGGTTGGATATCCAGATGATATAGATGTTACCTACATAATAGTCTCGCATGGGCACTTTGCTTTGGTTCCACATAGGTATCAAATAACGGCTAGGCACCATACCATATCCATCCACTGAAAGGTCTTCCACGACTGACCACGCTCGGTAATTCGGATTTAAGCCCGTTACCTCGACATGCATTGGATCTACTGCTGAAGAGAGTGCAGCTTTATCTAACGCTCTTTGATCCTCGCAGCTCTGGGCGAGTTTAAATTCGAAATTTGCTGATACCTGATGTCGATGAACGTCGCTGGGCCAATCAAAAAGGCATGCCTCTACCCTTTCGCGTGCCAATTCAACATCTGTATCCTCCATCTTAACTATATCGACTTTATTGGATTCACAAAAACGGCAAAATTCGTCGACAAATCTAAAGCCAATTTGTCCGTTTTGGTAATGTGTTCGTTTATCATCGTACTTTTCGTTGACAGTAAATCTTCGCACAACATTCTTCCAATTCGGCGACTCATCATCAGTGAAGTCGCTCTCTGACAAATCACCCATGTGCAACGCCATCGCACCCTCGTGGGCCGGTAGCTCGTTGCGTACCAGTAGTCTATTGCGATAATCCCAATGTTAGTGGTTAGGTATTCTCTCTTTCGAAGAGATGAAGGATCATCATAGTTTCTGGGGATAGTATGAATGCTGGAAAGAAAAACGACGAAAAGAAAGGGGGCCCCTATTTACGAACCTGACAAGTCTCCTAGTAGCGTATCGTTTGAAATATATCGTTTCTGGGTCGTCGTCATCAGTGCGGTTGATTTTGTGAGCCTCAAGCCTTCGTGATATCCAACGCTTTTCTCGTGGATGTGGATCTATACGATATCGTTCTCCAGGTCTTGGTCTCATGGCAGATGCTACTGCGAGGAGAAACTCGAGCTCTATTTATTACCTGTTAATAATACTCATATGCAGCGCGGGTAAAGATACTTGTTGAGACGTGTATTCTTGGCCATAACCGTAGAATGGCTTAAAGGGGGGGCTTTGGGTAGTTATGATTGGAAACCAGTATCGCTACGTACTGCAGTATAGTTAGCATCCTGAAGTGATAATGGGACATAGGGGTGTCTCTTAACTAACCCTATACCGTAAGTCATTACGTCTTCACTGGAGTTTCTCTCACACACTTCGAGATCGTCTGGCTCGCCTGTGTCAATGTTATAATCTCTGTCCGCGAACTTATTTGGAGCGAAGTCCTCCATCCACCGCTCCGTTTTGCCCTGCCCCCAATCCGTATCTTCGTCATCGTCATCGTCATCGTCCTCGTCATCATACTCAAACTCGTCATCATCGTCATCGCCGTCGTCGTCGTCGCCGTCATTCCGGTCCTTCTTTTTGGGCTCGTCCTTATTTTCATCATCTGTCCCCCAACCCGGAACGTGTTGGTGCAACCAGTCCGAGTCGCCTTCCCTGGTTTTTACGGGTTCACGCGGCGGCACGTCGATGGCCCAGTCCGTGCTCGGGATGCTGACTTCGTTAAATCCGACCTGGGCGACCTGGATAGCTCGAGCTGCAGCCTCAGCTCCGGGACCTTCCGGAGGGTTTATAGGCGGGACCGGAGGGTTTCTAGGCGGGAGCCACCACTCATCCTGCACTGGATCTACTGGTGGTGGTACTGGGTCATTCGATGCCGGAATAGGCGGCGGGGGCTCAGGAAGAGGGACTGGTTGAACATGTGGTATTACAGGAACATCTGGCGGTTCTGGTACTGGAAATGGTGACACCGGTGGAGCATATGGTCGTGGCACAGGAACAGGAACAGGCGGCAGCTCTGGAATTAACGGCGGCTGAGGATTATCGGGAGCATCAGGCATGGGTTGGTCCTCGGGTATTATGTTCCGCTGGGACGCATTTGGCCCAATATTCAAACCTGAGATTCTTTTAAGTAGCCTTCTCATGGACGGATCCACCTGTGATGCCTGCGGTTGGTCTTCGGCCCTACCGGGCGCTCCCTGGGCCGGACCCGCCCCGGTCCCATGTGCTGGTGCTGGTGCTGGTGGCTGAGGAAGAGGTTGTTGGGCTCCCGATGCCGCAGGAACAAGAGGGGCTCCCGATGCCGCAGATTCAAGAGGAGTTCTCTTCTTTACACTTCGTACATGACGCCCCCGTAGCGACTGTCGCCAGTCTCGAAGAGTCTCCCTCATCGTTGGCAGTGTTTTTAGTTATACCTCTCTTCGCTCTCTAAAAGTGTAATCTCTAGTCAGATGTAAACTTATGTTCGCTTTCGCAACTTGATGTAACCAGAAGAAGGCATTCGAAATTCCATGTTAGCGTCGAAGCCATAGGTAACAACTAGGTATATAAGAGCATCAAGACTACTGTCCGCAGACGGAACCTTGGCTAGAAGGCTTTGGAGCAAAGGAAAAGAGATGTTTGCGGCGCTCTCTTTGTGCGGTCGTATTGGTTACCTTTATTCTACTAAGGATGCGGTGGTGTTCGCAGATGCTTTCTGCATTGTTTAAACTTCAGCACAAAGATAATATAACCATCCAACAGCTCTCTCTATTATTTTAATCGAATACCTTACCTGAAAACCACAACAATAAGACTGGAATATGCCGAATCCAACTAAGATTTATTACATCAACCAGCCAAATAAGAGTTCCCGCCCAGTTTAGATACCTAAGCAGCTATAGAAATACAATAGTTCCTTTAACGAATTCATATAACTCGTATCAAAGAAATAGAAGACCGGCGTATATGGCGTGGACGTAATAGCGTTTATCATGAGTAAACTATAGTTCGATGCTATCCGATATTCGATAAAATTAAAATAAATTAATAGTATTTGCACTTTTTAACAACCTGTCAAGTGTAGCTGTCTTCTTTCTTAGCTGAGAAATGAGCATGTAGTCATAAATAGGTATTCGGCATTGCTGGTTATAATTTGAGAGCTTTTATGAGGGGCCCCTTTTACACGGGGGGTTTTTATAAAAGGTACCTGCATTTAACCAAGAGGCATGGGGCTTGTAAGTTATAGCATCTTCAAACGTCAATCACATCAGTAATCCGCATGGCGGACAGATACATCGGCGGATAAGCGCCTAGAAATTTGGGACTAAGGGGTTTATTACATCCCAGGCCTCCTCAGTGAATTCTCGCCGAGTACTAACAAACCCCGGGCAGCTACTAATAAGAGGAACCTGGATGTGAAGTTATCTACTTCAGGTTGGAAACTGGTATGCGAAATAAGTGTAACAAAAGCCCAAGATTTGAGTAAGGCAAAACAAGCCGTCGAATTCCGCTCTTCTTTCCCGTTTACCAACTCAAGAAGCAGGGCGCCCACAACCACCCCTGGCGTGGAGCTTATCTACTTCATTCTGAACTCCATGACCTTGGCCGACTGCGTTATTGTACCTCCCACCATCATCAACGACCGCAACCAACTTGCCTCCCGAACTACGTTGCGCGGTATCGTATGCGGTCTTAATATCGCCCACCTTCACAACTAAGCAGGTATGTTTCTACGCCATATCACCGTAGGCGTATAATTATGATCGACCTTCTTTAAGATATGGTGTACCATGCAGACTTAGGAAGTCTTTTTGGGCACCGCAGATCCGTTCGTATACTTGCCAAGATCCGTGGCATCGTGGAACTGGCGCGCAACGTTCTTGATAGCTTCCCAAACAGAGCGCACAGCTGGGGGATTGCCCTGGGCACCAACCAAGGAATCAACTCTAGATTCGAGCCTTCTGAAGGAGTCCTGGACATGCGTACTCTGTGCGAATCTAGTTCGGAGGAATGCAGTGTAGATAGTAATGAGAATCCAAGAACGACGTTGGAAGAATACGGCCGATAGAAACAGTCGGAACCAAAGTAGAATTTCTAGACCCGCAACGACAGACATGGACATGTCATAATATTGCTTCACGAAGTTCCCGATGGCTTCGGCAAGAGGGCTAGCGGACTGCGGCTTGGCACCAGGAGAAGCACCAGCGGGAGTCTTATTGGGTTGGATGGTGGGAATAAGGTTGCTTCGCGTGTAGGTGGCGACGTGGAATATGGAGTAAATACCATACGGAAACAGGGCGAAGGTGTACTGAGGAGCTAGAAACCATACAATTGCCATGGCTTTCAAACGCGAGTATTAGCATTCTCGCACACGATACAAGGAAATGTAGCTGACATACCGAGATATTGAACGTTCTCATCTGCGAGAAGGCCCAGAGCTCCTGGACTCTTGGCCCCGACCTTCTGCCGAGCTCGCCATGTCTTATATACAACAATTCCGTATGTTAGAGCCGCCGAGAAGAAGGCTGTACGATAGGTAAATCGAGCCCAACGTGAGGTCCAGTTAAATGCGATAAGACCGAGGGAATATCGGAATAAACTTAGGAGAAGTACAAGGTGTCTATAATACATATCAGACGTCAGTAATCGTGTTCCTCGTTACGCAATACAATGCCGGCTTTGAATCGAGGAAGCGGGCCCCGAAACGAGTCGAGGAATGTAATAGGACTTGACGTACCCGCTAAACCAGGCAACTGTATCGTTGATTAGGATGTTAACGAGAGTCGCATAGAAATTAGGAAGCTTGGGGGGAAAGTTCGTAGTCACTTACACTGCAACGTTTTGGCCAGAGCTAGAATCCTCTCGCCGAGAGGTAGACTCGCGGAGGGCGGAGGAGCCATTTTGACGGAAACGGCGGGAATAGAAATAGAGGTAGTCTTTATTCGCAGTTGGAAAAAATAACGTATTGAAAAAAAAAGTATCAAAAATTGATTCTCAGATGAAGGTGTAGTCGCGTGCTACTGTTGTAAGGTAGAGGATAGATGTTGGTGGGTATGAGATGTCTTGAAGTTGGATGATGTCGTATTGTGTCGTATTAGCGAAAAAAAGAGCTGAAGAAAGCTGGTGAGGTGGCTAGATTTGTACTGGAGGTGGGAGAAATGACGACGAGAGCCAATGCTTTGTGCTTGTGCAACCCACTTTACCCACCTTTACCCACCCAAGGTACAAATCCGTAACTTATGATGACTTTACATCTGTTGAATGGCCGATGCGTCATCAAAGTTGGAAAATTGTGGTCCTAGCTTCTGCCATGTATTGAGGTGATAGGTTAGGAGGTACCTACCTCGGTACGGATTACTTTAGGTACCTAGGTAGGTACGCAGCTTCTACCTGGCATGTTACCTTGGCACTTGCAGCCGCAATCCAGACGGAGTCGGCAACAGCCACGAATGACCTATTGGAAGCCTTTCGTCATAGCAACATAACGCCGACATGCAGCACATCTTGTTTGAAACCGTAAAGCTCTTTGCCGTCTCAGACTTCGACATTCAACCTACGTGGCACAACGATGGCAGCGCGCCATGTAATACCAAGTTCTAAATAATGTTTACAAGAATAATGTTTACAATTTGACGTTACTATTGGCCGATGTTTATACCGTGTTTGTTATGCGTGACGGGGTTACTATCGCGACCTACTAAGTACCTATGTAATGTTAAAGCTACCTTACCTACGGTACCTAATGTACAATACCTAACCTAGATTAGGTACCTAAGGTGCCCTAGCGCTATCGCAATACATAACCGAGAAGCACCAATCACGATATTGCTAAAGTTAATACGAGGCGTATCAATACAAGAGAATTTAGTCACGAGCATAAGAGGCTATAACGTCTACTAGTTATTGCAAAATTGCATACATTAAGCATGCTTGGCTTAATTAGGTAGCATGATTAACATATTCAACAGCATTAGCTTCTAAACGATGAGTATGTAAAAAGGAAGTATGTATAATGACAGACCTAATTGGCTGTTAAAATAACTGAGATAACTTACCCCTACCCCTCTTTTTCCATCGACGAGATGGCTCGGCTTGATCTAACATCAACACGTGGATCCTCAAACCGACACGGCTTATCCATAATCCAGTAGCCAGTGAAGTAAGCCAGTGTGTACAATACAATAGCTTCCCAAACGACACGCAGATATATACTAGACGACTGTGACAGAAGATACCTAACTGGCCGAGATGGCGACGATCAGTTCAGCAGCCCCGCGCTTCAAACTTGTGTTTCGCGTGCCCCCGGCAGCCCTAGCGTCCGTTAAAAGCGCAATCTTCTCTACGGGCGCGGGCCGCTATCCGGGACCGGGCAATTACACCGAATGCTGTTGGACAACCATGGGTACCGGTCAGTTCCGGCCCGGAGACGCCGCAAATCCCCACATCGGGAAAGTGGGTGAGCTCGAGGAGGTGCCGGAAGCCAGAGTAGAAACGCTCTGCGTTGGCGAGGATACCGTTAGAAAAGCTGTCGAGGCGCTGAAGAGGTGAGTAGCGTCAATGAATGCGCCTAGCTATTTATCGAACTTTGCTAAATGTCCACTTGGACGAGAATAGGGCACATCCTTATGAAGAACCGGGGTATGAAGTATACAAGGTAGAGGATATCTAACCCCCTTAAAAGCAAGGAGTAGGTAGTAGTATATCGCAACCCATCGCAATGTTATCTATATGAATAGGGCGACTCGTGGAATTGGGCTGAGTCTCACGCAGGTACATTTCTATATTAAACTAATGAATATCGGTATTTACGATTTGACATGAGCTATTATATCCTCAGGTTGATTGCAGTTGCCCCCTTATCCATCCGACCAAGCGCACTATCGCGGCTTTGTTTCCTTAGCGGAGTCAAAAATTGGGACCCGAAGATGTGAGATCTGTCACCGGCCTCTTCTAATTGGCTAAAAAGTAACCCTTCGATTCCACTGACGCTGGTTAACCCCCACTAACTGAATACAGTCTTCTACAACGCTTGGAAAGCGTATAAGTATAGGTAGTTACTCTACCTTTCTAAATTTTTTTAAGTCTCGATACTAAGTAATATTTGAAGACACGAGGAGTTACAAGTCGTATAACTATAAGAACTTTACATGATTAAAATTCCTATCGACGACCATGGAGAGTCTTACGAAGAGCGATCCTCACCTCCTTAACACAGAACCAGTACATGTTCATATCCAACCTCCGTCAGATAATGACATAGAGAAAGGTCATCACGTCAAAGACCAACGCGACGATGAAAAAATTACGCCAAAGCACTCCGTGTTCAAATCGCTCGGTTGGCTGGACCGCTTCCTTGCTATATGGATATTCCTCGCCATGGCCATCGGGATCGTGCTAGGCAACTTTGTGCCGGAGATAGGTGACGCCCTACAGAAAGGTCAATTCGTCGGTGTCTCGGTTCCAATAGGTGCGTTATACCTTATTATAAAGCGATATCTTACCTTACTCTAGAGGCTTTATTTTTCATTAACCCATAACACTCACAGCTGTCGGGTTGCTCGTGATGATGTACCCCATACTATGCAAGGTGCGGTACGAGACCTTACATGAGATATTCTCGCACCGCGGCGTCTGGAAGCAGATCGGGTTTAGCATCTTCATGAATTGGGTCGTCGCTCCGTTCTTAATGGTTCGTAGCATTTGATCTATGGCAGTTTCAATGAGTTCAGTCTCTATACTCTTCTACAGCAGTGGCTAATATAGCTTTACCTATAGCTAGCACTTTCATGGGCATGCTTACCAGATAAACCCGAGCTTCGTACAGGTCTAATCCTAGTTGGCCTAGGTAGATGCATCGCAATGGTACGAACATCTTACGGGATATAGTTTCAATAACAATAGAAGGCTAACTGATTGTCAAAGGTACTAATATGGACGGGTTTGGCTGGTGGGGATAGCGAGTACTGTGCCATCCTCGTGGCAATTAACTCCATTCTCCAGATGGTATTATTCGCCCCCTTAGCTGTTTTCTTCATTCGTATAATCAGTCGCGAATCCGGTCCTCTCGACATCTCGTATGAGGTCGTTGCAACAAGCGTAGGGACTTTTCTCGGTATCCCACTAGGCGCGGCGATGCTGTCACGCTTTGGGCTACGCGCCTTGGCCGGTTCGCAGTGGTACGACCGCGTCTTTCTAAAATTTGTCGCACCGTGGTCTCTAGTCGGCTTGCTCTACACCATCTTGGTCCTATTCGCTTATCAGGGTCAACAAGTCGTCCACCAGATCGTGTCAGTCTTGCGAGTTGCCGTTCCACTCATCGTATATTTCATCGTCATCTTCTTCCTGACGCTCTGGATCACGTATCGGTGCGGATTTGGATATGCCCTCGGCGCCACGCAGAGTTTTACTGCCGCTAGCAATAACTTCGAACTTGCTATCGCTGTAGCCGTCGCAACCTATGGTCCTAACAGTGACCAAGCTTTAGCATCTACCGTAGGGCCGCTTATTGAGGTACCGGTACTGCTTGGACTAGTATACGTCGTCAAGGCAATAGGGGGTAGATGGGCTTGGAAGGATTGATCCGTATGGTATTGAATTCGAACCAAGGTATGTTGCGGCCGTAACTAAGTAATATCGAAAAGATTTACCCGAAACAATATTCATTACCGATGACTGCCTTTGTCCAATAGCATACCACGTGTAATAGGAAAAAATAGATTCATACTACTACACGGCTACTATACCCCGCTCCCATATTTTATACTGATATTATCAAAATATCAGCGATTCGCACCATCTGATTGCGGTAGAGCATTGAAACTTCCTTGCTGAAATTAGCGTGATATCTCCCTCCGATAATTCCTCTTCTGATGATTCCTCTTCTGATGATTCCTCTTCTGATGAATCCTCTTCCATCAACTCTTCCTCTGATAACTCTTCCTCCGATAATTCCTCTTCTGATAATTCTTCCTCTGATGACTCTTCCTCCAAGAATGTTCGTGCAATATTCGTGCCCAGCAACTTGCAATCATCAGCGTAATGTTGCCGCATCAAATCGGCAACGGCAAAATGGCCTCCACGTTCTGCCACTTGGATTGCTCCATCGTATCCTGTTCGGCCTCGATTATGACTGAGAGCCCCAAGGCTCAATAAAAACTGTACCATGTCAAGCTTTCCAAATACAGCAGCGTAATCTATCGTAGAATACCGTTTTCCATCCCACCTGTGTGAGGGTTCATTCACGTCTGCCCCCCTTTGGATTAGTAGGATGGCCACCTCTATATCCCCGTTACTAGCAGCAATTTGCAGTGCCGTATCGAAGCTATAAGAACCCTCCATTGCCACAGGAGTATTCACATCCGCTCCTTCTATTATCAAGAACCGTATGACTTTAATCATATTAGCCCTCTCTGTTGTTGACTCCGCATCAAATGCACACGCAGCTTGGAGCGCCGTCATCCCCATCCTCTTAGCCCGGGGCGCATTGATGTTAGCACCCATACGTACCAATCGCTCGACCAAAGCCATATGACCTCGGGCGGCTGCGGCCTGAAGTGCCGTTCTCCCCCAATTCTCAAATGCGGGCATATTAATGTCAGCTCCCATACCCACTAACTGCTCGACCAGATCCCTATCACCTCGGTAGGCTGCGGCTTGGAGAAGGGTACAAGGAAATTTGATGGTTTTGCTTGTATGATATGTGTCAATGCTTGTACAATCCTCTAGAAGCTTTTGGATTAACCCGGGCGGGCTTTCTTCGCATATTAGATATGGGAGTATATCGCCATTCGGCATTGGGGCACCGTGGGAGCGAAACAATTCAAACAAGGACATCTTCAGCTGCTCGACGTTATTGTCGTCATTCATAGGCAGACTTAGAGTAGCACAGTCTTCCAATAGACACACTTCGGGGCTGGATAGGTCGTCACGGTCTAATTTCGAAAGAAAGAATGTCATTAGATCAAGCAAACCTGCTCTGGTTGAACTGTCTTCCCAGGCAATTACGAGAAGACGTTGTAGAAACTTGGCGGCGTTTAAATCGTGAGGGCTATTTTTCAACTCTGCACCGTGATCGATTAAGTAATCGAGCATTTCAAGACTTGCTGGATTAGTGTCTTGTATTCGGCACCCAAGAGGAAACTCTTCGAGGAGCTTTGGCATCCATAAGGTAGTTGTTGCTAATGCAATTACGCTCCACGGTCCAAATTTACCATCGATAGACCACGATTCCAGGTTGGTTGCCACAGCATTGATGTCTACGCCAGCTTCCAATAACCACGAGACCGCTTCGTAATTACCGTGTCGAGCTGCCGTGGACAATGCCAACACGCCGTATTTTTTCACATTGACACCAAACTTGGTCAGAAATTTTAAGATGTCAACGCCTTCTTCCTCAACTGCAGCTTCTAGAGCCCTCGAATCTATGATCGCCCCTGATTGAAGAAGTGCCGTGAATATAAGTGTAAATTGCTCGTTGTAACCGTACGTGCGTATATTATTTACCATATGCCAGAAGATATAGCCGTCCGATGGTATCACATCAGTATCTGGGCGAATTCCAAACTCAACAAGACTTCGAATAATATCTGTGTCGATAGCCCGATCTGCGACTAAGAGCTGCTCGGCAAGTACCAACTCTAGGATCTCAGTTCCATCAGAGCCATGCCGGTCTAGCTGTGATGTCCAATATTCTCTGAGAAATTCACATCCCTGCTTCGCCGAGAGGCAAATATCTGGGCGGAAGAAAAGCCGAGTTGTTTGAGTACTGTATGGAAGTAATCTGTGAAAAAGTTCCACATTTAAATAATAACTTTGTTCGAGGATCGTCGGTAAATGTTCCTCGGGGGTTCCGTCCCTTATGTTTGGAAACGGCAGCATGAAGAAATCACATTTCCATATTGCATCCACATCCGCACCGTTTTGCAACAGCATATCTAATGCTTGGCTTTGTAGCCCATCCTCAAGACTGAATCGGACCAGGAGCTTTTCACCTTCACATTTCTTCAAAGACTTCGGAGGATATGCCTGGTCTCGTTTTGCGAGAGTTATGATCAGTCCCTTAACCAAGGCAGAGAGAAATATGCAGAAAATAGATATTTCCCCCTCCTCCCATAGGCACTCTCGAACTTCACGATTCACATCACATTTTGCTAACAGCAGCTCCATGCATTTTATGTTGCAAGTAGCAGCTGCTTCGATGATAGCAGGGTTTTGATAAGGCCGAATTCTGTCATCAGCACGAATCCCAGCTTCCAATAGACTCCGGATAACATCGAGGGCGCCCATCGACGCAGCGAAAGAGAGGTAAGATGTTCCTTCAGGGATAACCCAGTCGCGGTGAAGAAGCCCAATCTTCAATAAGGAGATGAATACATCCCGGTAACCGTGTCCGCCAGCACAGCGTGCTAAAAACTGCCACGCAGCCCTCATTGTAGGTAGATCTTCCCGGAAGAGGCTGTTTAAGAGTGCCTGGGGAATTCGATCGAGCAAAAGTTGAATAATATTGGGGCGACAGAGAATGTGCCTCGGTTCTAACTTATTGTTAGAAATCAGATAGAGAAATTTCGATAGGAGATAAAATATGTCCATGTTCAATGCAGGTACCGAAGACGAGGGTGTGTGGCTTCCAGGTACGAGTAACCTATGTAATGGGAATGCGGCCTCCCAGGTTTCAGGCGACACAAACTCAGGTTCCAAATAGAAGGTAAATGGTAATGATTCGAAGCTTAATCGATGGTCTAGTACCCTGCTGGATTCACTTGGGCAATGTATGGTAGTAGCCATTTCTAATGCCAACGTTAACTTGAATACTGGGATTCCGGTATGAAGTGCCTTATATGGGTACTTACGATGCATAAAGTTATTAAACTTGAGCCACGGGATACTCAGTAAGGCAGTGCTAACGCCCCTCGAAGCGACTTCTAGTAATTCCGCAAGTTTACCCCTTTGTTGAGTTGAATTCATTGAAGATCCTATATAGCTTTGAGATGACCAGGTCGTATTTTGTGAGCTATAGATCAAAGCCCCAGGCGATGATGGAGTAGGTGGCATCGTAATTGAGGAGACTAGAAGCTGAGGTGAAACGCCTTGAGATACCTCTTGCCGTATTGGCAAGGCGCGAGGGACGAGGTACCCGACAGGGGATGGTGTTCTCACAACTACATCTCTCGGAAGCGGGATGTCTTGAACTATATTAGGATTAGTCTCTAACGATGTAGCATATGGGTAGGTGATAAAGCGCTTGGGCTTGGACGAGGCCAGGTTATAACCCTTACCATTGTCTACCGATCGAGCTCCCGATCTCCTAATCTCCTTCCACACTTTATCCTGTGGAATCTCCGTCCCGTTAAGATAGACCCTAGTGGGTTTGTCGCCTCTCTTTAAGCGATGGTGGTGTATAGAAACCCAATCAGTTTTCTTGAGTTTTTTGCGCAAGTGAAGCTCGTCGCGGAGCTTGGTTTCGTAAGTTGACAAACTATTGATATTATTAACAATGTAACTGAAAGACGGTATACATTGACATACGAATGGACAGGGAATCCGTGTTCGCTTTCCATGATCTCTTTTACTTCTCTGAGTGTTCTTCGCTCTGCCTGATACAGCCTCAGGAAGGTGAGTCTGTGTTGTTCCCATATCCTGTCTTCAGGATCCGGGTCCGGATAGCGGCGTTTAAGAGATGACATAGTTAATGAGTAATTATAAAGAGGATAAAGGGTAGCGATTGTTATTGTGATGGAGGTGGAACCTTGGGGACCGCTTGTCCTTCTACCTAGTTCCCATGATGGGGAAGACAAATATATACAAACCTAAGAGGGAGGGAGAGTCGGGTAGTGAGCGTTATAGAATAGAAAGTACTCTGAGTTGGGCAGATTTTGGACGCACTTTACCGACATATCAGCTTCATGGCTGATTCGTTAAGCTGCGTCCAAAATCTGCCCTTTGTGATTGGACTGTCCAAACTCTGCTTGTGTTGTCCAAAGTCTACCCTCTCTGATTCGACTGTGTAGTGTCCAAAATCTTGTCCGAAGTCTGAATGTGCTTATTGGCGCAGTACTTACAATTAGGTCACGTGTAGCCCCCTTTCCTAGTGAGAAGGCTTGGGTACATGTTTCTCTGTCGTCTGTTATTCAACTGTATAAAAATTTTAGCCCTTGAGGTTTATCATAAATCATGAACCCGCTCTTGGAAGTAAGTCTCCAAGCTTTCATTTACTTAATATATTCCCATCCTGAACTTAGAATGGCAGTTTCAAACGAGACGATTGTCGGGATAATCACTTTACTCATAATGTGCCTTCTTCCAGGTCTACGTTCACTCATACGGTTTGTTCGTCGTCCAAGGGTTCAATCAACTCAGGGGAATATAGCCATTCCCATTGATCCAATCTCTAGACTTGATGAGTTAGCTTCACTCGAGAGTGGAATGCTCTATACCACAGTAAGCAACTATTACCTAGTACACAAAATAGCCCAAGCCGCTAATGTATAACAGAGGAACATCAGGGTTGACACGCTTATAATCCGGTCACCTAACGCGCCGAGTCTACGCTGGAATGTCTATCGTGGTGGGTCAGAACTCGACACTGTCCACGGATGAAAGCTTCGTGAGTCTTATATGGACGCATGAGCGAACCAATATACGGACAGCTACATACGTTTGTAGCTAAGAAACTCTATACCTAAGGCAAAGCTTGATGGATATACTAGAAAGACTGAGCATGAAATGATAGTTGATTTTGACCTCGTAGTACGAAGTCTGGACCATAGCTACAGACATAATCGTTTTGGGGATGACAATAATAGCGATGACTCAGTACTTAGGTACCTACCTAAGGTACTTATATGATATATGGATGTGCGAGGATTCTTTCACAAGGATTCAAACTACGAATCATTTTCATGAAAGGTATTTTTAAAGTTATAGCAGATCGTGTTGATTCTATCAACATTATCTATCTATAGAGGGTTGCCCTCTATCGAACTAGAATTGTAACACGTAACTATTGTCACGCCATCAGTACTTTTTCTGTCTCAGTACGAGCCAAAGACGCCTAGATCTAATCGTAGCTAGTAGCTAATAGCTAATCATCATCTCATACTGCTCTGGGTCAGCCAAGAGATATGCCATGTCGTAACCGTGGATCCGAACAAGAATGTACTCTTGCTATCTCATCAATCATTCATCCTTCGTGATACTCATTAGAAAAGGAAATCAAGAAAATTCTGTCGTGTGAAGGGATCTCCTTCTGCTGGGGTAAGCTCCCGGGCTTCTGATAAATTGGTCTCCAAGCTCTCATTCTCCAAACCATATGAAGTTCATGAAATTGCGAAAATCTGTGAAATGTCCCTCTCCTCTGGTACATATGAGGGAGCGAAGGACTGTAGTCTCGTATAAAAAAATTCAATGGCTGGGATATGCCTTAAATACGCATAATCCAGATAGCGTAAATATCATTCATCGTAAGGAAATCGTCAGGTCTGGTATAGTCGTATACAAATAAAAAAAAGTGCGGGTTAGTGTTGTTGAAGTAGGTTAAGGATTCGATTGTTGAAATTTATGATGGGGGTGATTGAGAACGTCTGCGATCGCTGCCACGGTTTCGTAATTCTCTTAATCGTTGATCGAGGTAAGCCAATCGAGACGCCAACGATGGTCTAGATGGCGATCGTGCTTCTGAACGCTCTCTGATTGGCTGCTGTACAGTCGCAAAAGGTCGGCGTAAAGCTGTTAAATTGAAATTAATTGGTGCTGATAGTCTATTAGGGAAACTGTAGCTGGAACCTGCGCCAGAGAATGGGGATCCTAGGCGGCGCGGTTGCACAAATGGGTCTTGAGGTGCTGTAGCTGAGATGGTGTGCAAAACTGATGAAGTAGAAGGCTCTCCGCAATGAGTCTCCTTCGTGAATGCATCGTCCTTTTCCGAAGCTTCTTTCCAGAAAGCGGCTGTTAGGCTCGGTCGCTTTCGCGGTAGGTCCTCGACGTCCTTAACTGACCTCCGCTTTTGTGTTCCCGAGCGCGACCTAGTCATGCGAACAGGCGACTTGAGAATCTTTCGAGAGCCTAGAGAATTTGACTGCCGTGGCGGGGTTATATCGGAAACAAAGGACGAGGATGAACTGGGACCATAGCTCTTAGCCAGGACCGGAGATGGGAGACGGGGAAGTTCCGGAGACGGGAGTGCTTGTCTAACGATAGTCTCAGCATCCTTTGCGAACTCTGGGAAGGGTTCACTTTCGGAACTTGTGAGTTGAGCGAGAGGGGCATCAAGCTTCATAGTATCCGAAGTGCTGACGGCTAAAGAAAAGGCCATATCACGAGCCGAGAACGCTGCGGGCGACTGAGCTGGGACGGATTTTCGGTTCCGGCGACGATGAGCCGCCTTGTGAAAGGGCGTAGGGCTCCGGGACTTGTATCGGCCTGGACTAGCTGCGGCTTTCATCCTACAAAGCTCACGTAGATGAGCTCGGGTAGCTGCACAAGTATGGGGCCATTCAATATATGGTTTGGCGGACTCTGCGGTAGGGGTGTTGCTTCCACTTTTCATATCCACTGTTAGGTGTCCCTTAGAACCTTTCCAACTTCTTTTGGCCTCGCGTGCAACGCGCAAACAGACCCCATTAGGCGGAATACGACTTCTACCTAAGCGTATCGGTGTTACTCGCGGGTCTTGTAGATATAACATGTAAGTCGACCATAGGTGCGAGTCCATAGCCTTGGTCCATGGTGCTTTCCGAGACCTCTCTTTGCGCGGTACATCTACGTTAGTATCAGACTCGAGTTTAGGGAATTCTAGAGCCTTAAGCTCTGGACTCATGTAATTTTCATCCTCGGAAGCATGCGAGAATTGGCTGAACAGCGAAGAGCTAGTCTGAGTGGAAAATGCTGTTGACGGCCTGCTAGACTCGTACTCAGGACTTGACTCGACATCCGAGTAGCTCCACTCGGACCCAACAGACCAGTCGGGGAACTTTGTTTCGGAAGACGGCGCGAACTCTATTGCAGGCGTCTTCGGGGGCGAAAAGGTTGGCGCATTTAAGTGTTCGTATATTTCCATGCTGTCGGGCTCCTCTACCTCGATACTTGGAACTGGCACATCTGCTGCCGCGACCGACGCCAAAAACTGTTGAGTTGGCGCGTTTAGGTGCTGAGAGACATGTCGTCTCTTTAGTTTCAATCGGGGTCGTGGTGGAGATGGTAGTCTTAACTCATCGCCAGGGACCGAAGGTTCGGGTGTCTTCGGCCCCTGACCTAGACCGCGACTACTGGAATTGAATTGTAGCATTGTGGAATGTGAATGGCGCATCAACAATTCCTATACTATCCGCCGCGGTAAACCAGAATCAATCAGATAGGTGCATTCATGACCGTTCAAGAAATCCACCTCATTAATCACACCGGTAATTAAGACGTCGGGGTCTGGGATATCATGGGCGCTAGTTGCAGTTTCTCGAAGTACGAAGCTGGAAGAGTTTATGTCTATATCTGTTTCGTCGCACAATTGGGAAGATCGAAGGAGTATCTCGTAGGATCGCGGTTAAGTTTTCTTAGTTGATTGATTGTAATAGCGCATAGCTAGATTCGACGGGAATGAAACGGACGGGCTCGTGGACATGCGTTCGCAGGATTCACGTTAAGGGAATAGGTGAAGTCGTAGAGTTAAGTAGTATGCGATCGCGCGCGCGCTTCGTGCGTAGGTAGAATAGTGGCTACCACGAGGGGGATCGGTAGCCACCCTCCCAACCAAAAGATTAGGGGAGGAAAAGGAACGACAGATTAGGTATTGAAAAGAAATAGGAGGCAAAATGTAGAGAGGATGCGAAAGAGAGGATAGTTAAGGTGTGGGCTCGAGAGGGAATAGGTGGATGGGTAGTAGAATCACGTTGCGCTGCAGGTGCAACTGACAGGGGCCGATTAGGAAAGACTAGGAAGACTTAGTTAAACAGAACTAGGAACTTCCCAGGTTGTATCTCTTGTATCTATCGATCGTACATCGTAACTGCGTGCTGATCCTTACACTGGCCCACTGGAATTGTACTTTGCCCAAAATCAGCAGGCGGGAGTGGCACTGGCGCGAACCCTGCGTGCTGATTCTGGCAGTTCTAGCGGCATGAAATACAGCGCTAAGCCATTTATAGGCCTAAAGTTTTACTAGACCCCACTATAAAGGAGTGGGAAACTTCAAGCGGTCAGTTGGGGTTCCTTGCTCCAAGCCAACATTGGATGCACAAATCTCAAAGACTAGGGCTTAATGTGACTTTAGACCTTATTTTCTGGCAAGTGTACCTAACATCAACTAAACTGCCATGTATATATATGTATTGTATGTACGTGCTACTACTACATGCACTACCTATATGTACCAGCCGACTAGGTACAATACATAGATGCAACAAGAAAATTTTAAACAAAGGGGTTAGAGAGGAAAAGGAACGAGAAACCGAGAGACACGGGGGGATACCTACATATCGGTACGATTGTACTGTAAAACAGGTCGCGGATATTTTAACAAGGTTGTACCTAAATCGGTGGAGAAAAAAAAAAGATGCTTGAACCTTGAGAAGAGCAAAAGTGGTACTTGGGATATGTGGCCGAAAACTGTTAACTTGGCTACTTAGTAACTTACCTGTCTTGACGCACTTCTGCTTGCGACTTGCGACTTGCGACGACTGGCGCCGCTGCTCATGCACTCCGGACAGCAGCTTTGGCCAGCGGAGGGACACGACAGGAGTGCATATGCAGTGATCGCCAAGTGGGAGGATAAGAGGATACCGATGATAGGCAGAGGGCACAGACGCTGAGCAAGACCCCCTAGCCGCCAGCCTATATGGGGGGGAATTGGATGGAGTTGGATGGGGAGATGGGGTTCCAGTTAGATCCGGAGGAACGTACCCGTGCGAATTGGCCATATGCTCACTGTACGCGTTTGGCCAAAAGCGCGAAATCGAGTGGACGAGAATGTTTCATGCAACGCGTGAATTCACATTCTCTATTCTTTTATTCGCTCGACCTGGCCGGTTTCGTTCGTTGGACTATGCAGTACGCGCACTGGAGCTTGGTACATGCCACTGCGAACAACACATATTGCTTAGGCTTTCGAGTTCTAGAAGACCCCGAATATACCCAAACGTAAGTGAGGCGATGTTAACTGGATGTTAACATACCTAAGGTAGTCGAAGCTGTGATTGTGAGATCAAGTTAGGCAGGTTTAGTGGCACCTAGCGCATCCCGGGTGTCTCCCGTATGTAGGTATTGTGTTTGGTTGTCGCTAGCCTATTCGTCCACTATCGACTATTAGTCGACTCGAAGTACATACATAAGATAGTACATACATAAGATGCAAACACGTAGTAAAATGGGTATCAATACGAGTGGAGTTTAATCAGAACACATAGCAAGCAGTTGATCGCTCATTTTTTCTGCCCAAGCTTTTCTATATCAGTAACTAACCCTAGGAACATGACTAGGAGGACGTGTTGGGATGGCGGTTAGAAGATCTGTGTGGTACGGGCGAGACCCGACCTTCAAGGTAAGACATCATAAAATGTGACGGCATGTGACGTGACGCGACCGTTCAATGTCTCGAGGGTGAATATTGCGGCTATGAAAGTACATATCTAGATTACCTGGTACTTAGACTGCAACAATTCCTCCAGACTATATGCGATTTATAACCGAAAGGGCTGACGATAGACCCGTAGTTATACAATAACGCCCAAGACTTATCGACTTAGAATAAAATTCCTTTGTTATCAAGTCTTATATATTTAATTAGTACTGCCACAATTTTTTCAACCAATCAGATGCTTAGAATCGCCCCGCAGTTTGCGACTTTTCCCTTTGCCATTCTATCGCATAACGTCTGCAAAAGGTGCAAATGGTATAGAAAGGTCATGCAAAACGAGCTCTATCTTATAATACCAATTATTAAAACTTTTATACGCTCTTGGAATAGGTCAATTGATTTTACAAAAAATTCATCGGACGTGCACTAAGGTGTGGCTAGCCAATCAGAGGCCAGACTTTAGTTGTGGCGTCAGTTTTGCGCATAATCGCCGGCCCCCCCCCTCCTCCTCCTCCTCCTCCTCCTCCCTCTTCCCTCTTCCCCTTTCCCCCGTCCGCGTTTGAGCGGACGGGCAACGCCGCTAGTAGATATTATGAAGATGGATCATAGACTTAAGGAAACACTATAACATATAGAGGATAGCTTATAAGATCAATCCTAAGCTGATAAATTGTAAGAGTACATACACAAGCTACGCGCAGATTGTTCAGAGAATAATTTAAATATCCACTAAACATAAGTGGTTATTGCAATAACTATCGATGGCGTTGTTAATAGAGTATGGAGTTAAAGGACCTTCCACCACAGAAGTCGGAAATATATAAAGTTGATCAAGATAATTTATACTTATGTCTTGAAATGCTTAATAATACTTTCATCATACCATTTCCAATTTGAATTAACCATTCTATCATCTCACGAAGAAACTTAAGTTGTAGCCTCACTTTCAACCCCATTTACTAGCGGGCTGCTTGACTGACGAATCGGAATGTTCCGTTGAGAGAAAACGACGCGAAACTAACGCGAATCGACGCGTAAGCATGCCTGTACTCCATAAGAAGTATGAGAGGTTTCATTACTTTTACCCCACGTACATTCCACATGGTTTGGGAGGTTGGATTCGGTTCCTAATAAGTGTCAAGAATATATTCCATACGAGCTTCTCTATGCTTATTGGGTTATTGGGTTATTTGGTTCGTGGATTTTTAAGGACATTGTCTGACAGCTTTCTATCATGATGCACTTACATACATGAAGTACAGTGAACATAAAACTACCCAAGAAGTGATGATTGGCTGAGAAATAAGGTAAATCCCCATTACGTGAAGATTGACGCCATTGAATGGTCTTACTATATACGTTCCTTATGCATCCCTCCCTAAGCGGAAGTCCAACCCATTCAAAAAGACTATTTTGAAAATACTACAGTACCTAGTACCTACATAATACCACGAGGGCTCGGTCCTATTCCGAGCAGCCTCGAGGATCAATATGGTCTGGCCTGCATGCGCACTTCCGTAAATCTCCAACGAGGTCCTATATTCGGAGGAGATCGTTTATAGGCTGATGTTGTACGGCATAACGCCTCACGGTCTAGCGGCCGTATGATCAATTCCCGGTGACGATCTTGCCGTCACAGAACATTATCACCAGATCTTATTAAATTATAGATTACTAAGGTTTCTTCTTCCATTACTTAACTTATCTATCTAAAAGTAGGAACTTGATGTGCTTTTAGCGAGTAACCAAGTTTTATAGAAACCAGTTGGAGAATTTCTTTCATAAATTCCACCACGAAGCTTCTTAAGGCACAACGAGAAAAAGAAAGAAAAACCCCTGCAAAAGGAACATATATTGCTTTCGATTTATTCTTACAAAGTAATTGGTTGACATAGTTATACATTATCAGAACCCGATCATGCCTTTAGTTATAATCTGCGTCGATAGAATGTTAGAAACTTTATAGGCCATAGTGTTGTTGTTGTAAACTAAATAGCTGACTGAGTAAAAGATACGAAATGTCTAAGAGCAACAGGTAACGACCTGCGAAGAGTGCAGGTTAGGTATTTGGTATCCACTTTGATATTCCCAATCAATGTTCAATTCTACCTTCCGTAACCGCTTGCTGGATTATATAAGCGTTGCATCTCACGTGCTCCTAAACGGCGCCAAATTGGTCTGACAGCTGGCCATAGCTTGTGCTCCGAATGATGTCGATTAAAAAGCAATGTGGAGCCTCAGTTTGCTTTACACTAACATTACCTCCATTCAACAACTCCCATCATTGGCCCTGGCACAACACCTCCTCTTCGGATATTATCTCATGAAGTTACATTCAATATGTCGTCCACTACTGATATTATCACACTCGAGAACTTTGCATCTAAGATGCCACGATGGGACCCCAACCTCTCCAACCACCTCTATGCCCTAGTTGATATGGGAAGGTTTGTCACATCATCACATCGTCACCCTGTCTATCTTGAGATTGCAGTTCTGCCCAAAACCTAGCCCGAGCTACCTCGCACCCCTCTATTCCAACCGGCGGTAGTTCTTCTATTTGCTTCTTAGTAACCTTGTGATAGTAATGGCATACGATTCTCTATCTCGGATCTATCGCCTCCGCAAAGTCGCCTTCTCAAATGTTTATATCGCGAGCGCGCTGCTATCTCTTTATTTGACGCTCTTCATACATCGGCTTCAAGTGGTCCTTTGACATTTTCTTCAGATGTTATTACCCAGGTGTCTAAGACCCTAGCTCGATTTAAGTCTATCGCTGATGACTATGGCGTACCGACAGAGCATATCTCCGTATTCGCTACAGAAGCTATGCGGAAGGCTCAAAATGCAGCTGCTATGCTAGATGCTGTCTTGGAGAGTTCGGGACTTAGTATTCACGTGCTAGCGCCAGAAGTCGAGACTCTGTTTGGTTCCATGGGTGCGAGAAGCGCGTTCGACACAGTAAACGGCCTGTTTCTTGATTTAGGAGGTGGTTCGGTGCAGATGACTTATTTGAATTCTTCTGTCGATGGCTACGAAATTGCAGCTGCACAAGCTGGAAAGAGCCTACCATTTGGAGCTGCCAAGCTGATCAAGATCCTGGAGGGCGACGAGACAGAGGTTCAAGTTGCTGCTGTGAACAGTTTGCAAGAGGGTATGCGAGGTGCCTTCGCCCGGCTCCAACAGCAGTTTCCGCTATTAAGGGAGACACAGATCAACCAAGACAGTAGCGGTGTTGACATCTTCCTGTGCGGCGGCGGATTTAGGGGTTATGGCAGTCTTCTAATGCATGTCGATCCTATTCAGCCATACCCAATTCCTGCGGTTGGGACATACACTGTTGAAGGCTCGTTCTTTAGCCGGACCGAAGACATGCGCAAGGTTAATGCCGAATATGAGAGCAAGATCTATGGTATGTCAAAACGACGGCGCCAGCAATTTCCAGCTATCGCTACAGT